AGACGAAGCGATAAGGCACTGCTTCACATCTTTGCATGAGGATGCTGAAAACGATCCGTGGGCTACTTGGCGAAAGCCCACTCGTGCCGGGAACCACTCGATCCTTCTTGCGCCTTTGCAAAAGGCAGCTCTGCGTGCAGGCAGAAATGCCAGTTCGGAGACGCTCGTTGGCCCAACAACTCCTCGCTGCCCATCGCCCAGTCCCCTTGTCGACAAGACTCTTTGGCACAACCTGAAAACAACACGCGGGCTACCGGCTGCTGCCGCTAAGCCCGGTTGCGCTGAGGATTGCCTGGTGTCTTACTCTGGCGCCTTTGCAAAAGGCCACTTCTCCGTGTGAGAGAAGAACCGGTTCGGAAGACGCGCGCGACAGAGGAAGCGATAAGGCACTGCTTCACGTCTTTGCATGAGGATGCTGAAAACGATCCGTGGGCTACTTGGCGAGAGCCCACTCGTGCCGGGAACGACTCGATCCTTCGTGTGCCTTTGCAAAAGGCAGCTCTGCGTGCAGGCAGAAATGCCAGTTCGGAGACGCTCGTTAGCCCAACAACTTCTCGCTGTGCTCATCGCCCAGTCCCCTTGTCGACAAGACTCTGGCACAACCTGAAAACAACACGCGGGCTGCTACTGCCGCTAAGCCCGGCTGCGCTGAGGTTTGCCTGGTGTCTTACTCTGGCGCCTTTGCAAAAGGCCACTTCTCCGTGTGAGAGAACAACCAGTTCGGAACATGTCCTGCTCACAGAAGCAGTGCTGCAGCTGCGGATGCTGACAATCATCCTAACGAGCCTCCTGCCGTTCTGACATCTCGAAACTGGCATTGCGCATACTGTCCCATTGCGGGACTTCCAAATCATTCCATACAGACTTCCTTGACCTCAGCATAGTTTTCGGAAGGGGCAGCATGTCACAATCCGCATAAGAGCTTCTGAACGACAGCGGGGGTCCAGTAAATGTCACTGTAAATCTCTTGCCGATTGCCTCGTTGGAAAACTCGCGTACATTGTAATGCACGCACTTGATGACATTGCAACCGTTGCACAGCCACGCGCCCTCACTGACTCATTCAATCGCTCACTCACTCTCACGCATACTCATGTGCAGACATGCAAACTCCCATACACGGGCACTTACACAGGTGTATAAACATATATATATATATATATATGCTCACCCCCCCCCCATGACAGACCGTCGTGGGGAAGGGGAAGGGTGGCGTGCGTCCCCAGGCAGGGTCTGTCAACGGATAGGCGACAGACACTTCTCCCAAACTCAATTCCAAAATGTTCTTTTAGATGGTTTGCAATTTTTGGAAATTTCTTCACACGCATGCAGCGCTCCTAGTCCCAATCTTAATCTCAATTCTGCTCTTCGTACCACTATTACTGTTTGTAGATCTTAATTCTTGTATCAGTGTTAGCATTAGTATTAGTTTTGTGGTAGTATTGATATTAGGATGTTTAGTATGAGTAATAGTATTCGAATTAGTATTACTCTTAGTATTAGCATTAAGTATGTGTCTTGATGTTAATAGTAGTAGTCGTCGTACTAGCAATAGTTGTCGCACAGCAGTAGTAGTGGTAGCATTAGTATTGGTATTTGTATTAGTATTAGAATGAGTATTAGTATTAGTATTAGTGACTAGTATGAGTATCAATATTAGTTTTAGTATTAAGTATGTGTACTAGTAGTAGTAGTAGTAGTAGTAGTAGTAGTCGTAGTAGTAGCAGTAGTAGTAGCAGCAGTAGTGGCGGCATTAGTATTGGTATGAGTATGAGTATTAGAATTAGTAGCTAGTATTAGTACTAGTATTAGTGTTAGGATTAATATGTATTGTTCTTGGTTCTATTCTTAGTACTGCTGTCATTGTTTGTAGTAGTCCTAATCCTGGTATCAGTGTTCATATGAGTAATAGTTTTGTGGTAGTATTGATATTAGGATGGGTATTGCTTTAGTACTAGTATTGGTATTGGTATTTAGTATTAGTATTAGCATCAGTATTAGTATTAGTATTGAATAAAAGTATACATATCAATAATAGTAAATATGAACTCGTGATTATGTTCGTGCTGGTGTTAGTGCCAGTGTCGATGTCAATGTCAGTAATAGTACTCGTGTTAGTATTAGTATCAGTCTGAATGCTGGTTTTAGTATCTGTTTATTATTCACAGAAGTGCTGGTATTAGTATCAGTAATAGAAATAGTTTTGATATGTGAATATACTGATTGATTCGTACATTTTGAGCTTAATATAATAATACAGTAATGTATTCGAACAATAGTATATTTGCAGAGTTGAAGATTGCGCGAATATATTAGTACGTTGGTGCATGAGTACATTAGTATATTGGTGTATCATGATATTCGTATGTTAACGTAGTAGTATATTAGTATATTATTATAGTGGTCTATTACTACATTTACTATATTCGTATTTTCCCTAATAGCTTATAGGTATATCAATATGTTGGCATAATGGCATGTGAACATGTCAGTGTACTTGCCTTTTACAGTATTCGTATATTAGTACACTAGCATATTTAGTGATAATTAGTGTTGATGCCAGTGCCAATGTCGATGTCAGTTTTAATCAGTCTTAATGATGAATTTAACATCAGTGTAATATTCGCGGACGTGCTAGTATGCGTATCAATACTATAATTAGTTTTGATATATTAGTATACTGATAGATTATATAAACAGCTTAGTATACCAACACATTATAATGTATTCGAACAGTAATATGTTTGTATACCTGTATGTTTGTATGCTCTTAGTATATTAATGCATGCGTACGTTCGTGCATGAGTACATTAGTACATTGGTGTGCTATTATCTTCGATTCTTAACATATTAGTGTATGAGTATCCTGGTATGCTACTTCACTTATCATATTCGTAGATTATCTAACAAATTTTTTGGTATATCCATATGTTAGTATACCATTGCCATGTGTCAGTGTACTTGCGTATTACAGTGTTCGTGTCTTAGCAAGTTAGCATATCAATACAGTATAATCAGACGTTAACAAGTAGTATATTGTCACGTTGGAAACTGGGTATATGACAAATTAAATACGAATATACTACGTTAGTACACGAATGCATTGATATATTTGCTTTTCAGATAGTGGTATGTATATCTGCGGACATTAATATACGCAGGTGTCTGTTAGTATTGGCATTAATATCAATATGAATATGACTATTGGTAGGCGTAGGAGTATTAATGTTAATAATAGAATTAGTAATGTGCATATTCGAAATGAAAGCATTAATATACATGTCAACGTTAGTGTTAAAAGCACTACACAGTAATCTTACTTGAGTCATATATAGAGCAGATTCCAGCATTTCCAAAATTTCCAAAATTCTCTCCCCTAACTTTCCGGATTTCCAAAATTTCCAAAATTTCCAAAATTTCCAAAAAAATTTCCAAAATTTCCAAAATTTCCAAAATTTCCAAAATTTCCAAAATTTCCGCCCTTATGTTTTTGGAAAAATCAAGGTCGGGACTTTTTGGAAATTTTGGAAATTTTGGAAATTTGGAAATTTTGGAAATCTGGAAAGTTAGGGGAGAGAATTTTGGAAATTTTGGAAATTTTGGAAATGCTGGAATCTGCTCTATATATGACTCAAGTAAGATTACTGTGTAGTGCTTACTATGTAGTGTGTCAGCACAACCCTCATCCATACACGTGTGCTCTGTAATTCCTTTCTTGGTAGGACACCCGCGCGCCTTATCGTGCTGCTTTCTGGTCTCAGTCTTTTGGTGGTTCCAGGGATACGTTCGGAGGGCTCAAACTCGATACTCCGGAAAAAGCACGAACACGCCGGTGGGAGCGATGTTTTAAAGGGGATGGTCTGTCATGGGGGGGGGGGGGGTGACCATATATATATATATATATACATACACATGCATATACATGCATATACACACACGCACGCGAAGGCCCTAAAGATCCGTCAAGATGCCGACTGTTTGCCGTACTTGGTGTGCCGTATCTCCTCGAAGCTACGTCGAAGGTCATCGACTTGAAACGCCTCGCAGCAGCCGTAGAGAGAACAGTCTTGATGAGAGGCTCAGCAAGGACCGATGAAGCAACTTCATAGAGCTCCATCCGGAGCCTAACCTTACTGGGGGTTAGGATATTGACGTCTTTGGTCAGCTCTACACAACTGCTAGAAGGGTCCAGGGTCAAGCCCTCTTACACTCAGTAAGGCACTACACTGCAACTATTCTCTCAATCTTCCTGCTTTGTGGTCAGTGCCGACTACGTACATAGTTGCATCGCGACCCCCATGTGATGCTAAAGATGAGTCCATGAGGCAGTGGCACAGCAGCACAACTAAACGCAGATGAAGCACTGGAGCATGTAACAGCACATAGTTGGAACAGAGTCTAATATGGTAAACCGCTACTCGCTACTGTCATCTGGTCATTGCATTGGAAATCACTCAAGACCTCATCATGACACTGCACAACAGCGGAATGGCCATGGCGGCCAGCCGGCTAGCAATCATGGTGGGGCACATGTCTGCGTCAACCGATAACTATAACACAAAGTTGCACAGTTTCAGAATATGCATATACACTGACACAAGCATGGAGAAACTCAGAGGTGGTGATGAATAATAGAAGCAATTAAGTCGGTCAGTAAAGATGCAAACAAGTAAGGACAAAGCTCAGTAAGCACGTGCGTCAGCAAGTGAGTCAGAGAGTAAGTACCTACGGCGTATAGTTGCGTTTTTCTGCCTTGCCGCAAGTCCTGTACACTGTACATGTTGGTCCCGTGATCGTTGGTGGAATTATGCAAGGAGTAAAGACCTACAAGCGAATCTTGCAAGTACCAGTCACGACTGTTACACTGTAAGCCATCTGTACACCCATACTTCCTGCCGCCGCATGGCAGCAGGCCAAGAAGGACATAACTAAAACTTCTGAGGCAAAGGAAGCTAAGTGATCTCCTAGGCACTTCGAACCCCCGGAGCGGCTCAGGAGCGTCACCCGGAGCGTATGCGTGAAGCGCGGCGGTGAAGAAAGGCGCTCACTCTCTCCTCCCGCGTCGCTGGCTTCGGCTGAAGCCGGGTCTTCGGCCCACCCTTGTAGACCTTCAGGTGCCAGAAGCCAGGATATATTATCATTATTCTTATTATTCACGGGTCCTTCTAAGAAGGATCTGACTATTTAAATTTCGAGTTCCATAAAAGTTGAACGAAGTGTCCTTTATGTTCAAAGACCCTCACCTTCGCCGGAGGCAAAGAGGGCTGGAGCCGAGGCTGCGCCGGCGGAGGCGGCGGCGCAGCGGCCGCAACCAGGGGCTCTGTGCTGTGGAGCCCTGGGTCCCAGGCTTCAAAGAGCGGAATCACCCGACCTTCATGGGTAGTTGTCAGAATTAGGGTCCCTTTTTGGGGTCCTTATTATAATACGGCACCTAATATTTAGGGTACCTAACAAGGGGCCACAATTTTGACAACCACCCTCATCGAAGACCACGATGGCATCTCCCACGTGACGCACATGTTGCGACTCTGCCGTGACGTAGTGGTTCCCGAGGAGGTACTTCCTGGCAAGCGGAACTGCATCGTCCAACACCCCACACACCAGCATCGGCCTTGTGGAACCCCGGCAGAATCCGAAGGACAACCCAGGGTTCTGCGTCTTCGCAGTGTAAATGCCATTGCCATGGGATGCCCCATGAGCGACGCGAACGCCCTGCTCACCCCCGGGAACGAGCAGTCCCTTTGCATAAATCGATGGAAGGTTTGCCTCGTTGGTGCCATGGAAAACAGGACAGAGGTTGCTGCCCTTCTTCTGAATCTGCGCCCTGAACCGATCGTAAACACTCTTGTTCGTAGGGGTGGCGCGCAACATGATCTCGTTCCGGAAGATCCCACGCAATCCGGAGCAAATGGCTGGCGAGAACTGCTCTAGAAACTCCATCTGGAAGCTCCGAAGAGAATCCTGTCTGCCATCAGCTAAACTTTGCTCCAAGAGCTTCACGTTGTGCTTGTTTCGGAGACTTCCTGCCAGCATCTTAAGCTTGTCTGGGACTTTCTTTTCCTTGGATTTGGGCTCGCGCTTCTCGCCACTCTGTGTAGACTTCGTGTACAGCTTGGCCATCACGTCGGCCCGCCCGATGGCTTCATCCCAGCGCTTCGAAACATTTGAGCGCTCTCCATGCATCTGCGGCTCGCAGGGATGGTCACAACTTGAAGCTGTCGTGGATGGTGTACGGCAGCTGCTGAAGCTGATATCTGAAAAAGAATCAAGGTCCTCGAACCAGTCTTCCTCTTCCCATTCGGGCTCTTCCTCCGCCTGCGATTCCCACTCTTGCGTCATCTCATCCATGTCCTGGAGACAGGCCACCACCTCCTGCCGGAGTAAGTTGCGGCGCGTCTGGGCCTTGTAATCCTGGGCTCTTGTGAAAGAGCTGTGCTTAAGCTACCATTATGAAGAAAGCAAATCATCCGGTAGACATCTCTACTAGATGAGGAAACTAAGCTCCTGAAACAAAACCCTAAGACACTAGCCAACCCTCAAGAGCCCCTATGAAGTTATTGTCCCTGACATCAGGTCCTTCAGAAGAACCTCGTATCCTGGGCTCTTGCTAACGGATTTAATTCAAGATACCATAATAAGAGTCTATTGTCAAAAAGATGGTTCCCTCATATATGGTAACTTAAATTAACTCCCTAAATCAGAACCTAGTATCGCTCCCATACTTTCCATAGAAAGTCGGATCCAGATAGCGCCGTCGGCTCCCGTTGTGAAGGCTGCGCTTCACGGTGGAACGACCCGGGCCACCCTTACTCAAAAGGGTTTAGGGTTTGGGGTTTGGTGTCTGGGATTTCGGGTTTAGGGGTTTAGGGTTTAGGCTTGAGGCCTTCGTAGTTTCGGATCTAGGGGGATATTGTTGAGGGCTGAGTATCTTAAACTAGTAAGTTGGGCGATGACAGAGGATACGAACGCATAATAGCTGATCATAACTCTGTCATGTAAGTGCAGAATCCCCAGCTTGGGGATAACTGACTATAAGTATGACCCCGTTGAGATACTCACGACACTACGTATCCTACTCTCTATCTCTCTCTCTCTCTCTCTCTCTCCCAGGCATTGGACAACCCTCACATCCTTAATTAACCCTTTTGCAACAGGCTTCGCACTTCGCCTGGAGTTGTAGCAGCATGCCTAAATCCTAAACTCAAAACACTGTAATAAGACTATACTCATATTCTGCTAGACTGTACCCTAACACCCTAAACCCTAACACCCTAAACCCTAACGTAGAAAAAGTCTTGGCAAGGAGCCTTGCCATCAGAAGTCTCTGCCGCTTCCTCCGCTTCGAGAACCAGACGCTTCCTCGGCCCATGTCAGGTCAGGAAAAGGGGATCCTTGCTTGGAAGGTCGGGGGGGGTAAGTAGGTAACGAGTCGACTTATAGGCACCCTTAAAGGGGTTTTAGAGTCTTTAAAACAGCTACTTACTAAGCCCCCCGACCCTGCAAGCATGCGCGAAGGATTGTCGGAGGGTTCCAGAAAACCTAAACAGGGGTGTTAGAACGGGGTGAGGGCAATCGTTTGTGAGCTCCAGTTTCGAGATATCGGGAAACCCAAACCACTAAAAGCGGAAAGCATCCTTAACATTGGCCAAGCTTCCGGTGGCCATGCTTTAGAGACCAGCCACGAGGGTCCTGGGCTGCAAACTTACAGGAAGATCTATACTTAAGGATATGCTATAATAGAACTGAAGCATGGTTGACAATGTATTAAATTCTCAATCAAAATGTATTGAATATACTATATACGATGCTAAGTAAGACTTACTACAATAACCGTCAAAGGCTTAGGTTCCTTCAAGTCGGCAGCCTCTGACGCAGCCATTGCAGAAGGGATCTGTGGCTGCTGTGGCTGCTACAGAGAAGCTGGGTTCTTGTCCAGGAGTCTAATTTAAGTTACCATACGTAATAGGAATCTATGGTAAATGACAGGGTTTCCTTCTTATGGCAATTTAAATTAACGTATAAGTCCTTAACAAGAACCCAGGAAGACGCCCCTAAGCCCGACTGTACCGGCATCCAACATGGAGTCCAGTATGGCAGAGTCCAGAGCCCCTTCCTGCAGGGTTCCTGTCATAACATTAAGGATAATGTGCTTATTGCTACTTTCTTCGCGAATATATATATATATATATATATATATATCTATATATATATATATATACACAAAGAGGTCAGGTGGATCCGTGGACACGGGTCGCAGGCAGCAAGCCTTGGTGCTCGAGTCCACCACCTTCAACAGGGACTGCCCGTCCTGCGTGCCGTCTCGGATTTAGGGTTTGGCAGTTTAGCAACACAGCGTCTGATTTCAGTCTCTGCGCATCCCCAAACTACACACTTTCTCAAGGAACGCCCCCAAACCCAGACTCTCTGGCAGATGTACAAATTAAAGGGGCCTAGCTTTCTGAAGGTTCCTCAATATAACCTTCCTAAAACATCCCCCGAAAGTCTGATTCAATTCTTGCGGCAAAGTCTGGTAGCAAGATTCACTTACCTTTGGTTAGTAGGGAATGGAAGAATGGTAGTAATAGTAGTCATGATTGTACCCCATTCCTCCATTCCCTACTAACCAAGGGTAAGTTCAGGGGCAGTTTGGCCTTGCTCTTCCCGCCCAGCCTCGGTCTTGCCGGTGCGGGCAGCTGTTGAAAGCTTGAGATTGTGATTCCGGAGGGTTGTACATGGTCTGAGATGGTTTTCCGCGGGTGGATTATGGATATTACGTGTGTGTATACATAAATATATATGTAGAGATATACACATATATCTTCATATACATAGATGTATTGGCGCCGCCCTTGGACAAGTGCCAGAACTAAGACCTGGCGACCACGCATTGCAAGTATGCAACTGAAACAGGAGGGTGAACCCCTCGCAGCCACTATGGTAACCTTTAGATCGCAACCTTAGCCCTTGTAGAGTGGGTTCTTATCAATGGATTTAACTAAAGTTATCATGGTTTCTTGATCATGGTAACTTAAATAAAACTCCTTGACAAGAGCCCAGAATCCCAGGTCACCTTGACCATGGTGAAAGCTGCTGACTTGGGTGTTGTTGTTGAGGTAAGGATATGATGGAAACGATGCTAGCTTTGCCCTAAGGCCCCATAGTAGTTCCTTGTTGGGATTACGTTGTAGGATTCTAAATATGAACCACAAAAAAGGAACTACTATGGGGCCTTAGGGTGGATTGCAGTGAAATCCGAGCATACGCTCCCAAAGGTCGACCCTGAAATGAAAAGTAGGAGCCGACTCATCCCAAACCCCCCCTGAACGAGGCGATAATCATAAGATCACCACCTAACTCCAAGCCATGAACGGTTCAAGTTTCTTATAAGATCCCCGTACACATCACATAAGATCCTAAAACCTCCTGCAAACCTCTGATTTTGGAATTTGCAACCCTACTTTCGCTCCTATGTAGACTGAACCTTAGTCTAAAAGCACTCACTAACCGTAAACCTCAAAACCCCGAAAACTCACCCAAAAATCATGGGCCCGAAAACCCCAAAGCCTATACTTCAAAGCCCTCGACTTAGGCCATAATCCCCGTAGATCCGCCCCCTTTCGGGGAGGTCCAAGTTGCCGGTAGGAGCCCACGTGCTCCCACTTGAAGCCTCCAGCCGACAGTCTGAGCGTCAGCAGGCCGTCACCTGCTTGAGCAGACGGTTTAGGGTTTAGGGCTTAGGGTTTAGGGGTTAGAGGGTTGAGGGTTTAGGCGTTTTCAGGTTGGGAGTTTAGGGCTTCGGTTTGCATGATATAACAGTAGCTTCTGATTCGAGCGCTTTTTTGGAATCGCTTTTGTTTGGGGAGTCCTTTTGTCTACAGTAAAGCCACAAAATTTGGAAACCCAATAGCCTGACTCCTTACGAGTAATGTATAGGGAATCCCCGCACTATTTGGCCTTAATCCGGTTTCCAACTTTATGGGGATTACTGTAGGCTTCAGGATTTGGTCTCGCAGCTCGATCTGCCCAACAAGGTACTGGGTTTGGGCTGAATACAGAGCAGCTTGAAAAGTGAGTACTATAAACGCCCCTTTGCTGCCATATGCACCGAAATCACCAAAACCTTGAGCTCCTCCTCTACGATTCCAAGTTTTGTCTCCGATATTGAAAGCTGCACTGTGGCTTCGGGGGTCTCAGCTGCAACAGTGGAGCTTGTAGGCTCTGACAGAAACCGCTTTTCAGCATGGGCATGGATTGTGTGCCAGCGAGCACTCCTCAACATCAGGGCTTTCTCGTAAAGCCCTTAACTAAACATGCAAAAGTTTCTAAATCGAGTTTCAAATTCTGAACTCTAAGCCCTAAACCGTCATGGCCCCTAAGCCTTTCTTGTCAAAACCCCTAAGCCCTTTTTGCCCCCAAACCCTCAGCCCCCAAAAAAGGAGCCTACGGTCTTCACCACCAGCTGGTTCTCTCCGAGGATGGTGTCCGTGGCGGTCCAGGAGTCGCTGGCCATATCCTGGGAAGTTGGTTGGGAAGACTTCGGGCTTCGGTTTAGGGTTTCGGGTTTAGGGCTTAGGGTTTAGGATTTACGCTCTCGCAACTCGGACGCATCCAGACGAGGTTCTTGGTCGGCGGGTCGGGTGTCTACAGCGTGTTCCCAGTGGTGCTCAGAACAGGCCCAAACAGAAAGGTAGTGCCACGGAGTACGACCAAAGGGTTCACGTGGGAACTACGTAGTTGCATCCACAATCAAGACAGCGCAAACAGAAGGTGAAGCCATATATGACGGATGCAGAAACTCCCCGGCAGCCAGCATCTACAATCCAAGCATGTAGAGGGGCTAGTAAAGCATGGTGCGGGTATCCCCAACTCCAAAGCAACTCCTACGGAGGGCACAGGCAGACTCGGTTAGGGTTTGGGGTTTAGGTTTAGTAGCTCTCAGATCCCAGCCGGAAAGATCTAGAAAGTAGATCCCCAAACTTGGGGCCCTATACTACTAAGGGTACTGCAAAGGAACCCCCATTCAGGGATCTACTTTTTGGATCCTCCCGGCGGTCTGGGTTGGGTTGAGCCATGGTCCCCAGAAGCCCCGAGCTGTTCAGGCTGAAATTCTGCGAGTTCCTGACAGAGGGATCCCAGGTTGGTCAAACAACGCCGCCCCTTGTGAGTGGCCGTGTGAGTGGTTGGCAAAATTATGGTCCCTTTTGGGTCCTTATTAAAAAATACGGCACGTATATTTAGGCTACCCAAGAAGGTGCCATGATTTTGTGAACTACCCGTATGAGGGTCCCTCATGTTCCGAAGCTCTCACGGTCTCTGCTGCAACGCACATCTTGCGCGCAATGTCGATCGGACGTTGAGGGTGCACGTCCGCTCCTGTGCTTTGCTGTGCTGCGTGCAAGTGGCCCCAAACCCAAACCAGCTTCTTCAGCTAGGCATCATACTCCTTCACCGTCTCCTTGTGTTCCGCTTGGAGTATGACGCCAGACCTCATCAGACCGAAACTTCGCAAGAAGCTTGTGCAAGGGGATTAGGGCATTAAACTCTCACACTCACCCATAGGGTGTAGGGCCAGCTCAGGCTCTGTGGCACGGATTCCAGCAAGCTGCTCAGCTGGCGTGAGAAAGACAAAGGCGGAAGAGGCAGTACTAGAGCTTTGCGCTCTCACAACTGGGAGCTACCTAGAATTAGGGTACCTTATTTAGGGTCCTTATCATAAGAATCCCAGTATAATATAGGGTGCCATAGTAGGGTCGCCCATTTTCGGAAACTCCCAACTTGGACAAGCCAGGCGGGGTTGCAAGTAGGGGTCGGGGTGAAACAGGATGCCTTCTATTCTACGAGAGGGTTTTCAGCACTCACAACTGGGACATGGCGAGGCAACGAGTTCGCTTGCGAGGCACATTGGCAACTAGAAGAAGGATTTTAGGTTTCGGCGCTCACACTCGGACAATAGGGTTTGGGGATATAGGCTGTGATTGAAGCTTCAGAGCTTTAGGGTTTAGGGTAGTTTAGGGATTATGGCTTTGAGCTTTGGGGCCGGGAGGTGTCCGGTGAACGCTTCGGGCCCAACCCAAATCCGTAGCTAATCGTGCGTAACATGGCCTGCGCAAGTCGGACCTACAATGCACAGAATCATCGATGTAGGGGCCTGAGTAGTGAGACTGAAGGAACCTGTAGTTCTTCTGGGTGTTTGTAACCCTAAGCCCTAAACCCTATATACTTCCACAGAACTTCCCACACACCGAGCGTCAGAGAGAGCCCGATTCGCTCCCAGCCCAGAAGTAGCTCCTGCTTCTCGAGCTTTTCGTTTCGCGCTTCGGGTCTTGTTGTCCGGAGGTGATCCCCTTGCTTTGTGGAGAGACGAGCAGCCCTGACAGCTGGTACATCGAAGGAATAGGGCTTGCATCAGAAATCCTCAAGCTCCGCAGGGATCACAAGGTTCACAGCTAACTTCCTGAGTGGGGATACCGTAATTCCGCTAGCTATGCTACTGTAAAGTACTGTAGGATTGGGCCGCATTGGGCCCATCAGCTGTAAATCCGCTGCTGCTTCCAAAAGGCGCTCGAAGCTTTGATTCTCCATTGTCCCCCCTCTGTTCCGGAAGAAAGGCGTCAGGCGGGTGGGGCTTAGAGTTTAAGGCGTTTAGGCTTTTGGGCTTATGGGGCTTAAGGCTTGAAAGGTTATAGGCTTCCGAGCCCCTGGATCTGCATGCAGGACACTTCCTTGACCTACCGGGCCATCTTACCATCTGGCAAACTTAACATAGTTTAACAGCTACCAACACACTAAAGAGGAGCACCCTGCAATGCACGGAAATGCACAGCCTCCGCCCGAAGAGCTGGAAGTCCACTCCCAAACTTCAACCCTAGACCCTATGTGTAAAAACCTGAAACCGAAACGAAGGCCTTCAACACTCTAAGCCGACACCCCGAACATCTCCTTTGTATAGTTAGAGTATACTACGGAAGTCCTAAGACATCGGAGCACCCCCTAAAGTGTATCCACGCCCCCACCTGCAACTCTAGGTCGTCGCATATTCTGGAGCCCTTGACGACGCCTCAGTGGCAACGGAGAACGGGCGGGTTGGGAGCTCCAGAGACTCCAAAATCTCTTAATTAAGGAATCTACCGTAAATCAAAATTAGGATCCCTAATGCGATTTAAGGTATCTATTCCTGAATTCAGGGCTTTTGGAGGCCCCGGGGTCCGGGGCTTCAGAAAGCTGAGGGCCCAGCTGCTGCCCCCAAATCTGCCTGCTCCGCTGCCCATGGCTCCCAAGGCCTACCGTTTCGGCTCTGGGGACTTTAAAAATTAGAACAGGGCTCTTTTTTTCTTTTGTGGGCCCTTTTTCAACTGCAGCTTCCAGGGCTCTTTGATATATTGGTTCCTGTACAGGTCAAGTGTCATGACGGCTCTATAGGATGACTTGGAGTCGGCTTTGCTGGTTCTATTGGGCCGTTCATACTTGCGCACTTAGCATCCTGGGACTGCAGAAAAATGTCATAATTCCTACTGACAAGAATATGGTTTAGTTTAGTGTTTGGGGGTACAACAGACTTAGCAGATATTCAGTTTGGCAGCAAACCTATCTTTCTCGATCTCTCAAGCAGTAGCTAGCTACGATGATGATCACTGCGGCACAAGGCAAACAGAGGAGAAATATGTGATATATATATATATATATATGTATATACATATATATATATATAACCTTTGTTTGTTATATACATACATGCTACATTGTATCGAGACATCATGAAGCCTCCCATCATCCCGCAGACGACTAGCAGCCATGCTCTTGGGCCCAACACATTCAAGTCAGCGAAAGTTGCGGCCAGCAGTCAAGAAGTCCTGCAACAATGACCTGCTGGTGACAGAAGAAAGCCGATGCTGTTTTGCTCGTGACAACTTTCGGGATGGCTCCAAGGATACCAACGCGGAAAAATCGTTAGTAACCTGCTGCTGGGACATCAGGCTGCAGGCCGACCTCCTCCCAGCCAGACAAAAGCATATAGATGAGATGCAAGTGAAACTGGAGGAAAGGCTGGGACAGGCTCAGGACTTCACGGTGCCATTGCACCATACGCCATTGCATCCACCACAAGTGCTTGGAGAGGCACACTCCGTGCCCGGGACTGCCCTATGTCCTTCGTACTTCTCCGCCATCTCGCAAACCTTCAAGATCTCTTCCGGATCTGTGGGGGCTGCACCCAACTTGTCACTCCCGAGCATCGGATCACTTCGCTCACTCGGGTAGGCGCAGAAACCGCTGGCTGCATCCGTCATCGGCCATGTCTTGGCGGTCTCGTTGTCGTTCTGCAAGGGGTACGCATCGGTCTCATTCTGGGCCTGCGTCTGCAACAGGGACTTCACAGTGCCGTTGCACCACACGCCATTGCATCCACCACAAGTGCTTGGAGAAGCACACTCCGTGCCCGGGACTGCCCTATGTCCTTCGTACTTCTCTGCCATCTCGCAAACCTTCAAAATCTCTTCCGGATCTGTGGGGGCTGCACCCAACTTGTCACTCCCGAGCATCGGATCACTTCGCTCACTCGGGTAAGCGCAGAAACCGCTGGCTGCATCCGTCATCGGCCATGTCTTGGCGGTCTCGTTGTCGCTCTGCAAGGGGTACGCATCGGTCTCATTCTGGGCCTGCGTCTGCAACAGGGACTTCACAGTGCCGTTGCACCACACACCATTGCATCCACCACAAGTGCTTGGAGAGGCACACTCCGTGCCCGGGACTGCCCTATGTCCTTCGTACTTCTCTGCCATCTCGCAAACCTTCAAATCTCTTCCGGATCTGTGGGGGCTGCACCCAACTTGTCACTCCCGAGCATCGGATCACTTCGCTCACTCGGGTAGGCGCAGAAACCGCTGGCTGCATCCGTCATCGGCCATGTCTTGGCGGTCTCGTTGTCGTTCTGCAAGGGGTACGCATCGGTCTCATTCTGGGCCTGCGTCTGCAACAGGGACTTCACAGTGCCGTTGCACCACACTCCATTGCATCCACCACAAGTGCTTGGAGAAGCACACTCCGTGCCCGGGACTGCCCTATGTCCTTCGTACTTCTCTGCCATCTCGCAAACCTTCAAGATCTCTTCCGGATCTGTGGGGGCTGCACCCAACTTGTCACTCCCGAGCATCGGATCACTTCGCTCACTCGGGTAGGCGCAGAAACCGCTGGCTGCATCCGTCATCGGCCATGTCTTGGCGGTCTCGTTGTCGTTCTGCAAGGGGTACGCATCGGTCTCATTCTGGGCCTGCGTCTGCAACAGGGACTTCACAGTGCCGTTGCACCACACTCCATTGCATCCACCACAAGTGCTTGGAGAAGCACACTCCGTGCCCGGGACTGCCCTATGTCCTTCGTACTTCTCGGCCATCTCGCAAACCTTCAAAATCTCTTCCGGATCTGTGGGGGCTGCACCCAACTTGTCACTCCCGAGCATCGGATCACTTCGCTCACTCGGGTAGGCACAGAAACCGCTGGCTGCATCCGTCATCGGCCATGTCTTGGCGGTCTCGTTGTCGTTCTGCAAGGGGTACGCATCGGTCTCATTCTGGGCCTGCGTCTGCAACAGGGACTTCACAGTGCCGTTGCACCACACGCCATTGCATCCACCACAAGTGCTTGGAGAAGCACACTCCGTGCCCGGGACTGCCCTATGTCCTTCGTACTTCTCTGCCATCTCGCAAACCTTCAAGATCTCTTCCGGATCTGTGGGGGCTGCACCCAACTTGTCACTCCCGAGCATCGGATCACTTCGCTCACTCGGGTAGGCGCAGAAACCGCTGGCTGCATCCGTCATCGGCCATGTCTTGGCGGTCTCGTTGTCGTTCTGCAAGGGGTACGCATCGGTCTCATTCTGGGCCTGCGTCTGCAACAGGGACTTCACAGCGCCATCGCACCAAACGCCATTGCATTGCGGGCATGCTGCTGGTGTGGCACATTCTGTGCCCGGCTCAGAACTATGACCGGGATACTTCTTGGCCATCTCACAAACCTTCAAGATCTCTGCCGGATCTGTGGGGGCTGCACCCAGGGATCCTAGAGATGGATCGCTTCGCTCGCTGGCAAAGGCGCAGAACCCGCTTGCGGAGCCCGTCATCGGCCATTCCTGGGTTCGTGTTAAGGGATTTGATTTAAGTTTCCATAATTAGGAAACCCTATTATTTACTATAGATCCGTATTATGGTAACTCAAAATAAACTCCTTAACAAGAACCCAGATTCTTGCTGAACTGCGGTGTCCTTTGCAAGGGGGATGTCCTGCTGGTTTCCTTAGTTCTCGGATGCTTTGGCGATCTCACCGGCTACTTTCACAAGAAACACTCCTGGGTCGTCGGGAGCTTCTCTCTCTGTGCTTCCTGTTCTTCTTGTTCGCCGTTGTGCGCGTGGAGCTGGGTGTACATGACTGTTTCACAGCGAGGCTCATGTGCCTCTTGAAACGTTTGTCCGCCTCCTGCCTCTTCCCCTTTTCTTTGCCATGAAGAGAACTTGCCAAACTTGTTGCACGCTCTAAACCAAGCTGAAACCCTGAACCCTGAAACTCATCGGGCCCAGTTGTGAGAGCTAAACCCCTAAACTTTCAAACTAAACCCTGTACGCCATCAACCCTTAACCCTGCTTTGAAGCTGAAAGCCTACAGCTTTTACATCCGGGCCTCGGATGCAAGCCTAAACCTAAAGCCCAAACCTCAAACCCCTAAAATTAAGCCCCAAAGCCCGAACTTCGCCCTGAAACTTCTAATATATGGGCCTGAATAATTAGAAATAGGGTTTTGGGGCCCATTATACTGTAATCGTAATAAGGAACCCCCAAAATAGTATAGGTAATTATTCAGGCCCCTATAGATAGAGTCTAGATTTGTCTACCTAAAGCCTAAACCCCCAAAGTATGTAAGATTATGTCCTAAAACCTATAAGAAGGCCATCTTCTGCATACTTAATTTCGTCTCCCAAGGGGCCATGCTCATGGAGGCGAATTTCGGCTTGGCTGCGCTGGCCACGGAGCTGGCGGAGTGAAAGATGGCACTCTTCGGAGCCTGGCCAATTGGTGTAAAAGATTAGTAGGTGCCACAAATAAAATAGAATATGGTATAGTAGGTTCAACAGAATAAAATGAATCAAATAAAACAGAATGTTTGTGTGTGTGTATCATAATATGGTTACTGCCGGAATTTGCTATGGGTTGTTTTGATGTTCATCTCGTGAATGCTGAAACTGTGAACTTGTGCGGGCTTCACCACTTCGCAGTGTCTGAGCTCTTGCTACCACGGGTGCTGGTGGATAAGATTCGTAATTAGCATGCTGCTACTACGCTGTATGTTGGTGGAGGCTAGGCCAAACGTCTGGGATCGCGGCCTGTTTCACACACATCCTCGCTCAGGAGGTCTAGCTCGTCTGCAAGCGTGATGGCCCAAGTGGCAAGCCTGTCAAGAAAACAAGCAGGACACATTGCGCATGTGCATGGGCATTGCAGCGTCTGTCAGAACACTCCCGTCTGAGCTTGGCACCAAAGCTTCAACATCTGCAGGTTGAACATGCAGGCGCGCAGGACCTCAGAGTGTGGCAGGCTCGCAAACCCTCCGTGTTTTGAAGCAAGCATGCAAGCTCTCTCGTTTCAAGAGGCTCCGCCCCTCCATGAGATTGTTGAAAAGCTTGGGGATACTCGTGTCTGAGTCTTCTCCAAATTCGCTGCTTTACGACCCATGTTGCAGACCGGCCACAACCGAACGCAGAGCCAAAACCCTGAGAACCGGACCTCACCGAAATGGTATCCACTAACTCATTCTAGGGTATACTATGTCACGCTATGTTCTACTACATCTACTACCGTACACTATATTGAAGTTATACTATATCATGCGATATTCTGCTTGACCCTGTTGGCAAAAGGCTGGGGATGTGGCGCAGCGCCCGTGCGTTTGACGGGACTACGGAGGAAAACGCTACTGGCAAGAAAGTATAAGAAGCCTCACGGCAGCAGGCTTTGCTTTAAAGCACAACGATGAAGAAGAACATGAGCAAGAATACAATAGTCGTAGTGGCGGCGGTGCTGGTTGAAATGACGGTGCTGATGTGATGATGATGATGGTGATGATGATGGCGATGAAGGTCTTGGTGGTGGCGCTGAGAGTTGGGCAGTACTGTACAAGTCACTGCAGGTTTGGAGCTAGGGGTCATTCGCACCAGTACTAATACTTCTGCAGCGACATATGATGTTCACGGCCTTGATCTTCAGGACGTAGTGGTCGTGGTAGTCGTGGCGGTGGTGGTGGTGGTGGTGGTGGTGGTGGTGGTGGTGGTGGTGGTGGTGGTGGTGGTGGTGGTGGTGGTGGTCGTGGTGGTGCTACTGCTGCTGCTGCTACTACTACGGCCACCACCACCACCACCACCACCACCACCACCACGACTGTGCCTACAACTATGACGACTGCAACGACGACACGACGAATTACTACTACTCATACTACGAAGAACAAATTCTCGACAGAACGGCCGAAAGCGCTGCACAAGAACATCTATACATTCCACTTTACAAAGAACTCTAAACCCAGACAAAAGAGGAAAAGGTACCACCGGAACTTGGGCATTTTTTTCCATCTTGCTGGTGGACGGTCGGCTTGAGGCTCCTCGGAGCAGCGTTACCCGGTCACGGGGGATTGGGGTTTCAGGCTTTGGGGGCTTTGTTTTTCGGGTTTAGGGCGTCGCACACACATGACAAGGAAACGGGCTGAGATTCTAGGCTAGGACTTCGTGACGTGACTGCTCGGGGTTGGGGTTCCGGGTTGGGGGTGGTGGTCGTCGTACAGTAGCTGAGGCAGCAGTTGCAGCAGTGGTCGTCGTCGTATAGGTGCCACAGCCTTCGAAAGTAGTGATCGCAGCCACTGGGTGGAGGGAACCCAGATGTCATAATGCCCTTTTTGCGACATCTGAATTGCCTCCACCCAGCGGCTGCGATGTCATGATACCCTTTTTTTTGCCGCAGGCCTCGTTGTCCAGCAGCCCGGTTACAGCAAGAGCCCCTCTTTCCCCCGCTTCTTCAAAGCAAGGAGAGGAGTCGAGCTGACACTGATACCCTAAACCTTAAACCGCCCGTCCTGAAGCCTCAGTAGGAACCACCAGCCAAAATACAGAGCTGTGGCGATGGCACTTGAAGGATCATGGGACTTAGTAACTGCGGTTGTAATTAATTGCTTATAACCCCAATTAGGGTACTTATAACCTAACTTACTAGGTCCCATGATCCTTCAAGAGGAGTCCGTTCTGTCGGCTGCGGGAAGCGTCCCGAAACATGAATCGATGTTCTGGGGCATGGGCCCTACCAAGGACCGTGGTTACCCATAGGCTACATAGCAGTTCCTTTTTGGGATTACCCCAAGAAGGAACTGCTATGGAGCCTATAGGTAGTTAAGGTTAAGGAGCCTTTGGAAACATGGTCACAAGGAACCTTGAAGGAACAAAGATGGTATGTATTCAAGCTTCTACACCTGGCCCAGTCAGTCACGTCTTAATACCTGATTAGCAACTCACCCGAAGAGCAGTCCTGAGCGCATCAAGGACGTCACGAACTGGCAGTGTGATGTTGAGCGACTGATGAAGCCCAACACCCTGGAGCATGACCTGCGAACTTGGAACGGTAAGTTCGATTTGGAGGTGTTGGGATTGATCTTGGTGGTTTCATTCAAAGGGTGCCTGCAAAGCAGCTTGTAAAGCAGGCAGTGCAACGAACGCCCATGTAAGGAAAGATCTCAGATGATCTGCCAGATACTGATTCCACTGCTGTCCTGGTCCTCCTGTCTCACGGGGCTCGGTCCCCCACTGCTCGGCTTGATGGCTTTCTTCGAAGGCCGTGCGTGCGCGAGATACTTACATGTATACATATATATATATATATATATATATATGTAAGTATACATGTATGTTTGTATACGACCTCTAAAGGTTTTTAACACATACCCTTAGTTTGCATGAAAGTATAACGACATCTCGAAAGCGGGACTACACCGGCAGACACTAAAGCCATACATCCCTGACACGCTAGGCCCGAACCCTCCACCCCCACACCGTACCTAACCCTAAGCCAGAAACCCCAAACTGTGGGCCTTAAACCCTCTCATTGATACGTCGCCTGAACCCTGAGTCTAAGCTCTGTACTCTGAGTCCTGAACCCTCAACCCTAAAACACCTAAACCCTAAAACCCCTTCAACCCTAGAATTTCTAGAATCCTAAACTAGGTCCTAAACCAAAAACCCTAAAGCCGCCAAACTGAACCCCCGCCCCTCAGGCCGCGGCCAGGCGGTAGTGGAAGCCGAGAGCATAGCCTGGGAGGGTCGTCCCAAGAAATACAGCGGCCCGAAGAATAGGGCTTGGGGCTTTTAGGGCGTTTAGGGCTTAACCAAACAGGTGTTATATGATAATTTTTTTTACGAAATCCTCCTTCTGTCTCGACTGATATGGCTTAGGACGGCTGTGGGTTTAGGGCTTCTGATTAACTAACTGAGTGTGCAATCACGAGATAGGTCAGTTAGGTGCAACGCTTTTAAGCCAAAGAATACGGCCCACCGATTGAATCCCAGGACATTACGAAAATCATGCCATTTCTTACACCCCATTTACGTCTCTGATTGTGGGAAGTAAACAAAAGCTGTCCCAAACCAGAATATTCAAAGCACGATGACAAACCAACTGCAGCAGCAGAAACAGTACTGGCAGCAGTAGGACTACTTCTTATACATACCTAGCCGGGTAGCCTTAGACAGCCCTAGACCGCAAAGGCCAAATCCCCATCGAGGTCCAAACAGGCCTTGATCTGCCCAACAGAAGCCACGAAAACCTGGTCCTGCTCACGAAGATCCTTGCCAACGAAAAGAGGCATGGCCACGGAAGTTCTAAAACATTAAATCGCAAACCCTAAGCCTTATACCCTAAACCCTACAATCCCTAAAGCCTAAAACCCCTAAACCCTGAGCCTTATTAAGCCCATCCGGGGTATTGAAATCAGGGGCATCTCTGCATGCAAGCCACTGTTGTGCGCCGTGTACTGCGAATGTGGCTCAGGCCTGCCCAGTACTTCCAGGCTTTTAAAGGGAACTCCAGAAAGTTGGAATATGGATGAATGGTAAGATCCCCTATAATTTACCTTAAAGGGGTTACGATAATGATATTCCAACTTTCTGGCTTCTACTGTAGGGTTTACGGCAGAGGGGTTAAGGGACTTGGAACCGGGGACGTACAAGAATCTACCTGGGCCCGAAATGTAAACCATTGGTCCTGGCAGGCTTAGTAAGCGGCTCTTGCGTAGGTTATAACTCGAGTTAATGCTTGGGATACCCCCTCCTCCCAGTCATAAATGATCCCCGTCTAACCTCAGAACTAACCTTTGGTTAGTAGGGAATGGAGGATTGGGGCATAATTATAAATACTATTACTACCATTCTTCCATTCCCTACTATATTATAGTACCCTTATATAGTAGCCCCTATGGGTCCCTTTAAAGGAACCCTACACCTTCGCTAAAGGTAAGAAAAATGACCGTCTTGCTCAGTCCAGTGGTCGTTCAAGCAAGGACTACTGGAGACTCCAATATCCCTTAATTCAGGAATATTCCTTAAATTATGATAGGATCCCTAATATGATTTAAGGAATATTCCTTAATTTAGGGATCTTGGAGTCTCTGGGGACTACTGGAGAAGGCAGCTGCAACTTCAGGGCTGGGACTTTACGTTAGGGTTCTTAAAAGGGCCCCTTAAAGGGATCTGTAGGGGCTCCTTAAAGGGATCTATAGGGTTTAGGGATTAGGGCGATCAGGGTCTACTTGAAGGATCATGGGACTTAGTAACTACGGTTATAATTAAGGTAACTATACTTATAGTTACTTAAAATGCCAATTAAGGTACTTGTAACCTAACTTACTAAGTCCCCTGATCCTCCAAGTAGGGCTTCTCCATTTTTCGGGCTTGAGGGGTTAGGGTTTAGTGCAGTAGGTTTTCGAAGCTTAGGCGTAGGTCATTCAAGGGTTGCGGGGTCGAGGCTTTTTGGGTTTACCTCACCACATGCGGCCCCGTCATGTTGAAGCGAATGTTGTGAGGTCATACCTCTCTCAGCCCCTCAACTCAGCGCTCCTCACGTTCTCCTTCTCATGCGATTTCGTCTTGAAGCTCCGAGTGTAGTCTCTCTCGTTAATAAACTAACTGAGTGACGGGCTTTCTGCTAAAGTCCACGATCGGCGAGGAACGCCACAAATTCAATACGGAAATCTCACTGCTTCTGTTCCGCACCTGCAACTCCACTGCGATGATGTTACCAGGTTTGGTCTAGGCTCTGGAGCTTTGTTGCTAGTTGCCCTTTAAAGTGTAAACCCCAACCCTCAGTTCAGGCAATTCCCGTCTCGGAATCGGGCAAGTTGATGTCAATGATCCCCGTGCCAGGGCGGCAGAACCTCGGCATAGGTTCAGAAACTGGGCAGCTTTGTTCCCTCCTACCTAGCAAGGACGAAGCCGCATTGCAGGGAATCTTGGTTGAACAGTTGGAAATTGGGCAGCTCTAGAGTTCAGGGTTTGGGACTCTAGCAGGGTTGACTGCATTCCGTTTGCTTCTGGGGCTTGCGGTTTTGAATGTTTGGGGTTTAGGGTTTAGGTTTTTTTTTTGGGGGGGGGTTAGGGTTTAGGGTTTAGGGGGATCATGGTTCCCGAAAGAAGCATGGCTTGTAGGAGGTCAGACCTGCAGCTACTTTGACCGATGCGTGCAGATCGACATGCAAGCTCAGTTGGTACTTCCCAAGCTACGCTACTGTAGAGCCCTTGGTCAAAGGATCCTAAAAAGAAGGAACCCAAAAAAACAAAACGGCAATATAAGGGCCAAAATAGTCAGAGCAGGGTTTTGGCATAATATATTCCAACTATAGCAAGGAGCCCTAAGGAATGGTATATACCAGGACCCCCCAAGTGCCCTCTAATAGAGCCCTTATGGTCCTTAATAATGGGTATTCGGGGCATATTAGGGGGTAGTTGGGGAAACCCTAAACCCCTTTCAGCACGGACTGAGGTGCCGGCCAGCGCCCACGAAACTCGCAGTCCCGTTTTAAGGCAAGGCAAGAGTTCGAAGGAAGAGCTGTAGAAGACAACGGACTGAAGCCCTAAACCCCTTTTCATCCAGGCCTAAACCCTAAACCCTAAACCCCTAAAGCCTAAACCCTAAATCCTAAACCCCTAAACCCGGGTCTAGGAGGCTTCTTTTCTACCACTGAGCTTGCAGCACCACGTTGGCTTGACCAGACCCATGCCTAAAGAAGCTTCAGATAAGTCTCGAGCTCCAGGAGGTTTAGGGGTTTAGAGTTTAGGGGTTCAGAGTTTAAAGTTTAGGGGTTTTCGAGTTTAGGGGTTCAGAATTTACGGTTTAGGGGTGTAGAGCTTTTGGGCTCCAGTGCTCCGGGTTCATACAGAGGCCTTCATAATCCCAGACCGCCGGGAGGATCCAAAAAGTCGATCCCTTGATGGGGGTTCCTATAAAGTACCCTTAGTAGTATAGGGCCCCGAATTCGGGGATCTACTTTCTAGATGCTCCCGGGGGTCAGGGATAGGGTTCCTTCAAAAAGTTCCTTTTAATGGGGTTCCTGAGAATAGGGTTCCTGTGAGGGTTATGGTAAGGGTTAAATGTAGGGGCGTTAATAATTAGAGTAGGGTTCCTTTTAATGTGGTTCCTTAGAATGGGGTTCCTCTAAGGGTTAAGATAAGAGTTAATACGGGCCTTCATAATCAAAATGGCGTTCCTCAGAATAGGGTTCCTTCAAGGGTTGTGATAAGGCTTAGTATAGGGGCCTTAACGCTTAGAATAGGGTTTTGGGGCCCATCTTACTATACTTATAATTAGGAAGCCCAAAGTAATTGGATAATTCTCTAGACTCCTACATTGCGGTTTAGGGGATTCGGGTTTTAGGGTTTGCACTTGTAGTGCTGATCCGACCGTCTGGGTTCTAGGGTTTAGGGTTTTGGGTCAGGAGGCGATAGACAAGGAATGCAGATTGAATCATGCAGGCTGACGGTTGAGTTGGGAACATGTGGCAGTTTCCCAGAAAAGGGGACTCTAACATAGCACCCTGAATAGTAGGATCCTTATTATAGGGACCCCTAAATAAGGTACCCCCAATTTTCGGAAACTCCCATGTGTTGAACATTTGCTTTGTGTGAATCCGAGATCGCCGGTGCCACGTGGGGAGCAAGAAGCGGAGGCTATGTGGACAAGAACCTTTGGCAAGCCCATAAATTCGAGACCCCAAAACGTGAACGGTAAACCCTAACTCACTGACTTGAACGCGTTTCGTTCTCAACACGCGCTGCAGCTATTTTTTGCATGACTGCTTCCGACACCCAACTGCAACAACTCGACTAACGTTCGAATGACATGTCATGCTGCCACGATGCACTCCCACCACGATGTCGGCCGAGTGGAAAAGCTCCATGGTTTCTCGTGCACTCGGCCTCGCAGTTCGGGACGTGCGGGTAGTTGCGTGATCCCGCTCATGTGGGAGTGAAGCTGCGTGTAACAAACACTCTTGATGTACAACTTTCTTTCTGTTCTGGGAGGTCTCCCTTCATGATCTTGGAGAGTTTTTTTCCCTCGCGGAGTGCAATGGAAGTCGAGACGGTCTAGTCGATGCATCTTGGAGGGATTTTTTCCCTAGATTTGGGCTTAGGGTTTATGGGCTTTAGGGTTTAGGGATGAAGCACAACAAGCAAAGCGAACTTTTGGGTGTCTGAGAGTACGCGCACACCAACAGCAAGCCCTGGACCACAGAGGTCATAAGCCTACTTGTCCAGCATCCTAGACGAAAGGCCAGGCTGTAGTGAATATAGTGCCTCAAAAGAGTGAAAGGTTAGGTAAAGGTCTAGAGTGAGAGTGGCTTTCCCGGTCGTGACGATCGTCACTATCATCATCACGACCCTCCCAGAATTGTTGGGGCACAATGCTATTTTCGGTATAACTAGACAGCACCTTATACTCACATTAAGGCTGTTGGGACCCAGATAGGGGTTTGAGAAAAGAAGAGATTCCAGCATGTGCCATTTGCCCCGAGTTGTAGGATCCTGCTTGTGAGGAGAGAAATATGTTTTGGCACTTGGCTCCCCTGCTTCTTCACAAATCCCTGCGATAAGCCGTAAACTCAAGAAGCCTGATGCCGAGTGCATCGCAAAGGGCTGTCCGAGAAGATCTGGAGAACCCAGCCTAACAAAGACCCCGCGGTTCTGGGCTTAGGGGTTTAGGAAACCTTGATGAAATGGTACTTTCCAAGGTTCCTGCAACAATCAAGTGCTGTTTTACTGATCTAGGAACCTTCAGAAGCAAGCTCTTGTCTTAAGTCTTCTTTCTTCAGCACGGGCTTTGGTTGTACGCCGGTAAGCCAGGCTCTCAAGGTCTTCATGAGATACTAGCAAAAGTACTAAACTAGACTCTAAACCTTCTCGGCTTCCGGGTTGAAAGGCTGGCTTGGACTGACAGCCTGCAAAGCGGAACCGGTACCTCCGCGCTACCTGACATCTCCCAAAACACAACCCTCAGGCCCGTCAGCACCCTTTGGCAACTGGCACCTTGAAAACCCTAAAACCCTACACCCTGAGCCCCTAAGCCCAAAATGAGCACCGCAACCCCGAAAGGAGCGCGCCATCGCCAAGAAGTCCCATCATGGCGTGCAAGAGTTCGGCTTCATTGGCTACCCGGCGCGTGGTGGCCTCAGTTGGATTTGGTATTCAGGGCATGTATGTATGTTATGTATGACACTTATGGTATGTATGGTCTGTATGGTATGCGTGCATGTATGCATGTCGGCATGCAGGTCTACACATGCACGGCCGGTGTAATATGCATAAGTACAGGCACAAGCACATGTCATGTTCTGTCATATTATGTGTTTATACCTGTATAGATATATATATATATACATACACACACACACACATCTAGTGACTCTGCATGTATGTACCCAGCTGAGTGAAGATGTCGGCTGTGACTGGCACAGCACAGTAGTTGGTTGTAGCACGCATCCTTCACTTCTAAGGTAAACCCCCCAAAGCAAGACTGAAGGGCTTGGGGCTCCAGAATAGAACCTACTTGAAGGATCATGGGACTTAGTAACTAGGGTTATAATTAAGGTAACTATACTTATACTTACTTACAACCCCAGTTAAGGCACTTATAACCTAACTTGCTAAGTCCCCTGATCCTCCAAGTACAGCTAGTCGATTCCGGACCATGCGTCGACTCTTCACTGCCCATTTCGGGTTTAGAGTTTTCTGACGTAGCCAGATGAGGTTCGCGGCTGGTTGGGCTGAGGGCGGTTTGGGGTTTATAGGGCCTAGCACCAACCCACCGAAAAAGGCCCAAACCCCAATTGTTGAAAGCCCAGTCATAATCAACGAAACCTACAAAGAAGCCTCACGACATACACTCTGGTGCAAGTCTACTACAGGCCTTACCCGAAACCCTAAAGAACTAAAGTCTCTTGCATACCTTACGAAGCCCGGCTCGCTGTCTTAGGATGCCACCACGGCACGCTGGATCCAGAGCAGTTTCTTACCACCTGCGCTGTCCCGAAGGCAAAAGGGAGAATATAGGGTTTAGGGCTTGAGGGCTCTTAGCTGCCTCCCACTAAAGCTCTAGGCTTTAGGGCTAAGGTTAAGGTTTGCCCTAGCTCATCGTCTACGTCCCGAAAGAGGTTTTTGGAAACCATCAAGGCCCAGATTTCAAGCGGCTTGAGGGTTGATTTTTTCGGAGGTTTGCTGACAAGGGCTTGGGGTCAAGGGCTAAAGCCTGCTTAAGCCAAAAGGGCCTAGGCTTAGGGTTCTCGGTAAACCGATAAGCATCATTTGCCACAGCCATGCCTCCTGGCGCAGCAGGAGCCGGGCTAGAGCCGAAGACGCGCCAAGTCGCCAGGTCACGCCTGATTACCATTATTATTATCATAATTTCTATTACTACTACTACTACTACTACTACTACTACTACTACTACTACTACTACTACTACTACTACTACTACTACTACTACTGTTATTACTAAATAATAATTGTTATTATTATTATCTGAGGTGTCTGCTCGGTTCAGTTTGTAGGTATTTTGACACAAAGGGCTTGGAGGGTCTAGATCTTGGGCTTGAGTATGCGTAGTCGTGGCCCAAAACCTCTGCGTTTGCCTGGTGTCAGAACAACGTTCAACTTCACCAAATGTTGCTGTTGATCGTGGTGCTGTCGTGGCCGTGCTGGTGTACGGATGCTGCTGAGAAACCCTAAACCCCAAACCCTATAAAATTGAAAATTCGAAACCCATAAACTCTGAAACCCTAAACCCCAAACTTTACAAACTCTAAAACCTTAAACCCCTAAACTTATAAACTCTAAAACCCTAAACCCCAAAACCTATAAACTCTACAACCCTTTTCCCCAAACCCTATAAACTCCAAAACCTTAAACCCCAAACCCTATAAACTCTACAACCCTAAACCCCAAACCCTATAAACTCTACAACCCTAAACCCAGAAACCCTATAAACTCTAAAGCCCTAAACATCCCTAAACCCAGAAATCCTATAAACTCTAAAGCCCTAAACCCAGAAACCGGCAGGCTGAGAGCTGCACAGCCGTTGCAGCGCCCAGCGAGGGGGAAGCAGGAACACATCCTCCCTCCGAGAGGTACCCGGTGCATCCTGGGTTTCGACACGCACACTCGCTGACGCAGGCACGGCTTCGAGAGTCCGACTGCTACCGTTACTACCGTGACATGCCAACCTGTGTGGTTGTTGAGCAATGGGTTCAGGGTTTAGGATTTTTTTGTAAGGACCCTTTTCCGTCTCGCTGGGATCCAGAAAATGAAGAGTTCAATGGGCCTTTGGCAAAGCTTACAACAGGTTTAGGGTTTAGGCAATCCTTGTCAAATCCAATCTTTGCACTGCAAGGCTGATACCACTGGCTTTTTTGGGCACTGCCCCCATGCAGTGACAGTCTGCACTAGGGCAACCATTAAGGCCAAATAGATCTACGGTTATCGATACTATTTACATGTTACTGAGTCGGGGCAGTGGGCATAATAAAAATAATCATAATCATCACGAAAAAGAAGTAGTAAGTAGTGATAATATTCATCATACTAATAGTACGACTAGTAGAAAAAGATACCAGTAACGTCATGGCACCCGCCTGCCAGTCGACCATGTGCAGCCTCGGGGAAAGCAAGGGCTCCCACTTCGTCATGCAAGCGAGGTTTGTGCAAGGCTTTCGGGTGTCGTAGGGTGTCGGAAAACGGGGGTATATTATAACAGGCTTATTTTCACAATACTTGCGCTTAGTAATAATCATAATCATAATAACAACGGCAACCGGCCCTACCTCTATGCCGGCACGGGAGCCTGTTGGCAGGTCGGTTTTTCATCATGCTTCCGGCCAGTTCTCTGGACAAGCAGGGTTTAGGTTTAGGATTGCAGGCCCCCAGTAACCTGAAGCCCACAGCCCAAACCCGCAAATGCCCAACCCATGAATCCTTTTTGCATCAGGACTTGTGTAATCGCCTGAATACATGAATCCTAAAACCCAAAAGCCCGCTACCCCGAACACCCCAACAGCTCGGCTCCAGCAATGTAAACACCAAGGCCTTTAAGCGGAAAGGCCCACAGCCCCAAACATCCTCCAGCCCGCGGCCCCAAAATCATGGGCCTGCGGAATCTCCAAAACCCAAACCCTGGCCAGAAAAAAACCCTAAATCCCCAAATTAGTGATGTAGGGTTTTAAAATTCCGGGCTTGGGGTTATTATATCCAACCAAAGGCATCCCAACGGCCCTAAGAAGCCCCGTTTTTTGAGCGCCTCACTGGTGGACGAGAAAGCGAGGCTCCGCCACGCGCGCGGGGCCCATGAAATGAGGCCGCACCTGGGTGAACGAGATACGGCTGATGATGTAAATCCTGGAATTCCTTTAAAGGGGTGTATAAGGGTACCTTTAAGGGGTTCCTTTGAAGGGTTTAGCGTTTAGGGCTGATGATATACATCCCGCATTACCTTACGGACCCTAAACTATGGGGGAAATGGCATCTTCCCTGTTATGGGTAATGCAGGATTTGTCTCATCAACAGTGGGGCCCTTTATAGCTCGCTTGGGGTCTAACGGGGTTTTCGTCGAGGGCTTAGAGCACTTGTAAAGGGCGTCTTTAAGATCTCTATAAGGGATACTCTGGGGTGGAATATAGGAGCCTAAAAAATTAGACTTTAGGGGATCTACAAAGCATCTAACAGGGGGTCTACAGGGGTTCCAGAGTATGGGAACCTGGGTGAGCAGAAAAGTGTTTCGACAAACGTTCTATCAGGGTCACCGTGAGGGTTCTACAACCGTACAAGGGACTTGATGAGTAGAATAGGGGTACAATAGAAAGTCTTTCTAAGGTTTTACTAGACCTCTTTGTAATACTCTAACATATCTCGGCACTAAGGGCTCACTAACAATTTCCTGTCAGTATTCGGACATCTGTAGGGCTTAGGATGTTTTAATTTTAGGACTTTAGGCTGTGCGGCTGGGCTAAGGGTGTTTTGGGCTTAGGGCTCCAGGGTTGTAGGAGCCTGGGGAGGGGGCTAAGAAGGTGTTCGTGTTTTGCCGACGTCTTGGTTGCACGCTCTCACAACTCGGACATGCCAGGCGAGGTTCTGGTTTTCGGGTTTACCCAAACTCACGAGGCGACATGCTTTGAGGCTTCGGCATCGTAGGGTATCACTTCGAAACCTGGTCACAGGTCGTAGCATGTAAGGCTGTGTAAGGGGAGTGCAGGCCCTGTAAAAAGAAACAGGCACGCAGCCTCCAAGCAGCGTCAGCCAGTCGTACATGAAGGGCTTCAGCTGCCCGCGGTCTGCAGGAACCTCAGGCGGTGCCAGGACAGCAGGTGCTTTTTTGTCTTTAATCGCTAACCGATGAAAAAGTAAGCTCAAGGCCAGCAAGGGTATGCGCTGTTGCCTCACCTGGTGCAGAGGCATCTGATGCTTCGGCATCGCACTTCTGCTTATCAGGGCCCGTGCAGTCAGCCAAACGGCCAGCCGAGCCAACTCATCCACCAGGAAGCTGAAGAAATTCGCCGGGAACATGACCAGCAGCCACAACCTCGCATTCTAGGATGGACTCTTGCTTCAGCAGCGTCGCAGTCGGAGAAAAGGGAACTGTAGCAGCAAGCAGGCTGCCGTCATGTCGTGGACCGTATGCCCTAACCCACTTAAGTGCAGCTCTGTGCCGAAACGACTAACCGACCAGGCCGACCCCTGCACAAAACTCAACTCCTTTTTTGAACGAGGTCTCTCTGCAGTGCCTCCCTACGGGCCATATCTACAGCCAACAAAGTTTTTGAACGAAGTCTCTCTGCCTCACATAGCATGATTTACCGACAACCCCATGAACCCCGAGCTCCATATCTCAGCCACGTTTCTGGGACTTACTGAACCCCCCACCGCCTCAGCACCCTGCATCCGGTGTGCCCTCGGTTCAACCCTCAACCCTACAGCTCCAACATCATGGGCCTGAACAGTTAGAGTGGGGTTTGGGTGGGGGGATATCGCCAGCCCTAAGGAACAGTGTTACGAAGTATTCCGATGCCTTTATGGGAGTTTCCGAAAATTAGGGGTACCTTATTTTGGTGATCCTATAATAAGGATCCTACTATATGGAAACTCTCTTATTGCAGAGAGAGAATACCCTAAACCCTAAACTTAACCCTAAACCGTAAACCTGACACTAAACCCTAAACCCTAAATGAGAAGCCAGAGCAGCAATAGCCCGACTGGGAATCGGACGCGACTGGCAGCCATCGAACCGGCTCGGCTGGCACAGCCGCGGTCGGCAGATTCCTGGGCAGCTCGTGTGGAGCACTTGGAAGATTATGGGACTTAGTAAGTTAGGTGATAAGTACCTTAATTGGGGTTATACGTAATTATAAGTATAGTTATCTCAACTATGACCCGAGTTACTAAGTCACATGATCCTTCGAGTAGCAAGGCTTTTTAGCTCGTGAAAACAAAACCGTATTGCAATCCTTCAACCCCAGACAAGTCTCTAAACCCAAAGCGCTTTTTACCTCCATGTAAAAAACATACATTGCAACGTACAGCATTCCTTCAACCCCCAGACCAGTCTCTAAACCCAAAGCGCTTTAGTCCCCAAGGCAGTCTCCCAAGGCTTCTGTAGTATCTGAGGCTAAGGCTCATGCCACGGCACCTGCTTGTCGTAGTAGGGCACGAAGATCTGACACCCCTTGGTGATGACCTGGAGTCGAGGGCTTCGATAAGACTTAGGGTTTAAAGGGTCTAGGGCTTTAGAGTGTATAGGGTTGGGGGTTTAGGGTTTAGTAATTCAGGCTGGGAAAATCGGGAGAAAGTGCTTAGACTTAGACTTGTGGACATTAGCAAGCTTTGTGCCCGGAAACATTTGGGGTTCGAACATAGTTCACGCTGCAACAAGCCAAACAAGAAACAGATGCACACACAAGGCGGCCTTCTGCAAATCCTTCCGCAAAGTAGCGGTACTGAATGCAGCGGACGGCAAGGCGAGGTGATGCTAAGCTTCGGACACCCTCGTTCCCACTCAACATCACATCGGTCAGCGTGGATAGTCCTCGGTCCATGGCGACTCCAGGCTTCCTAAAGCTTTTCTGCTCAGGGTTTCAGCACTCACACTCGGACAAACCTTGTACTGTTCAGGGCTTTGGGTTTAGAGATGCTAGGGTTTATGGGGTTCAGAGTTTAATGTAAGGGCCTTAATGATAAAAATAGGGTTTTGGGGCCCATTATACTATATGTAAATATAACTGGGAACTCCCGAAATAGTATTGGTAATTATCTAGGCCCCTACGTTAGGTGGTTCGGGGTTTGGGGTTTTCATGTTTTGCAGGCCCTAAACCCTCCCCCTCCCTCCCTCCCTCCCTCCCTCCCTCCGCCCTCCCTCCCTCCCTCCCTCGCTCTCTCTCTGTCTCTCTCTCTCTCTCTCTCTCTGTCTCTCTCTCCCTCTCTCTCTCTCTCTCTCTCTCTCTCTCTCTCTCTCTCTCTCACACGAACTTAGGCCTAAACTTCAAAACCCCAAGCCTAAGCTGCCCGAGGCTCTGACGAACGCTGCGCTCAACGTAGCGCTGGCCCGCCCAGCCTGGGTTACTGTTAAGGAAGGTACTTATGATAAATTAGGATTTAAGGTACCATAATGGGGACCTTTAGCGAATATTTGAGTTACCCTGGGGACTTACAGTACATATTTCAGTAATGCACATAAGATGGTTTCTTTAATATGGGAACACATAAACTCCTTAACAAGAACCCAGTAGCTGAAGCGTCCGCCGAAAGTGTGGGGCAGACGCTGGCCGTACACGGCGCCGCCTCAGCAACCGGTCACTTCTTCGATTCCACATGAGGGATTTTCAGGGCTCTAGGATGTCAGCTGAATGATGGTTCCCTCCCATCTTCCAGGCAATGGTTGGTAAGCCTTTTTTCAAAACATCTCAGATGCCTCATCAGCAAATGCCAGGCGCAATGCCGGATGACAGAAGTATGGAGTCCTGCACACGATTGAGCTTAGCTCAGCTGTACAGTAATGACGATAAGAACACCAGTAAATACAGTAAGGGTAGTATGAGTGGTCATATTGCTTCTCTTTGTGATAACAATACCAATACACATGACAGTGACAGCAAAACCCAATCGGAATGACTGTAACGAAAGTAGTTGGTACATGTACATCTAAAATGGCAAGCACCAGCCGGATTTAACAAGTTTTCGGTTCAACATGTTCGATGCCAGGTACTGGAAAGATTAAGGCAGGACACGAGTTGCAACGAAACGTCAGCATTAGCAAGAATGGCACTTCAAACCAGCACCATCATGCGCGAGCGTGAACTCTCCTCGAGAGGATTGCGCAGCATGTCTTTTTGCTGTGCTGTTGCGCTGTGCACGGAAGAAGCAATCCTGGTCGCCCGCGCTCAAAGAGCCAAATTCAGGCAAATTAAAGGGCTCGAAGACCGAACAGCCAAACCTTGAGCCCTCAACCCTAAATCCTGAAACCAAAATCTCCGATACCCTGAACCCGAAACTCGATTCTGACTGTGGCCTCGGTGCCAGCCATAAGCGCTGGATCACGTTTGGCCTTCATTGGCTGCATCCGGGCGTTGTCGTGCAGATTTGCGGCTGGTGGATAATAATGCTTTGGACTTTGGGGCTTAGTTTTTGTGGCTGTACGCTCTCGCCACTCGGACTCGCCAGACGAGGTCTCTGTGTTCGGGTGCACTGCTGACTATACTGCTCTACTGCTGCGTTTCTGTGGCTTTAAGGTTTGGGGCTTTAAAATTTTGGGCATCAGACGCTTGCAGATTTCGGGCCGGGGATGCTTTATTAACGCCCGACTGCAGGGTACAAACAAGATAATATAGGGGCCTTAATAATTACCTATACTGTTTTGGGCGGCTCCGTTTTATAACTACTGTATCATGGGCCCCACAACCCTATTCTAATCATTAAGACCCCTAAAATTCTCCACGTATTTGGATCTACAGGCCAATGCTCGGTCAAGCGGTCAACAGGTTCAGGGTCTAAACCCTTTTGGATGCGTCCTTGCAAGGGTCTAAACCCTAAACCCTGAAACCCTAAAGCGAGTTTAGGGTTAAGGCCGGGGGCAGGGCGGAAATTGCCAGAGGTGAAATTGCCTCCAGAGGCAGTAGTACAGCAGTGTTTCTTGCATTCCAGCTTTTGCCGCCGGCAACACATGCTTCCTGAATGTATGCATATTATCTGACCCAGCCTAAACATCCTGCATCAGCAAACGGATACTCTTCAGCACTGTATCTATCTTGCTTTGCAAGCACATGTTTTTTTTCAAGAATCTGTCTCGTCATGCCCCTATAGCCTTGCACCTTTGTGCATTCGACACTGATCCAGACCAGTGCAAACGTCTTTTCAGCCATTTCACAGAGCTCCATGGGCTCATGAAAGTGAGCCCATGATCTCCAGACGCCTGCTTGGAGGTGCTTCTTCGCCAACAGCCGAACGCGACAAGAACGCTTCCACAAGTAAACAGCACGATTATCTATACTGCCTTGAGCTTGCAGCTAAGCTCGTCTGATGCAATCTGCCATCCTTTTCTGCATCCCTGCGCCCTTCGAAAGCTATTACGGAAACCATAGAAGGAAACCGGGAAAACGGTGCTCTGCAACTGCTGGAAGCCCCAAGCTTCCAAAGCAAGACTCTAAAAAAGTGAATCCCAGCAAGTTGGAACATGGGTTTAGGAGGATTGGTGCTAGCATCCCTTATACTTTACCTTAAGGGCATGAGGATATTCATGTTCCAACTTTCTGGCTTCCACTATATCTTTAAGCTAAGCGGCTAACTCGGACAAAGGCTAAGTATACAATCCCAAACTGGGGCCCAAAGCCAAAAGCATAACGAATGTGCTTTCTTGGCCCCGAGAATGTAAAATTCCCCTAAACGATAATTCGCACTCTAAAACCGCATACCCTAAACCCTAAACAAAAAAACAAAGAGGACCATCTCCAGATTCCGCCTCGCCCCCCCGCGGGCACGGCACGCCCGTCAGCTCGGCCCAGGACACAAAATCCTGCCGTGAATGAACAAGGGTTTTTTAGTTTAGGGGTTTGGGGCATTAGGGTTCAGGGCCACCTTAAGACCCAAACCCTAAACGATAAGGTTCCTCTGCTTCCTACTTTGCAAGGACATCTCGTCAACACATCAGGCATGCGAATACTGCATAGCTCCGGCTGATGGGACGATTGCTGTGGCCCGACCGGTCTCTACCGGATGTCCTTACCCACGGCGGTAATATAGGGGCCTTAATAAATAGAATAAGGTTTTGAGGCCCATTATGAATACCATAATTATAATCAGTAGTATTGGTACTTAGTTAAGCCCCTATATTATGCGGGAAGGCAGTCAGTCACAGTCAAAGCTCCGAGCCTGCAGGAGGCTGCAGCCGCCATCACTTGTCAGAGAAATAACAACGTTAAGAAGAAATAGTCACTCACATGAAGTAAGACGACAATCACTCAGGAAAGCAATAAAATAAGGACGAACGAGCGAGAGAAAGCAACAACGATGAAAGCAGGGGATATAGCAAGAATAGCAAGTAAGTCCAGAAAGTTAACATGATATCATCACCGCAGACCAGCGCAACTATAGCAGCTTCATACGGCTCCGAGTGCCTCATCGCCCCGCGGCAGTGGCTGCGGGCCGCCCCGCCTTTCAGTAGAACTGGGAAGATGGCTTCTTGGAGGATCAGGGGACTTAGTAAGTTAGGGTTCTTAAAAGGGCTCCTTAAAGGGATCTGTATAGGGTTCCTTAAAGGGATCTACAGGGTTTAAGGTGTAGGGTCTACTTGGAGGATCAGGGGACTTAGTAAGTTGGGGTTCTTAAAAGGGCCCCTAGATAGGGTTCCGTAAAGGGACGTATAGGGTTTAGGGTTGAGGGTCTACTTGGAGGATCAGGGGACTTAGTAAGTTGGGGTTCTTAAAAGGGCCCCTATACAGGGTTCCTTAAAGGGATCTATAAGGTTTAGGGTTACGGGTCTACCTGAAAGGATCAGGGGACTTAGTAAGTTAGGCTATAAGTACCTTCATTGGGGTCATATACGTACTTATAAGCATAGTTACCTGAATCATAACCCTAGTTACTAAGTTACTAAGTCCCATGATCCTTCAAGCAGTCAACGTAGCCCTCGACCCTGAGCGCCCTTCACCCAGCAACGGACAACAGTAGGGGCGGTAAGTCTTTTGAAGGGGTTGTGTGGTGGACTAGTGTGGGGTGATAGGAAAGATCCCTAAGGAACACATTATTCCAAACGTGCTGGGCACCCCTTTCTTTCATGAGAGCCCAAGATGTGCGGATGCCTTCTTCTGAGCACTCTGAGGCGGCCGCCAGGTTGCGAAGGCTGCCTCCTAGCAGGACTTACCCTAGGGTCTCGGGTTAACGGTTTTTTTGAACACTTTTCCAACTCGCTGGGATCTAGAAAGCGGAAGGGCCGGTAGGGTTTAGGGTTTAGGGATTCGAAACTGCTCAGGTGTTTCTTGGATTCATAATTTGTTTCAAGCCCATCCCCTGCGTCCAAAATTGGTAGGTTCAGTGCCAAGAGTATAAAACAGGAGGCCAGCATCAACAGTCCCAACCGTGTGCCGGCAATGCAGGCAAGCTCAAACACATCCCTAGTGACCCATTATATATATATATACACACACATACGCACATACATCCGTGCATACATACATACATACATAAATACATACATGCAGGCAAGCATGCACGCATGCATGCGTACACAGGACGTAGCTAATTTCTCAACATGTATCTATATATATATATATAGATAGATAGATAGAGATAGAGATAGAGATAGAGATAGAGATAGAGATAGAGATAGATAGATACCACACGGCCCGCGCCTGGGCCCGTCGGAACTTTGGCTCAATGTGCGTCATCCTCTCTGGCTTTCGGGTTGTGGCTTGGAGCTCGGCTTCTGGCTTCTCGGGATTACAGGATTTCAGGAGGTTGTTGGGGTCGAGGAGCTTACGAATTCCGGTTTGGGAGGGCTTTTTCAATTTTCTGGGAAGGGGAGGTTGTCGGAGGGCTATAACTTTAAGACATTAGGTATTTGCTGTTGTCGGCGTGGTGCGCCTTTTTTGGGAGCTCGGACTCTCTTCTCGGATCAAGGAGTATGTTGCAAAATTGCCTTTCATAGGTTTCGGACCGTTATTTTACCTACGTTTGGGGATTTAGGTACAGCCATATTCAACCACGGATACATCGGAGCAGTTTGAAAAGCCAATGCGCCACATGATGCACCATTGGACCATGTTCAGCGTTCACAGGAAGTCATAACATCCGCCCTTCCTCCCATGCAAAAGACGCTTGGTCTGTCAAGGGTTTGGGCTTGGGCTTTAAGTTAAGGCTTGGAGGGCTACAAGCCCTTCATGCAGCGAACCCCCAAACTGGTCCATTCTTGCCGGGTCCCGGTTGCAAGATATTTTGGCATGCAGAAAGCCTAACCTTCCATGTAATCCCATGGAATGCACACCGATGTCATCATCTAGCAGCTGGTAGCATTATCAGAATATCAAACCCGAGAGGAATAACCCGGACGACGATATGCTGGATGGGGTATCTCTTGGCGGACGGCATCCGCCAGCCACTCATGCATTTGCATGTGGTTCAAAGAAGCACCTTGTCAACATGGCCCAAAAGAAATCCGAGCCCGCGGCCAATGCGAGCTAGAGGTATCTCCGCACACTGCCTCTGACCCTTGGCTGAAAAAACCGTGTGGCAAGTAATGAAAGGGCCTTAATAATTTCAATAGGGTTTGGGGGTACCTTGTACTAAAATCAGAATAAGGAGCCCCCAAAAGCCTATTCTAACGAATAAGGCTCCTACATTAAGCAGTTGGGTTCAGGCCGTCGCTACTCGGACTTGCACAGAGAGGGTCTCGCAGAAGGGCTCAGAGTTCCCGTCGTGTTCGCGGTTTCGGCGCTCACACTCAGACACTCCAGGCGAGGCATGCGGTTCACGGTTCAGGGGTTGACTGGCAGGGACGGCATTCGCAGCACCAGCAGCAGCAGTAAAAGATCCTAAGCAACGGCAGCGCTAGCTGGAAGGCGATCGACAGGATGCTGCAAGACCTTCAGCCCGTGAAAAAAAACCAAACTGCTGCAAAGGGCCCAACCTCTCTACAACTTTGACAGGGTAGGGAATTGAGATGGGGTCAGGATTTCGGCACTCACTCTGGGTCAGGATTTAGGGCTTCGGGTTTTCGGAATCGCTGAGACCCAGTCCAAAGCCACATGACTCCGTAGCAACCTCGTCAACCGCCTGCCAGCAGCTGCAAGGCACTGCATGTCGTTTACTTTTCGTTTAGGTTGTGTTGGCGGTCCCTTTGGTAGGCCTGCCCAGTGGTCGCACTAGGGTTTCGGGTTCCTGGGCACACAAACCTTTGCGACGCTGAAGTGTGGCTCCCTACTTTGACTTGAGCTGACGGCCCCTTCGTCGCAAATGGCCATCATCAGTTTCCTTTGCGATCAAAATAGCCCAAAAGCCTTATATAGTATGGTCTTTGGGCCCAAAAGTCTTAATATATGAGTCCTTAGATCCCTAGGGTTTCATGGGACGAACAGAAAATGCATGCAAACGCCATGAGTCGAGCGCAAGGCCCCGAAGTTTCAACATGGAGGGCAGGGGCTTTCCGAAATCCACACACTGGCTATAAGTAGGGCTATAAGTAGGGTAACTATAATTATAACCCACCTTAGGGGACTTATAATAACCGTACTTATGACTACCCTAAACCCTAAACCCTACATTGGGGCCCATTGCTTTCTGAAAGTCCCACATGGGTTTCTGAAATTTCATCACCCCTCCTCGCAGGTCTAGTCTCGAGGCTTTCCCTTCATGTAAATCCCGACCAGGAGACCCAAATATACCATAGCTCTTAAGCTTAAAACTAAGCCACTTCCCTACATGACATACTTGGAGGTTCATGGGTAGTTATAAGTAGGGTTATAAGTAGGGTAACTATAATTATAACCCACATTAGGGGACTTACAATAACCTTACTTATAACGACCCTAAACCCTAAACCTTAAAGGAGCCCTTAAAGGGACAATATAACTCCACTTACAACTACCCATGAACCTCCAAGTAGGCCCTAAACCCCATACCCTTATAGAATCCCTAAACCCTAAGCCTCATCGCCCGGAGGGAGCAGCAATACCAGAAGCTGCGCCTCGGAGCAGAAGCGCGTTCCCTTTAAAGGGTTCCTTTTAGGGGGTTCCATAAGGGATCTATATAACTATGATAAAAAATATAGGTTCCCTTCATAGGGTTTCTTGAAAGGGTTCCTTTTAAAGGGAAGTATGATATCATAGGGGCCTTGGCAATTGGGATAGGGCTTTGGGGGCCCGTAGTACTATGATTATGATAAGGAGCTCAAACCCCAAACCCGCAAGCTTTTTTTGAATCCGTGCTGACATGCCCACAAACCTTACAGCCAGGAAACCCCAAACCCCAAAAGCTCTTAAACAAAAACCTTAAATGGTAAATCGTATACCATAAAGCCTCAAACCATCGCACAACGTGTAGAAGCCCCTCCTAACCTTCACGCCTAAATCTACTGCGGCAAGGCAAGGTCAGAGAAGCTTCCGTTCTTATCCTTCTTCGTGCCTGCACGGGTCTGACAGCGACCTTCATCGCCCGTCACGTGTGCACAAGGGACACCTGAACCGAAGCAAAGGTCGAGGTTTAGGGCTTAGAAGCGATGTCGGCGGCAACCGCCAAATGCGTAGCCTGGCTTTGCCAGTGATGTTTGGAGCCTCAACTCACACCATGAACTGCTCCGTCGGCTTCACGATGCACGCCTTCTTGTCCTTGCCAGCACCAAAGGAGGGGTCCACCTTCTGCTCAGTATTCTCGAAGTCGTGCTTGACAGGCGCACATCCATCCGTCTTCCCGCAGTAGAGGTTCCGGATGTTGCAGTAGTTGGTAGAGAAATCCCCGATAGAGAAGCCCTGAGACTCCGAGCAGGCGTGGATGCCGCAGCTTGGCTTTGCACCCTGTGCATCGAAGTCGGAGAAGGTGAAGGTGATCTTGTCCGTGAACTTCTTGTTGCCGGTGATGCGTTGAATGTCCAGCTCGTCCTTGCTCTCGGACAGGAGGCTGTAGGTGCCCTTGTTATGAGGATCGACCCAAGGGCCCTGCACTCGAGCCTTCATCTCCTCCATCACATCGGCGCAGCTGGCATCTGCAATGGCTTCCACCTCCGCGGAGGCATGGATCCAACTGCCGGAGCCGGGGCATTTCATAGCACCCGCTGCGGTAGCCAAGAGGGCGAGGACAGCGCGAGGAGCCATGATTGGAGCCAGCGATTTGCTACGGGAACTCGGGAGTTTGCTGGGGGAGCCTTCTGATGCTTGAGCCGTAATTATAGCCCACCAGTTCAGTGCTTCGCCGGCGCTTTTCCAGAATGTCAAAGCAAGTGTCACTTCTGGTGTGCATTGCGCTGCTAAAGTACCTGCTCAATCATCTATCATCCGGGAGTTTCCGAAAATTAGGGGTACCTTAATTTTGGGGTCCATATAATAAGGATCCTACTATTCAGGGCACTATGTTAGGGTCTCGTATTTTCGGAAACTCCCATCGAGCACTCCTTCTATGAGGCACTCGGGCTCCAGCGCAATCGAAAGGTATCGACGGATCTCTGGGATCCAGCTGGGCAGCCTCATGCAATGGGTTTAGGGGTTGAGGGCTTTAGGGTTTAAGGTTGAGGGGTTTATCTGTAGGGGTTGAGGGTTTAGGGGCTTGGACTCTGCAAGTCTCTCAAGCCGGCGGGAACCAGCTAACAGTACTGCGAAAGCAGCTGATCATCAAGATTGCAGGTTTTGAGATAAACAAGATGTAGGAATAACAAGGAGGATCCCAGTCAGACTCAGATTACCTGATAACCTGCAGCAAGACACAAGTCTTGCAAAGTTCAAAAACGGCACCTCGTCGCAGAGGCGGCTGCCCTCTTGGAGGTGATCCGCATGCTCCTCAAGCCCAAGCAGGACTCAGAGACTGCAAAAGCCCTTAAATTAAGGAATTTGCCTGTAATTTTAATAGGATCCGCTGATACGATTTAAGGTATATTCCCGAACAAAGGGGTTTCGGAGGCTCTGGGCAGGATGCCCAGTGCGAGCGTTGATGGGTCGAGGGAGGTGGCATCTGGAGGACCTCTACGGGGTCTGGGGTCTAAGCATGATTGAGTTTGTGTTGATGGGGGCCTTCATAATTGGAATGGGTTTTTGGCGCCCATTACACTAGAATTACAGTTGGGAACCCGCAAAATTACATATAGGTAAAAATTGAGGCCCCTATGTTATCTTTGACCGCTGGCAAGTGCACCAGAACTGCTTCTTCAAGTCCGCACAGCGGAAGTGCTCCCGCATTTTTGGCTCCCACATGGCTGATCTCGAGCACGTCGTGCCTATGGGGGGGAACACTCATCTTTCTCCCAACTCTGAACCTTAAAATCAGCCAGCAACATTCATCGACGAGCCCCCGGCCCAGAGGTACGACAAAGCTAGGCCTTTCTTCGCCCTAGCTGACCTCAGAGTGGTCCGAGATGCAAAGACACGTGCCGGGCCCAAAACAGAAGAGCTAGGAGTCAGAGCAAAAAGCAGAGTACTGAGTAATGTGCAAGGAAGGAAAGAACGCGGATCAGATGGTTAAGACTGTTCAAAGCACATACTATGAAGACTTCAAAAAATTAAGGTTTCGTGTAGGTCTTCATGAAGAGAGTGACGGAACTCTTACTGGGACGAAGAAGGATCCTGCCCATAAAGTCGGACCCAGCTAATAAGGGCTGTTTGCCTCCTACTTCGCAAGGACGAGCCCGCCTAGCACTAGCAGGGCAGCTTAAGTCGGAAGGCATTGCCACTACTTTCGGCAGGGAACAATTCAACGTGCAATACGGTGTTTTTGTTGCCTCCTACTTCGCAAGGACGGGTAATTAATAAGGTCAAGGTTTAGGGTTTAAAGCGATTATACACCAAAGCTGCAGTGCTTGAGGCTGCCTAGATACCAGCGCCCACAACTGAACTGGTTCCAATATTGGCGATACAAGTATGGAATGGAATAGGAACATGAGAAAGCAGCCATTGAGCATATACAGGCACAGGACCTGCAGCAAGAGGACATGCAAGCAGTAAGGCTCTGGTGGTACTGTCGAAATTGCCCCAGCATTGTCACAGCATTGGCTTAAGTGTTCGTATCGTAACCAGTATCGCCATAGCTATTATTGCAGTCATAATCTAGCATCAGTATTGGCTTAAGTATTCGTCTCGAAATCATTATCGTCGCCAAAATTATCGCAGTCATAGTCTCGCATCTACTAAGCCGCCCGCGGCTCCAGATATGCCCAGTGCTTGTAGTGCTCGTGTGCCTCAGGAGGAATAGGGACTGAATCTGGACTTAGGGTTTTTGACACTCACTCTCGGACGAGCCTGGCGAGGTCTGCAGTAGTAGGTTCGACGAATCACATGAACAACCCTACCAGTCGGTTCACTCATAAGGGGTGGCTGTCAGACGACACACTCGACACGCCTGGATACGTGTTTAGAGGTTTCGGCGCTCACACTCGGACAAACCAGGCGAGGCATATGGCTCGGAGTCAGAGGTTTAGGGTTTCTGGACTTGGAGTCTAGGTCTTACGACGGGACTGTAAGCCTGCAAGCCGGACTCAGGAAAAGCTTGGCTGCAAGGAGTTGCTGGCGGCACTGGCTATTCTAGGTTATGCACTCACGCAGCGTGTTGCTCTAAACATGCCAGCAAGGCTACTTCGAACCATCACCAAGCCACCCCAAGTTGCAGAAATCCCTTTACTTGGGCATCAGAAAGGTGCGAGACCAGGAGCAAACTTGAAAAACACGTTGCAGAACAGTAGCAGCGGCAGTCATCAGCAACCGGTGCGGTTTTGTGGTGAAAGTTTGCGGTAAAAGTTCCATAATTTATGGGCGATTGTGAGGCTTGCTTTGCGGCCCTCCATGATATGTTTATAGTTTGTTCACAGCTTTCCCGGGGATCCGGGCTGCCGTCCGATTGCCGAGGTCATCATAAACCTGCTTCCGGTTAAGGGGTAAATGGCTTCGGAATTCTTGGGACTACGGTTTAGGGATGTCTGAGGAGTTCGGGTTCAAGGTTTTTCCCCATGGCGTCCCCGAAGTCCCCCGTGATCTAAGTAGAGCCTCAAACCCTAAAGGAGCCCTCGATCTGAAGCCCTAAAGGGTTGAGGGTCTAAGAAACAGGCCTAAGCCCTTGCCCTTTGGGGCGCGGACAGGGTTTCCCATGGTTTACTGCCAGTACCGCGACCTAGTATAACCTGCTATAGATTCTGCATCGGGCTTTCTGGCCATAACTGTAACTATAGCCTACAACGAGGTAAGTCATGATAATTTAGGGTACTGGCTGGATTTGCCAACGGCAAAGCGCCACTCCTGCTTTCGTTGCGATACCAGGACGGCAGGCAGTTCGACCCTCCTAAATGCAGAAACTCAATTCCCGAGGCCTCAAGCCCAAATGTAGGAACCTGATTCAGAAACTTTGGGTTCTCATTAGGGTTCTTCAGATGGATCCTAACATATTGGGGTCAAAGGGCCAGGGTGTCTTAATCAGGTTCCTACATTAAACCTTCTTTTTGAGTCAAGGGCTTGGGGCCGGCACGTTAGACCTTGAACGCCTAGACCCTGAAGCCACAAGTGCCCGAATCAGCGCGCAAACCCCAACGCATAAAGGCTTGTTGCCTGCGCCAGGTTTTGATGGGCCGCTGCCGAGTCTGGGTCAAGACCTCGTGTTTTGGGAAGAGCGTTCATGCAAACCAATATGTGCACACGTGCATCAACAGTTAAGCATCTGGAAGCACTGATACTACCGATCATTTTGATGACCGTCGCCGTCACACCTGTAACCGTGACAATGTTGATAGCAAGATCATTGGTCATTGTCGTCCTGCCTTGCAAGAAAGAGACGGGTTGGACGAGGCCGGAAGACTCCACGTACTACACTGCATGCGGAGCCTTTACAACGAAGACGCTTTGTGATGATGATGAACATGATGATGATGATGATGGCAGTGAGGATGAACCCCATGACCATCATCTTGAGCGTGGACGGAGACTATGATGAAAATGTTGAGGTACGGGGGGGGGCCATGACGATGATGTTTAGCAATCATGACAATGATGCTTGTGATGGCGATGAGGACTGTTGTTGGGCGGTAGGGTGATGGGGTCATGGCGGTGATGCTTGGTGTCCGGCGTAAGCACTCTCGATACGCCCGTGCCGATGTCTTTGGTTTGGACAACAAGTTCAACCTCATCGGCCAATGGATGAATGCGCACATGCAGTTCGCCTACACAAGCTGGGAACATGGGAGTTTCCTAAAACTAGGGGTACCTTAGTTGGGGTCTTTATAATAAGGATCCTAATACCTAGGGTACTATATTAGGGTCCCCTATTTTTGGAAACTCCCACATGGTGACATGTTCCGGTCTCTCGTCTTCACAGCATGAAACCCAGTTTCGGTTATGCGTGCTGGCTTACTACACAGTTTAACTCTCTGCGCGGGGTATACACACATGCAAGCGTGCAACGTACCCAGGCATGCATGATAGGTTGTTGTGCCAGGAGCAATCCAGGATTTCAACTTTGCTAGGCTCACGGCGTGCCTCCCAAGTAGAAAAAGCCAGCAGGCCTGGGTGAAGAAGTACCATAGCTGGACAAGTTGGGTCGCTCTTCTTCTGATTATGGCAGATAGTTCAGATCCAGAGGGTGTGCTGCACTTGCCGGCCTTGAAGATGCACGCTAAGGTGGCTCTGAAAATGATGGGTCTCTTATTGGTGGTCCTCATTTCAATTATTCGAAATTCTCTTTAGGGTCGATATGCAATTCAAGGACCTTCTCCGGGACACCTCCAAGACTGTCCCTAATATGGTCGCTTAAATTAAACCCCGTAACAAGAGCCCCTCTAAACCCTAAACCCTAAACTCTAAACCCAAAGAAGTGAGAAGCGAAGGATGGGTCTCGAGCGTGGGCTGCAACGCTACGGCAGCTGCTAGCAGCTCCTGAAATTGGGGTTCAGGGTGTTGGTTTCAAGAGGGAAAGCCAAAAAACAAAAGTGAACATACATATATATATATAATATAAGCAAACATTTTCAAAAATACATGGTACTATCTCACTGCTAAGAGGCGTAAGCCTTGGGTTTGGCACCTGGGCTGAGTTTTGAGGCAATCTCGACAGTGGAACTTCGAATTCCCATGCCCGTGACCACCAACACTACCGCCGCCATCACCCCCGCCGCCGCTACCGCCGGCACGGCTACTACTAGGCGTGCCTGTGCCACGAGGCCGACGACATCACCCCTACGACGGGTTCTGGCGCAAATGCACGCACTTAGTGCCACCAGCAAAACAGCATTGCATGCAAACGGCTCAGTTATCATAGCAACAACCCAACACAAACGTCACAATGACTGCCATGCTCGCACAACCAACCATAACAAGAGAATGGTTGGGTCAGCCCGGCCTTCGCTCTAAGCAGCGCCTTGGAATTGAAGCGGCTTCGGCCGAGGCGGTAGAGCCGGCTCCCTGAGCTCATACCCTACTTGAAGGATCATGGGACTTTTTTTTTGCCTCCTACCTAGCAAGGACGAAGCCCGCAATGCAGGGAAATTTGGTTGAACAGTTGAAAGCAGCCACAGTGATCATGGGATTTAGTAACTAATTCGGGTTATAATTAAGGTAACCATACTTATAATTGCTTATAACCCCAATTAAAGTGCTTATAATTATAACCTAACTTCCTAAGTCCCCTGATCCTCCAAGTAAACCCTTAACCCTACACCATCGACGTAGGACAGAGATAAGCTAACGGCTGCCCGCCTCATATACCGGCCTTAACACGCCTTCCTCGGCCTAAGGATTCCATCTCTACCTATCTATCTATCTCCTGGGCATAGGGACGGGTAAGCGTCCCCGGGCTTCAAAACCCACCCATTACATTGAATGGGCATAACGGGGAGTGAAAGAGGAGTGTAATCTCTCTCTCTCTCTCTCTGCCCGTGCCATCCCGAAGGGTGGTCCCTAAGAGTACCGGAAACAATGAATGTACCAAGTTCTGCGGAAAGCCTGCATCGGTCAGCCACGGTTTAAAGGTCCACCAAGCTCCCATGCCAGCCGCACCTTCTTCGAGGTAAGCACGGGCCTCTTTGGCCTTCTTCGCATGCCTCCAAGGCGGCGCCACAACATGCTGTCCAAGAAATGAATAAGAGAGAGTGCGCGTCTTGGTGCGTGACTTATTTGCATCTATACCTGTATGTGTATATGCATAAAACCATATGCATGTTCTCACATATTTTCAGACTAACAATAAATACATCAATAAATAGCTAGCGGGGTATAGACGAACGAATCCATGACTAGGCAGAAACCGTCAAGAACTGAACAAGCAGACACACACACACACACACACAGAACACGGGCAAAGCCGCTTCCGGAATCCGTGGGGGGCCCTGCTTTGGTGCAATCACGATGTGGACCAAAAATTTTCCTCCGCAGCGCGGGCAACCCTGCAACCAAAACCCTCAACCCCCACACACGCGCACACACACACACACGCACGCAACAAAACGCTTCCATCCAAACAGACAAGTCCAGGGGCGAGACCGCTAGATTTCGGGTGGCCGGAAATGAATGAAGCTTCGGATCCACAGGATTCCACGGGGCAAGGTCCAAAGACAACTGGGATTCAAGGTAGTATCAGATCGGGATAGATTACCCAGAACCCTACATCCGTATTAACAAGAGTCTCTAGACGAGCCCCCTACATTCTACACGGCCTTCGACCCATAAAACTGAAGAATGCCATGTTCAACGACCCCTTGATTCCACATTCTGTCGAAAGCAGCACCGAGAATCTTAAGAAACTCTGCGCTGTTTCAGCCTCTGCTTCGATGGGCTTCTGCCTTGCGCAGACCAGGTTGAGTGTATCAGAAAGGATACTCGTTGGGTTTTGGATTTACGGCTCTGTAAGGGTTCAAAACGGGCGGTTTAGAATTTATAGGACTCACTATCTGGGCTCTATGGGGCTCTATAGAACATGGTTGTTGTTCAAAGCCCGTTCTGCTTTGCCGACATATCGGCTGCAGAACGGCATCCCGGATCACACAGTTCTTTCACAAAAAACACTTCAAACAAGCCGAAAAGCAAGCCCAGCAATTGTAGAATTTGTGCTCTCTCTTGCTTGCTTGCTCTCTCTCTCTCTCTCTCTCTTCCCTTTGCTAGGGTCTAGGAGCGGGAGCAGTCCTCCCGCCCCGCGGGCGCGCTGCCCCATCCATTATTTGGCATGGATGGGCTCGGACTGTACAGAAGAGTTGGTGCCTCTGCTCTTCAGATCTCTCTCTCTCTCTCTCTCTCTCTCTCTCTCTCACAGGCACTCGAAGTAAGTGTCAACTATAAAGCCCATATTTCAATTTCTAGAGCCCTAAAGCCGCAGAACTCCGTAAAACCCTGAAGCCCTGGAGCGCCTGAAATTCCACCAACCTCCCCCATCGTCCCACCCGGTGCGCCTGAGGTCTTCAGGGCTTAGGCTTTCTTTGGGGCTTGGGGTTCAGGGCTTAAGCGTTGTCGGTTTCGGGGCTTCGGGTTTAGGGTTAGGATTTGGGGGTTTAGAACTTGCCGGACTTTCTGCTTTTTTTCAGTAGGCGTGCGATGGCTCTCTTCTGGGCTCTTATTCACTCATATTTGAGGTCAGGGTTTGGTGTTGGAGACAGGGACGGGCCGAGGTCATTCGGCGATTTAGACTTTTTCCCTCCTGCCTAGCAAGGACGAAGCCCGCACTGCAGGGTACATTGGTTGAACAGCTGAAAGAATCGCTTTAGGATTTACACTTGGGCTCTAATAGGCTGTAAGATGGGGGCCCACCTCAGTTTGGAAAGCTCACCCTGCAGAGAAGGGGTGCACAGGCCCCATGGTGCCTTGAGGCTGTCGGGGACCCCTCGTCTGCCTTGGGAGTTTAGGGTTGAGGGAGTTTGGGGTGGTAATTCTGTTGCTTTGCCAACTTCCCTTGCAGGGGCCTTCATCCCAAACTGTGTTCTGTTCGACCGTTCATCCCGAGGAATCTCTAAAGACCTACACCCGAATAACCTACATAGTATTCTGGCGGCCTTCATATTCATGTTCTAGTACACCAGTATGACTAAAGATACACAAACCCTAAGGAGCAGTGTTAGAAACTACTCAGTCAGTCTGGACAAACGCTCCCTAAACCGTTGGTTCTAAGGCCGGGTCCAAGATGTATCGCATGCCAGGCTGTAGGCAGCTTGAGGTGTTTTCATGGGGTCTATATAAGGGCTACTATAAGGGATCTATCGGGGCCCTTCAAGGGTTTAGGGTTTAGGGCTTTAGGGGTGTCCTTTCTTGCTTGCCTCTTTGAGGGCTTCGGAGTTTACGCTCTCACAACTCGGACATGCCAGGCGAGGTTCTTCGTAGTTTATAGGGTTTAGTGGTTTCCATGCCATCGTGGAAAAGAGTCATGCTGATTCTACTGCCAATTACCGCGACCGTCTCGGGAGGTGTTGGGCTTAGGAATGTAGATGTGCGTGGGAAATCTGACAAAACCCTGGATGCTGTCGTGCACGGCTTCCCTCGCTTGAGCACAGAAATGCGTGCAGAGAACCGTTGGGAGGGCGGCGCGATCGGAACATGCCGCCGTCGCAAGAGCAATGCTTCGAAACTCCTCAAGTCTCGAAAGCAGGCACGAGGGCGGGCGGCATAGGCATGCGTGCCCTTGCATGTAGCATCTCTTTCCTACACAGTAAGTCCTATGCTCGAATGCGTCCAACACTCAGTGAACGACACAGACAGACTTGTTCATACTAGTCGCTGATCTAACGGTGAAGTGCGATCCTGGCATGCTTCAAGACAAACGGGGCGATGGGTCGCGGACTTCCCATTTTCCCACAGCTCCACAATGCTCACTGGGCCATTTGGAGCCCGAATCTTGAGTGACTTTCCTGTAAAAAAGCGAAGGACATGAAACCGCAGGCTTGTTTTGTACAAGCATGCCGCAGTGCAGTGTTAACGGCACCGAAACTCTCTCGGCACCAAAATCATACATGAGGACCGGGCACGGCTGGCATGAGGCATTGCGATTTTCGCAGACTTTCGAAACCGCTAAAACTTTTTCTGCACTAAGCCAAGAGTGTGTTAATTCGAAATACCTATCCGGGGGTATTATGTGTAGCTCACTGTTCCGACCTCCATATTTGCTCCTGCAACCGTAACAGCTTGTAACGTGGATCATCTCGGAACCACTCTCTTGAGGAGTGGCCACTGATGGAGTGAAGCGCAGGAAGTGCCAAACTGTGCACAACCCGCAACATTGGATCCGACGGTTGGTTGGATGATGAATGCTGATGACAATGATGTGATCTATCGATGGACTTATGTGGAATGTTGCACGAATTGCAATGCCATCATGGGTCTCTTTTCCGCTGAAAAATGAATGCTACAGGTAATAATGGCACCGATTCCGATCGTAGTACGAAGAATTCCACCAACCATAGTCCGTACCCTACTACCTACTACAGTACCTTTGATGTACCTACAGTGTTCACTGAACGCCTGGATCCTCCTCTGCTGCCCGCACCCAGACAAAGAGCGTCGGACAGCAGCCGGTTGGAAAGAAAGATTCAAAACACTATAGGGGCCTGAATAGATAGCACGGGGTCCCTTTAAAGGGCCCCTGAAGATTTTCTATAAAGGGTCAATCATACTGTAAGGGCTCTATAAGATACGAGCCTTCAACATATCAATTGGGGTTGGGGGGATAATTTGCTATACGTATACTGAGGCACCCTGAGGAGTGGTATTGCTAATTATTCCGACCCCTATATCACATGCAACGGATATCCGCGCTTTGGCATCGTAGAAAGAGCGCAAATAGCCACGCTTGATGATGGCGACCTACTTAAGTGAATCTTCGGGAAAGCGGAGGCTCATGAATCCTTGCCTCAGGCAATATTCAGCTGCTAGCCTGGCTACCTCGGCAGACAAAGCAAGCATCATCGGTCTTTCTCGATACTTGGACCTTGAAGTCATTTCTGATTACCAAGCCCGCGGCGTGATTCTCATGCACGTGCGAAATGCCGATCATGAATTATGCCCTTGTGACTATGTTACATACCTATCCATCCATGCACACGATTCTTCTTAACCGCGAGTGCTAGAGCAGTAGAGCATTTATCGGCAATGCATGTCACACTACGGAGGCAAGGCGCCGATAAATCCCAGAGTGACTGCAAAGACTCAGAAGCCCATCAAGCGTCTTGTATAACACGGGAACTACCCTGAAACCCAGATGCTCGACCATCCGAGGATCGAAAAATCAGCCCTAGACTCTGAAGCTTTTGCATGAAACCTAAGCCCTAAACTTTCCTAACCCTGAGGCTGTAGCCCTTTAACTCATACACCTAAAGCTACCGATCCTACTCGTCCCGCCCCCAACCCGCTGTCAGGGCACACGCTGAGGGACTCCACAGACTCAACGCGGGCTGCATGGGGCTTTGAGGTGACCTCCGCCCTTGCCGGCGCCGCCTTGGAATAAAGAGCTGGTCAACATAAACCACGAAAAACCTTAACATAAAACATACCTAAGGCCTAAGGTCAGGCAAAATATGATGTGTACATAACCAATGTATCACGCAAGTGTACATATATAGATATATACACACATACATACAAACATGCATACATGCATACATACGGTATGGACCATACATATATACATACTCATCTATACATATATGTATGCATACATGTATTGTATGTACATATATATATATATATATATATAAACAGTGTTTGCCCACGGAGATATGATAAAAACATCCAATACATCATAAGTCTCAAAATTTCTGTCAGGTACAACGCTTCTCTTCAAAAAACACTGCAAAGCACATACACACAATGCTGGCTAAGACATGTCATACATATTACGAAGCCACATAGCATACGCTATACCATGTATACAGCCGAATGTATAACATGATGTATTGAGCACTCGGACTCGAACGCACCAGGTCAGGATACAGAGATATGTCCATGGATAAAACGTGCTTAGCTGAACATAACATATGTGTATATATATATATATATGTATATATAACATATACGGATAGCACTAAACCCTACAATGTCATACCCTGTAATGAAGTATTTCGATGAATATTATGTGTATGTATATGTAAGATATGAACATAATACAGCGTAATAAAGTGTAATGCATGATGTTTGTGACTTGGCAACATGTGGTACAATATCATGCCACATCGTACTATATGGCATGGCAAAAATAGGATAGCAGACTGTCATAATAAAGTGCGATGTATTATCATCAGATGTGGCGGTACGCCGTGCAATGGTATGAATAGTCGTGACATAAAGCATATGAATGCTGCTGCTGCTGCTGCTGCTGCTATCGTTGCCGCTGCTACTACTTACTACTACTACTACTACTACTACTACTACTACTACTACTACTACTACTACTACTACTGCTACTACTACTACTACTACCACTACTACGACTACCACTGACTACTACTGACTACTACTGACTACTACTGCTTGCTACTACTACTGCTGCTGCACGCGCAGGCGGCCTGGCTTCGGCACGGACAGCTAGGCCCTAGCTAGGCGCAGCCTTTCGAGACTCTTAGCTTGAGTTCGACAACCATTAACTGGAAGACCCAAACACTTGAAGCAGGAGGTTCATGGATAGTTATAAGGGGGTTTATTGTAAGTCCCCTAATATGGGTTATTATATTAGAAGCACCGGTTCTTCATCCTTGAAGCCTGAAACCACGAAACTCAGGACGAGCTGCGGCAGTGTTGGACGGAGGCGTTGGGGCTTTACGCGGATCGACGGCTACTGGTTCCTGGAGATCCGGTTTTGGCTCAGGGTTCCGGGTTCTACTTGGAGGTTCATGGGTAGTTATAAGGAGGTTACAAGCCCCCTAACATGGGTTATAATTAATTATAGTCACCCTACTTATATCCCTACTTATAATAACTACCCATGAACCTCCAAGTAGGGCCTGCGAACTTCAGGATTTCAGGGTTCAGATACGATTCCAGGGAATTCCTACTGACGCTTGTGGTTGCAGGATCCTTCTTCGAAGGACCCTTCTCAATTTTAGAACATATAAAAAGGCGGGCATGACAAGACTTCGTAATAGCAGAAACCGCTCTGAGCAGCCACTGATTCGACTGCAGACTCTAGCTGGCTTATGCTGATTTTGGAGGCTCCAGAAGCCTAAGCTGAAATCCTAAATGATAGATCCGAACTAAGCCTTGACTCACAAGGGTCCTGCAGCGAGTGGAAGGGACCGGAGCCGTGAATTGTTGTTGCGGGCCTCGAAAGGCAGCCGTCTGTAATTCCTACCCTAAGGCCCCATAGTAGTTCCTTTTTGTGGTTCATATATAGAAACCTATAAGTTAATCCCAAAAAAGAACTACTTTCGTGCCTATGGGTAGAGGGGACTGAATGGGCAGAGAATTTTTTCCCTCCTACCGAGCAAGGGCCAACCCTGCATTGCAGGGAAGTTCGGGTGACATATGACAGAATGGGCAGAGAATATAATTGTGGGCTTCGTTGCTACAAAAATCGCGAGGGAATACCACAGATGTGCCGTTAGCATCATCGGGTCCTCGGTAAGGAACTTCATGCTGGGAGATGCTTTGACATGCTTCGGCCAGGGGGCTTAATGAGCCATCATGTGGTTCCCTTTTGGGTACCCTAAATATTAGGTGCCGTATTATATTAAGGACCCCAAAAAGGGACCATAATTTTGACAACCACCTATGTATGTATTTATACAACTCAGGGTTTCGGCGCTTACACTCGGACAATCCAGGCGACTGAGTTTGGGGTTTAGGGTTCATTAACTAAGTTCCTTGGCTTTTGAAGGTTTCTGTAGTGCATGTAAGTGCTTACGAGGCTGTGTTGTCCAAGGTGGACATCTTGACCATCATCATGAACCAGGCTTACCGTGAGTGTCTTCATCGCATCAATGCCTTGGCTTGGCGATCCTTCTGCGACTTGGGCAAGGGCTTGGTCTATACTACACAGAAGCTACAGAACTCTGAAGCCCTTGGCATAAACTGCCTATGCTGTGTTTGGCTGATGGGGTGTAGGGTTTAGGATTGATAGCCGACTCCCTGTGGCTTTTGCACTTAGCGGTCCTTGATCCCTCACACTGTACCTGTGCGGTTTCTTCTGTGCCGTTGCGCCCTTAACTGAAACTTTAAGCCTGAACGGACGGACTGAGGCTCTTGCGATATGTTCGTTCGCTGCCGGGGGCTCGGTGACCATCGCACCGACACGGGCGCCACCGGCATCGAAGGCATCCATCCTGCGATCCACTTTCAGGGTTGACAGGGTTTGAAGAATCCAATTTTTGACACTCACACTCGGACAAGCCTGGGAAGGTGGTCTGCAGTTGTAGCTGCGACGACTTCGTTAACAGCCCAAGGGTCTACTTAGGGTGTCGGGTGTATAGAGGTTTAAGTTTAAGGGTTGGGTTCAGTTCAGGGTCAAGAGTCCGAGCCCTGCTCCTCGAAACCCCCCTTTTAGGCATCGGCCCTCCACCGAAAGATGTCCCGACACATCCCGACACCCAAGCCCAACAGGCCCAAAATAAAGAGAAGCAAACTGAACCAAACTGAACCCTGAACCCTGATCCCTAAACCCTAACCCGAAAAAACCCGAAACCCTAAACCCCTAAACCCTAAGTCCTGTGTGGCGACCTCTGGGGGCCATGGGCAGATAGCCCGTCCGTGGAAGAGGAGACATGGAGCGAGCTGAAGGCCTGGCGGCCTGCTGCGCCCTTCCAGGGGGCTTCTGGTAGGAAGGGACCACATAGCGGCGGTACCTCAGACGCTTGTGGATATCTGGTAAACATATGTATATATATATATATATGCATATTGCTATATTATATTAAATTGTTGTATAGTATAGTATTGTTTATGTGATATTTTACTATATACAGAAGTGAGTGTGTATATATATATATATATAAAGCTGAAGAACCATGACATCAACGTGTGCAGATCGAGGTGCATTGAGGGAGGCGACGGCGAGCGGCCGGCCTAAGTCCCAGAAGGAGGTAGAGCAGCTCGGGGGACAAGGATACTGTAAACCCTACTCGGAGGATCAGGGACTTAGTAAGTTCGGTTATAAGTGACTTCATTGGGGTTATAAGTATTTAAGTATGGTTACCTTAATTATAACCCTAGTTACTAAGTCCCATGATCCTTCAAGTAACGCCCGAAGATGCAAAGCTCTTCTTGCCAAGTTGCAGCAGGCAGCTGGCCGGTTGAGGCGGTCACCACCAGCCGCTGTTGCAGGGGCTTAGACATGCGAAGGTGGGGAGATGATGGCATCACGGAGCCTGGGACGGAGCAGGGCAGGGAGCCTCCGAGGGAAGTCTGGGAGAGAGGGGGTGCTGGGGACAGCCGCCCGTCCGGGGTGGGCGAGGCTGTAGCAGGGCGGACCACTGGTTCGGTAGAGAAGCCCGATACAGGAGCTGCGGCCGCTTGCGCGACCACGCGCGCAGCGGGGGGAGACTCCTCTCGTGGCATGGCCACGATGCGCGGAGGCGGGCTGCAGGAATTCCGAGTGGAGCTGCAGACGCTGCCCTGGGACCCGTTGCTGTGCAGGATGGACAGCAGATCCTCAGCCAAGTCTTTCAGACAAACTGCACTGATCCTGTTCTTGGCCTACTGCTCTTGACACTTGTGGCTCGAAGTCTGGCTAGCAGCCAGGATTCCTAAGATGGCTAAGATGGTGGATGGTGGCTGGTGGCTGGTGAATCGTGCGGATGGTGATGGTGATGCTGATGGGGATGGTGATCGTGATGATGGTGCTTGGTGCTGGTGCTAGTGCTGGTGCCGGTGCTGGTGCCGGAGGCGGTGGCGGCGGCGGTGGTGGTGACAACGGTGGTGGTGGCGATGGCGGTGCTGCGGTGCCAGTGGTGGTGGCGGCGGTGCGGCGGTGGGGCGGTGGGGCGGTGGGGCGGTGGGAAGGTGGGGCGGCGGCGGCGGTGGTGGTGGCTGGGTGATGTTGGTGATGAAAACGAAGGCGACCATGACCGTGGTGCTAAGCATAGATCAGTTGTGTGTTTTTGATGCTCCACCTTCTTGACCCAAGCCATGGAAGCCCATGGGCCGCCAGCCCTAAACCCTAAACCCCCGCCGAGCGCTAAAACCGCCGAAGCCCTCGAGCCCTAAGATAGGGGCATTTAAGATCAGAACAGGGTTTTGGGGCCCATGATACTATGTTCATAATAAGGAACCCCCACAATCTCTCTCTCTCTCTCTCTCTCTGTACCTCTCTCTCTCTCTCTCTCTCTCTGTCTCTCTCTCTCTCTCTCTCTGTCTCTCTCTCTCTCTCTCTGTCTCTCTGCCGTTGCAAGGCAATGGTTACTCTCTTCTTCAACAACCGGGCCCCAAACAGTTCAAACTTTCTAAGATAGAGCTAATAAATTTAATAAGTGAAGCCAAAAAGTTTAAAGTTCCCCTGTTCACTTCCTCATGTTAAGGCCCCTGTATTAAGCTATTGAGGACCCTATACTGTAGTATCCCTGTAGATCCTTTATAGTTTTTACACCTATAGATCCCTTTAAAGGAAACGAGCCCCTCAGGCCCTGGCATCCCGGAGGTTGTGAATCTGCGAGGTGATGCCCACGGCCAGCGAGGAGAGCGAGGCAGTCTCCGGGCTCTGCTTCTCCTCCTGCGCCTCTTTCCTCGACGAGGGAGGTAATTGTTAAATTTAGTTAGGGTTTTGGGTCTAGGGTTCATAGGGTTTTAGGGTTTAGAGCTTTAGGGTTTAGGTTTTGTTTTAAAGTGCAGTGGCCTTTCGCTCGCACGACGGTCCACCCCCTTCTGGGATGTGCACTCTTATGAAAAATCCCTGGATTGACAAAGGGAGCTTACATTGCCTCTCTCAGTTCAGCTTTGGGTTTAGGGTTTTAGGGCTTAGGGTTCAAGGTACGGAGGGGCTCTAGGAGGTCCATCACACAGGCTAGACAGACAGCATCGCAATGGCTTACGAGAACTTAGGGCGTAAAACGCTATGAAAGTCCCAGCTGCAGGCCCTTGAACTCATTGCGGATGGTCTCCATCATGCTCATCTGCAGGTCCTCCAGCCTCAGATCCCACAGATCAAAGTCAGCTCTAGGGCTGTCTTGTAGGAATACTTCTTGAATCTTGGGGCCTTCAGGTTTTCGGGTCATTCCTTAGAGAGGTAACCCTTAATAACACTCCAGCCGAGAGGCAACTCCGTGGCTCGCTTGGGCACGTTTCCCAGGCCCTCTGCCTTCGGCTGGGCCAGAAGGATGCGACGCAGCTCCGACATCTCATCTGCAAAGGCCCTCAGGCTGCCGGAACCTCGCAACAACAGTCGAAATTTGGCAATGCGAACCTATGTAACCCTCAATTATACAGACGCTGGTTTCGTAGGCTGCCTTTCACACGCAGTCGCCTCCTATGCTAGAGAGTGTACCCTGGCTCCAAGAGACTGCCGTCTGTAAATAGAACGTCTGTGCCGAGATGCTGAGTCGGACAGCTTTTGAGCGGCTGTTCTCCGAATCCCTGCCAGGAAGTGGGCTGTTCTCGAGAAAACTTGGGGTTGGACCCAGTGCTTTGGGCCTGGAGTTCCAAAGGGCCCCAATCCTTACAGTAAGAAGCATTATACAAGCGGCTAATATAGGGGCCTGAACAACTAGAAGAAGGTTTTGGGGCCCACTATACTAGATTTTTAAAGTAACCCCCAAAGTAATGTAGGTAATTATGAGGGCCCTTATATTATGGCTTGCGGCCCTCACACTCCCACTTCAGGGAAAGGCAGGTTTTCGTGGCGAAAAAGAGACCCAAAGGCGACCCGAGTCGGCTTCTTGCTCTGCTGTGCCACCCGACTTCTGACTGCTTGGAGGATCAAGGAACTTAGTAAGTTTGGTTACAAGTACCTTAATTGGGGTTATAAGTAATTATAAGCCTAGTTACTAAGTCCCATGAACCCGTCAAGTACTGTAGGAACCTGATTAAGAAACCCTGCGCCTGTAACCACAAAATAGTGGGAATCATAAAAGGAACCCTAATAAGGGCCCAAGGTTTCTAAATCAGGTTCCTACAGTACAACGGCTTGATTCCTCCGAACTTCAGTTCAAGTACGTCAGGCCTTTGATAGTTTGGTCTGGGTGATACCAAAACTCGGGCAAATCAAGTCCCACCTTCCCTCCATGGGGCTTGCGCCGATGCTGGAGTTGGACTCCAAGCCTCGCAGAGCGCTGAAGTTTTCGGCCGCAAGGATTAGGATGGGGGAGGGGTTGAGACGGGCACGAGAACAAAGATGATGGTGATGGTGAGCATGACAATGATGATGACGGTGATGACACTGGTTACTGGCTGTGGAGCCAACCTTGCGTACGAGCTCCGACACTTACCACTTGGACGATCCACTCATTACGAGCTGTCTGCAGCGAGCTCGCAGCTGCAGTCAAAACAGCTCGAGCTACCTGGTAGCCATGGCAGGCGCGTTAGCCCTAGTTAGTAGAAGTCAGTCGTCATTTGCGTAGTGGGATTGCAACAGTGCGGCTGGAGTCTAGAGCAGCACCAGCTGTAACAACAGCGTTGGTTCAGGGCCTCCAGCCACTATCGTCGATTTAGCGCTTGCGGAGTTTACGGGCTCAGGAAAACTGTATATCAGGCTTGAAATGAAAAGACAGTCTCTAAACCCGAAGCCCAAAATACCACGCATGGCCATTGAGCGCCCCACAGAGCGGAGTGTGATTGGAACTTGCTGTCTCCACAGCTTCATGCTTCAGGTCGCTCCCGGCCTCAAAGATTCGGTGGTTAGGGTTTACGCTCTCACACCTCCAAGCCAGTCGAGAATGAATAGGTGCAGGTCGGCAGCGTTTCGGCACTCACACTCGGACGTCGGCAGCGTGTAGGGTCCCGTGTTTAAGGCAAAGCTTTTGAAGGTTTAGGGCCTCTTGCGAACTGCTGAACTCGAACAGGGCGATATCTGGCTGTGCGGACGTGATGACAAAGCTGGTCACCGGAAGAGCTACAAACTTGGTATTGAGGCTGAGCCGTCGACACGAATGTGCTTGTCGGGCTTGTCGTTGCCAAGCGGGTTCTTAAGCCTCAGCCAGGGTGCACTCTGCAACGCCAAAAGGCTTGGACTCTTCAGACGCAAGTCCCAGTTCAGCAGAGGCTATCAACATCGACCTTGTGCTGCCGCCGGCTGAGCTTTCGCTGAGGGATGACCTGCCACGGCATCACAAAAGGGTTCCAGAATTTACGTCCTTACACTTAGCGAGGCAGCCATGACGACAGCACTGGAGGGAACACGCACACCATTTCAAGAGGGTGACGGTGCCTGTCATGCTGCGGGGTGTACAGAACCTTGAGGATCCAGCAAGTGAAGGAGGCCAGACATGAAGAGGTGTGTTCACACTACTGTCATTATGAGGAGACTGTCACGTAACACCATTGCTGAAAGAATGCTGGCGCTCGGAATCGTCGGATGCGTCTGTTGCGCCATGCTTCCACTTGACTACGGCACGACGCAAGAATACGGCATCCCTATGCGTCTGGTCACCAATTTAATGTCCCTCAAGTCAAAGGTTTAAGAAAAGGAGCGATCCGAGCCCTCATGTCAAGGCAGGACGGCTTTCTCGGGGGGTGGTAAGGCAATACCAACATGTGTTATCGGTTACGAAGACGAAGTTCACGAGGAGGAGGAGTAGGACGACGCCGATAGCTTTTGGCACGGCAGTTCCAGGATTTCAATTCTACCATGATGCTTATCATCCCTGGTGCTTCTCTTCTCATACACCCCCTTTATGGCTTCAGCTCCCTTAAAGTTTAAACCTCTAAAGTCTTTGAATCTCGCGAGGTAGACTTCTTGCTCAGGAGCACGGGCAGCCCCCGAGAGTCCGAAGAACTTGCGGGACGGACCTGGCAAAGGCACCACGTTTAGTGTAGGGGCCTTTGAAGGGGTCGATAAGGATTACTATAAAGGATCCATAAAGGTACCATAATATAGGGCCTTAATTAATTAGAATAAAGTTTTGTGGTACATTATACTGCAATTAACACAAGGGACAGCCAAAATGGTATAGGTAATTTTTAAGGCCCCTTTATTCGTGTTTGGAGTTTGGGAGCAGCGCCGAAGAACGCTAGTTTGACCTCTTGGCAGTTCCCCTGTTATAAGTTCCCGCTCCAAAGCTTGAAACCCGAGGAGTGGATGTCCCCATGCACAAACCCATTGTCGCATCCGGTGTCAAAGTTCCAAAGTTCTGCAAGTTTGTTTTTTCCGGCAGATAAATTTCGACAAATGGCTATGTTTTGGTGTTTCCGGCCAGATTTCGGCAAAATGTTGGGGTTGCAGCTAGACTTCGGCAAAGTATGTTTGCCTTTCGGAAAAGTTTAGGATTCCGGCAGATTCGAAGCCACGCCAGATTTTGGAGTTGTTGCTGAAACCGAAACCTACTAGCTTGTGTGCTTCCCACCCATAGACTCACAGTCACAAGCAGAGAAGCCGACGTTTGCATGACTAGATCGTTCTGCCAAACTTCTCCCAGAACTTGAGACAAGGAGAAGACCACCATTCTCGAATCGGGCCTGATGAAGTCTTGACTCATGCTGCCTGCTTTTGCCAAGCCACCCCCCGAAGCCTAAAGCCTCATAGCACCTGCTGCTAGAGCACCACAGCACCAACACCCCGAGTTTCTCCACCCGACTCGACATGAGTTGCAAGTGCAAAAGGTCGCTAGAAACACACGGAAACACCATGAATAAGATCCATTGGCAAGAATCCAAAAGCGCGGCCTAGCATAAGCACGCATGTGTAGGAGTTTATGTATGTATGAACATACAACAGGTATGTATATTTACCTCTCTGTGTGTACATGTATGGGATGGAGGGTCAGATGGACGGACCGACTGCACGTAGGTTGCGCCGCAGACAATAGCTGGGGTTTTGGGCCAGAAGGGGTGTAGATTCCATGGCCAACCCCATATCCCCAGGGCCTCTACCAACGAAAACTTAATTACCTGCGAATGCCCTCGTGGGGTTTAGGATTTAGGGGTCTGCTGTGCCAAGTGCTTGTGGTTTTTCCTGTTTCCAAGGCCGCCATGTGCATCAAACCCCGTACAAAACAGCACTGAACCTTCAGAAAACCGTAACCTTAGGGACTCCACACCCGCACACGGACACGCCAACCGAGGCTCAGCTAAGAGCTCGAGGGTTTAGACGGAACCCCAATACTCTACTAGGGCCTCATGAGGACGATAAGGGCAAACTATTTTTCTTTTTTTGAGAAAAAAAGGGCAAACTAGTGTACATACTCTTCAAACCTCCATAGCAAGTAAGCGAGCCCTTAAACCCTACACCTCTTTTTCGGTAAGCAAACCAGCCTGCGGTTGGGACGATGCATTTGAGATGCGCCTCTTTACCACGTGACCTTGCCAGGTGAAGATTACATTTTCGAGTTCGGCCTGAGGGTCTTTTTGTTTTACCTCTAAAGGTTTTCGGGTTTAGGGTTTGGGGTTTAGGGTTTAGGGTTGAGGAAGTTTAAGCGTTTAGGGTTTGAAGAGTGCAGGCTCTACCATAGGGTGCAGGGCTCGCGCGGCTTCGGGTCGGAGGGCTTCTCCGGTTCCTGGTGGGCCCTTCGAAGCATCCTGCGGCCTTAGTTTTCCGGGGGTCGACTGGGGAGATTCCGAAAACAGGGGACCCTAACAGAGTACCCTGAATAGTAGGGGTTTCGGGTTTAGGGTTTAGGATCCACCAAGATAGGGTACCCCCTTGTTGTCGGAAACTCCCAGTCGCCGCTGAATCCACCCCAAACCCTGAAACCTGCACCGCAAACCTCGAGTGTAGTTACTACATATCCAAAATGCGAAACCCCTTCCAGAAACACTTTGCACCCAAGCGTACAACTAAACTCCAAGACTAAACCTCAAACTAAACCCACAATCCTAAACTCAATCCTCAGACCTAACCCCCCTCAAACTGAGCCTTTTTTTCAGCGTCAAACCAAGGAAAACACCTTTGTCAGCATGAGCTTGGATTGTGTGCCACCAAAAACCATAGACCCAACAATATCCCAAAATACAAAACACCATATCCACAAATATCCCAAAATATCCCAAAACAGAATATCCAAATACATAACAAAGTATCCCAAATTACAAAACATCAAAAAAAGAGACTGACACCCGGCCTGAGCTCACGGGGGATGCAGTAGCTGGCTTCGCAGTCTCCGAAGATTCCGTGAGCTTCTGACAACAGGCCTCTCTGGTGTTTAAGCCTTAGGGCGTCTAGGGGGATCTACGGCTTTAGGGGTATAGGGGTTTCCGGGTCTAGGAGGGTTTAGGGTTTGGATGTTTAGGGAGTTTGGGGCTTGGGGGTTAAGGGTAAGCCCTTCTGACTAAACTTCGGATTTGGAAGCTCGAGCCTTTAAACAACAAATTAGAATCCTGTCCTAGGAGGCTCGAACCTTCGAGCCCGAGGCTTTTTGCCAAAGATCGAGGCTACAGGGAACCCCAAGACCCTAAGGAAGAAATACGAATACCAAGTACTCAGGCTTCGAGAATCTTCCTAGTGGTCCTCGTAACGGCTAGTACTACACCCAGGGACTCCAATATCCATATGCGTTAAATCATATTATTCCTTAATTAAGGGATATTGGAGTCTCTGGGCAGTCTGGGGTAGAAGGTAGAAGGTTTGCGCGGGGCGGGGTGGAGGTTTAGAGTTTGGGGACCCAGGCTAGGAATTTGGGGATGCAGGCTTCCGATTCGCACGCCAATCAAATTAAAACTCAAAGTTTGTGTGCGTGGCATCTTTCAACTAAGACCCGGTGGCAAGAGTTAGCTATCCTTGTTGAAAAGAATCTGCATTTGCTTGCCTTTCTGGGGGCGCTAAAGGTAAGTAAGACTGCCACTACTCGGACTCTCGTTGCTCTCGCACCTTTCCGGCGAGGCTGCTCCAGTCAACCAACTCCAACTGATAATCTAGGGTCCTTAAAGACTTAGAATAGGGTTTTGGGGCCCATTACACTGTAAGCATACTAAGAAACCACCAAAACAGTGTTGGTAATCGTTTAGCACCCAATGTTACTCCATCCCCTTGAGACTCTCCGGCTCCCAGCAAAGGGGACCAGAATAAGCGGAAGAGGGTTTCGGAGGATGTCATATTATGGGAGTTTCCGAAAATAGGGGACCTTACTGTAGTACGCTAGAAAGTAGGATCCTTAGTATAAAGACCCCAAATAAGGTGCCCTCAATTTTCAGAAACTCCCATTTTGTACTATGAACAAGGTACATGCAAAAGGGCACCGTAGGGAACAATACAGGAAATTTCCATAGGATTCTACAATAGTTGGGTTAAGAACCAGGCATTAAAGACTGTTGAAATCCCATACACCTCAACCTGCTCCCCCCGCAAACAATTCCAGAATCCAGCGGCCTTGCACAGCTCCGGCATTCCACAGTTGGATGCTGCCTGTGTCGGGCTTCGGGTTTCTGAATTAGGCACTCACACTCAATCAATCCAGACGTTCCTGCGTTGAGGTTTCCAGTCCTTGGGATGCAGACAGCTCCGGGGCTGTCAGAATGCAAATTATGTTGACGCCCTTCAATACTCCGGATCTGCTCAGTTTCTGTGGCATTTCTACAAGATCGTACAGCAACCCCTGAGTTTTCTTGGCTCCTGCAGGGAAGACGTTGAGCCACAAGTCCCCAGTCAGGAAAGGCATATTCATACTCGAGAAGCTGGTAAGGTGTCCTTGGGGATATATGCATACTGAAACTCTGCAAACAGATATTGAAGGTCGCTGAAACGGGTTTAGGGTTTTTGGCGTTTGGGTATGTCGGCCAAGCTGTTCGACGTCCGCTGGAATAGACGCGGCTGGGGCCTTCTGCAGCTGACGAAGCATGTTCGGCGACAGCGTCGCAGTGGCTTCCTTGACCTTGTCAAGCACAGCTTTCGGTCGCGGCATTGCGGCTGTTGGCACAATATATCGGGCTGCCCAAGTCAAGAACGCTGGCAGACCGTGAACTCATCCACACACAGACGAGAACGCAACACACACACAGAGACACATCACACACACGCACACACAAACGCAGACACTTACACACACGCCCGTGGTGCGACGACTATGATTCGCTGGAGCTCACTTGTCTTGGTTGCTGTCGCCTTGCACTACACCTATCACTCCTTGATGTTGTCCTTGTTCCGCAGAGCCGACTTTCTTGTCTGCTTATGTGCAGTTTTTGCCACCCTAAGTAAGTAAAAGATCACTATACGAAGCTTGTCCTACCCGGAGCTTCTCTGTCTGGGGTCCGGGCACTGTCCGTGTAGGCATAGACCAAGAGCTGACGCAAGATGATCACAGAAAGGGCGTGAGGCACCTGCTGCAAAGAAGCACACAGATTTTGAGGACCCTCAGACATGGGCATTCCCAGGTGTTCTTTTTTTCAGGGCCACCTTCTTTCTACCTGCCTGGGGCAGCTTGTAGGCTTGTGGGAAAAGGGAAAGCGCGTAGCGGCCGGGTGGTTTCTTCTTCGTGGCCCGCTGTTGAGGTACCGGCTCTGGGAACAGCTAGATCACACTTAAGATCTGTTGTCCGTCTCAACGCTGCACCCAAAGCAAACGGAACAGTCACGTCTATCCATTCCCCCGGCAAGGGGTTCGACGGTGCTCAGGCCCCTGCAATGATCGGTGACTTCCCAATGGCACGATGGTCCTCGGAGCATGGCTGTTGACATCGACCCGCAGAACTCACAGAAACATACGATCAAGCGATCATTACCAACATCACGATTACTCACGCTCGTTGTCGGAATCAGACCCATAAGCCAGGGCATGCCGTCTATCACTATTGAACATCATTGCAATCACGCCCCTACGAAGCTGAGAAAGGCAGGTACTTAATGCAGATACCGACCATGCCAAGGTCGTTAAGCGATCTCTATAGTCAGATGGCTACCTTAACCCCAATTTCATCGCACCATCGCTCAACCACGCAATTGGCCAAGGCTCGGCAATCAGTCGCCGGAAGAAAGGCAGCCTCACAAAAATCGGAAAAGGCTAGCCTCTGAAATATCATCTTGATTCATGATGCGAGTCGAATTTCAAGGAAGAGCAGTGCCAGCAACAGTGTTGACAATTGTCAGGCCCACAGTCCTACTAGATGCTGTTTCATCAATACCAGTCTTGCTTCCTGGGCCTATCGTGCATAGAGAAAGACATCTGCAAAGCCATTCTGTCAAGGCCAACTGCACTTTCCAGCACGGACTGAAGTGCCAGCCGGCCCACATAACTCGGCCCTGAACCCCTACTAAACCCTAAGCCCTGAACCCTAAACCCTAAACCCTACACCCTGAACCCTTTTGCTGCAGGCTTGCTTGCAAGGACGCCTGGTAGTTTGACGCTCTTCCGCCAGCTAGGACTGTGCTCGTGGCAGTGCCCCTAGCTTCTGAGCATGCCTGAACCCTAAACCCTGAACCCTAAACCCCAAACCCTAAACGCGCTTTTCTCTAAACCCTGAACCCTAAACCCTGAACCCTGAGCCCTAAACCCGAAACGCCCTTTTCTCTAAACCCGCCAACGCCTTGTGAGGATGATGCTGTGGGCCGGGACGATCATCGGCTCTTGCCCTGAAGCACTGGTAGGCTTTTTCGAGGTTGGACTTAAGATCCTCAAGTTGCTGATATGATATATATATATATATATATATATATATATATATATATATTGTAAATATACATATATATGTATATATAAATGATATATATATACATATATACATAAACGATTAGATATTAAATTTAGCATCTAGACTTTAAGCTTCTTGGCATTTCGTCTAGGGTTTGGGGTCCTGAGACAAGGTGGCCGCGGCAAGGGGGCGAGGGACTTGGGCTGCAAGATGCTGCGCTGTTCGAACTGCCTTAAGACTGGGTTGGCCTTTAAACACCCTGAAAATATTCATTTATATAGGGTCCCTTATAAACCCAAATAAGGAAAATAAAAAATGTCCCAAGATCCAACCTAGTTAAACACGATCGAACGCTTCTCGGCCTTCGCATGGTTCTGTCACCGCGAGCTGTACGTCAGCACTCGAAGGGTCCGTCAGCAAACCTTTCCTCGGGTAACATCCGTCCGTCAAAGAAACTGAAGTCAGCGCTCAGGATCCGCTAAGTTGAATGCTTCACAGTCTCCAAGCCGTTGACATGTGGGAGTCACTGCTAATTCACAGCAGAGATACAAGTAGGATGCCATAGTTGGAAGTGGCGAGTTGTCCACCTGCTTCGCAACGGGCTATCGAGGCTTTGGGACGAATCGGTTCCTTTCGCCCAGGCCATTTCAGCGATCACAAGATGGCGATCTGGCTTTTGCAAACATCACATCGGCTGGGAGCCACAGCTCTTGTTCCAATATTTCAGTGGACGAGGGCATCACAAAGGTGCTACCCGCACCGACTTCCCAACCCCAAAACCCCGAAGAAGATGCAGAGGCCTCAAAGAAGCCCGTTCGCGGAGTAGGCTTGTCCTGGTTTCAGCAAGGCTGACGACATCCGGCAGCATCTTAGACTCACATCTGGAACCCAAAACTTAAACCAAATGTAAAACCACACCCAGCACTGAACCCCAAACGATCTGTCCTCAAATCTGCTAGTCATGGTGGTGATATCTCCGTACAGTGCGTTATAGCATAGCAATGCTACGTGGCAAAGACGATCTCTCATAATCACTGACTGAAACGCTAGATATGTTAGAATAGTAATGAATATACACCCGAAACCCTGCACCTGCGAGATTGTGGCACGGTAAAGCCTCCAAGTTTCTACACCTCGCTGCCTTGAATAGAAGCCTGTGTCCTGAATGATGAGACTAGGGGTCTTGTGGGTTCTACACGTCACTACACTATACATACATGTGGGAAGCGGAAGGAAGACTGGGAACAATGGCACTTCTTCTGGCTCAGATGCCTATCCCCCTTGCTTGCACCCTAAACCCTAAACCCCTAAACCCTAAACCCCTAACTCCTAACCCCCTAACCCCCTAACCCCCTAACCCCTAACCCCTAAACCCCTAACCCCTAAACCCCTAAACCCCTAACCCCTCTCTCTCTCTCCCAGGCATTCGAAACGTCAACCGGGAAACCCCTAACCCCTAAACCCCTAAACCCCTAAACTCCCAAACCCAAAGCCCTGAAGCCCCTCGCCTTGTCCCCGCCGCCCACGGGGAACAAATGGCTTGAGCTGCAGGCGCTTGGCGAGGACTCCGGGACCGAGGGCCTGGTCCGAGGGCCCCGAGTAAGTTAGGGTTCCTTAAAAGGGCGCCTTTAAAGGCATCTGTAGGGGCTCCTTAAGGGGATCTATAGGGCTTAGGGATTAGGGTCTATAATATAGGGGCCTAACAGTGAGAATAGGGTTCCTCTTATAAGGGCTACTATAAGGGCTATTATAAGGTAGGACCGGAGCACCGGAGCGCCCTTAAAGGGATCTATAGGATATTATGGTTTAGGGTTCCTTACAAGGGCGCCTTTAAAGGGATCTATAGGGTTCCTTAAAGGGATCTATAGGGTATTGTGGTTTAGGGTTTAGGGTTTGGTGAAGGGCCCCGAACGTCTGAAGTTTGGGACTTAGTAAGTTCGGGTTCCTTAAAGGGCTACTATAGGGGGCTTGCGGGTCTCAGGGCTTACCTTTGGCTGGTAGGGAATGGAAGAATGGTAGTAATCGTAGTTATATTTGCACCCCATTCCTCCATTCCCTACTAACCAAAGGCAAGGGTGAAGGGCCCCGAACGTCTGGAGTTTGGGGTCGAATATAGGGGTTAGGGTTTAGGGTTGTAGGGCTTTAAGGGTTTAGGCTTTAGGGTTCAGGGCTTAGGGTTTGGGGTTTAGGGTTTACGCTCTCGCAACTCGGACACAGCCAGACGTTTAGGGTTTAGGGTTATACGGTTTACTTGGAGGATCAGGGGATAAGTTCCTAAACTGGGGTTATAACACCCGCTGTCCGGTGAAGCTGTGATTCCAGTACGATGTTTGCCTTAGCTCTCAGCCCCCAACCCCTAAATCATCACCCCCCCACCCCCAAAAAAAAGCTCCAAAGCTCCTAATTAAGCTAAACCCCTCAGCTCCAAATCCAACCCCCCAACAACCACACAAATCATACTTAAACCCGACCTTAGCCTGGCATAACCTACCTTTTTCAGGACTTGTATAAGGAAATCATAAGAAGGAACCCTAGAAAAGGTATGTTATTCAGGGTTCGGTTAAGAGAAGCCTGAGGAACGAAACCCTTTGCCGAGAGGAGGCCCGTCCAAAACCCTGAAGCCTAGGTTCCTGAGTGGCCCCATAATAATCATAATAAAGGTACCCTTTTCCTCATATTTATTTACATTACTAAGGAAACCGAAAAGAAAAAAGGCCAAAAGGGCAATACTCAGGAACCCTGAAGTGCAGCTGCCACTTCTCGGCCTCCGCTTGAGGTCTGCGTGCACCGACCAGGACGACTGGCATCCACACGGGGTTGGCAAATGGGAACTCGGATTGCGGGGCTTTAGTCATAATGGTGTATAGGGCTTCAGGGTTTGGAGTTTTGCCTTTTGCCTCCTGCATTGCTGCGCAAGTCCGTAGGCAGGGTCTGATATCTGATACAGCGATCTCACAGGTGTATTCGCATGCATATTTTAATTCGTGTTCTTCTTGCATTATTTCAGACGATTACCACCCAAACCCTATTCTAATTTTGGGCAGGCCAGCCAGGAGCAAGGCCTCGCTGGCACGGGAAGAACGGGTAAGGCTCGGGATGACTTCAGTTCTGGAAAGCTGGGTCTCAGACGTGCCGGAAGTAGCAGATGTTATAGTATCTTGTAGTACAGTATATTATTCTAGTATGTTGTAGTATCTTGTAGGGGAGGCTTGTTGTGAGGCGTTGTTTCTGGTTCAGCGGTTCTTGACCCTGTCGAAATCCAGAGGAATTCGCGGGGACAAGGGCCATGTATGACACATGAGAGTTTCAGGAGACCGGGGACCGTAAAGCAAGCCCTCAACTTTAGTGTAGAGACCTGGACATTGGGATCCCCGACCTTGTCAGAAGCCCTCCTCACTTTTCGAGCAAGCTTTGCTAATCACCAGTCACCGGATTCGATGCGGGCCCGGCCTGCGCGATGGCTCCGGCAATGCTTGCGCCTGGAGGAACCAGAGCTGGGGGCTTAATATAGGGGCCTTAACAACTAGGATAGGGTTTTGGGGCACATTATACCATAACTATAATGAGGAACCCAATTATTAAGGTCCCGAAATTACACCTGAGGTCTCACGTTCACAAGTTTTGTCACAGTTTGGACTCCTACCCTCCTCCATAGAACGCAAACCCCAAGCTTCCCCTAAACCCTAAACCCTGAACCCTAAAAACTAAACCCTAAACCCCATAAACCCTAAACCCTCCTTGTGCTCTCTGATCTGATGAGTCCCGGCCTGGTGGTGGTGCTTGCTGGATCGGTGCCTTTGGAGGGCTCCGCAGCAACCACCTCAACAAGGGGCTGGTCCTGACAGCAGGCGCCCTAGCAGAGGTCTGAGTATATTTCAAGGTGTTATCTCCTTACAATTCCGTATTCCAACATACCCATAACACTCATGAAATTGCTGCGGTTGGCCGTCTAACTTGTGCCACTCCTGTGCCTGAATTACACCACTCCCGTCCCTAAACATCATGGGGCTCTGATATGTGGGCTTAGGGATGGGTTCCTTCTAGTGAATCTTAGTGTCATTTCTTAAGCAGCTTTCCGCTAACAGCAAGGTCCTGATAGATGCTGCCTCCTCTGCCAAGACTTTCATGTGGGAGAAGGTGCACTGATGCCAGGGGTTCTGGAAGGGCTGGGCGGCCTGAGCAGACCCAGGGAAGTCGCCCTTCGGTGTCACAGGCTCGCAACAAACGCACAGGGGTCACAGCAGCAAGATCCTTACTTGGAAGATCAGAGGACTTAGTAAGTTAGGCTATACGTACCTTAATTGGGGTTATAAGTAATTCTACGTATGGTTGCCTTAATAACCCTAGCTACTAAGTCCCATGATCCTTCAAGCACAAGTACCTTCCCTGGGGTTATGAGTAATGTAGGAACCTGATTAAGAAACCTTGGGTCCTTATGAGGGTTTCCTATATGGATCCTACTATTTTGGGGTTATAGGCCCAGGGTTTTCTTAATCAGGTTCCTACATTATGAGTCGTTATGAGTATAGCTACCTCAACCATGACCCTAGTTACTACGTCCCATGTTCTGATCATACGGACTCTCACCCTAAACCCTAAACGGCCCTAAACCCTAATCTCATGGCAGCATCACCCCGAGGCAAGGGCCAAAGTTGAGCGCGTCCCCTCAAAACCTTCTCCGGTCTCGCAGGCTTCCTGGCAGGGATCTAAAGAGCCTTGTGAGCAAGGGACTACAGTTAGACCATGTAGCTATAACTTATAACCTCAATCGTAAAACCCTCAGGCATGAACCCCAAACCCAGAAAGCCTAAACTCTAAACCCTCCAACACCGCCGTCGACAGGAAAGGCAGTTAAGTCAGTGCTCAGGGGGTTGAAGTGTGTCAGAAGCCGACGCCGACGCGTCTTCTTGGGGTTGGGTCGCACTTGCACCGCATCCTTTGCGGCAGCAGAGTGGAGAATTTCTGGTTTTGAACCTTCCCATGCCACGTCAAATGAGTTGCTTAGACTTAGTTCTCATGGCTAGAACATAGGAGCCCCACCACGAAATAGCACATCCTTCTCGTTCATGATGTTCAAACTGCAAAACCCAGGCTACGGCCTAGCTAAGACAAAAAACACAAGCCCTGAAAGCGCCCCGTATAGAACCCCAACAGCCCTCCTCGAACCCTTTCAAAGCCTACTCAGCGAGCGGTCTGTCAAACATTCCAGACTTTACCGGGGCCTGAATCATTAATGAAAGTATTCCTCAATATGCCCCAGTGTACTTATCCTACTATATCAGACAAGATAAGACAATAAAACATAACAGAATATAATGTGTATAGACTGTATAGATAATATATCACAATGTCATGACCGCCGAAAGCCACCTGGTAGAGGTCACGGATTTCACTCAGCCGCTGCCTGGGGTTCTAGCTCAGGCACTTACCTTCACTCTAATGGGTAGTTGTCAACATTAGGGCCCCTTTTTCGGTACCCTAAATGATTAATAGGTGCCGTACTACAATAGGGATCCAAAAAAGGGACCCTAATTTTGACAACTACCCTAATCTAAACTGCCATCTTCCTCCCAAACGCTACCATCTGATACTTGGGGTTTGCAGTTCGAAGTTGCTGAGGACCAGTGGGATTCGTTTGAGTTACCAGAACTGAGTGGTCTGGAGTCTTGAGATGTCTATAAGCATGGTTGTTTAGGGGGCTTCAACGAGTTAGATTTAAATTCAGGTAGCTTATTAAGAAAAATGTCATGTTGATCTATCCCTGTTGTGCTGCACGGGCTGATGGACATGCGTGCACAGGCATGGGGAGCAAGTCCGCTTAATAGGAAAACCCAAACCCTCAAGCCCTAAACCTTTCCTCTTTGCAACCCCGTCCCTGCTTGAATCAGCCTTCCCGTCATACGTTTGTTACTAAGATGGACTAAAAGGGGATACTGTTTGTGGGTGCTCAAGCCTTTTCTTGACGGGCCACAGCTTGTGAACCCCAGACCCGACAGACTTTCAGAAATATCCTGCCCAGCAAGACTGTTGACACTGAGGCCCGACGGGGATTTTTCTGCCTCCCACCTAGCTGACCTAGCTCGGACATGCCCGCATAACTGGGCTGAGGGCTTTGAGCTTTAGGGGTAGAGGGTCCGAGGGCAGAACAGGAACTCCTCCAGGGACCAGATGGACAGCAAGTGCCCATGGCCGCGAATGGTCATGTGCCTGAGGATCGAGGTGCAGGGTTCTCAGAAGTTAAGATAGCACCTTTTCGACAAGGGTCTCGACCTTGGCAGAATCCTTAATTTAGAAAGGATTTGGGACCCAGGAACTTTCTCTTCTGTGATTATGCTGAGGTGCCCTGAGGAATACTAGTACGAGGTACGTAGATGCATACATAGCCAGTATGGTATCCATTGCTTCCGGCCTCAGTTCGGGATTAGGGTATTGCAGGTCTTCGTGACTTGCAGCTTCATCAAGCTTCATCATCAGTAAGCAGGATAGGACCACCCAAAACCCAGAATCCAAGAATCAGGAAACGAATTGGATCCCAACCCCATTCAAGCCCCATCTGCCCGCAACTTCGAGCGCCACCCCACCCCCCAATCCTCAAAACCCCGAATTCAAAACTAGCGAGTCCTAACCCCTTGCCAGGGTCCGAGCTCATCCAGGCCCATGGCATGGGCTAGTGGGTGCTTTGCGCAGCCCAACATCCAGCGCCTCGGACAAGAGTGGGGCGGCAGGTTTAGGCTATGACATTTTAGTTGTAGGAAGCCGGATAGTGTAAGGTTCAGATTGCCAGACCAAATTCCGCAATTCTGACTGACGCGAGGGGTGACGGAATGGGCTTGCAGGACTATTGCGACAGACGTACTGTACCTGCAGATGTTCCTACCTATGATAGCATCCGACGGATGTCATGAGCACTTGGGGGGCTATGGTGCGGGGCCCGGCGCTCAGGGCTTAGGGCCCAATGAACAAGCTCGAGTTATGAGGGAATCCCCCTTAAATATACAGGGGCAGGTTACCCGGGTCATTACATAATATGAGGGATAGGTTTACGTTACTTTGTGTGCTATGTCGTCGCCATTCGCAGTTGGTCTAGTTTTTTGAGTTTCCGACAATAGGGGACCCTAGTATAGTACCCTAAAGAGTAGGGTCCTTAACGATCCATAATATAAGGACCCCAAAATAAGGTATCCCGAATTTTCGGAAACTCCCATATAAGTTTGGGTAAACTGCAAAGTACTACTGCTCCCATCGTGGCTCATGCATCGCTTTGAAGGCTGACATTTTCGGAGATGCTTGCGTGTCTTAGGGGGCCCTTTTTTCCCTAGCCCGCATCGCAGGGAGTCTTGGTTGAACAGTTGGCAAGCAGCTACAGTTTCATAGCTAACTTGCGATCATACTCTGACCCTAAACCCTAAACCCTAAACCTGGGCCAGGGGGGCCTTGCCGTTTAGGGTTCAGGGCTTTAGGTTTAGGGTTTCGACGCAGGACGGCACAGATCCAGGCAGGTCGGGGCTTTGGGCCTAGGGCACCTCAGGCCACAAGGGGACGAACCCCCTAAACCCTAAACCCTACTTGAAGGATCATGGGACTTAGTAACTAGGGTTAATTATTTATAATTAAATTAAGGTAACTATACTTATGACTACTTATAACCGCAATTCAGGTACTTATAACCTAACTTACTAAGTCCCCTGGTCCTCCAAGTAAACCCCTATAATAAACCCTAAACCCTAGACCCTAAACAAACCTTAACCCAAGAGTCCTCTCCCAGTCTTGGAACGGCACTTGTCTGCCAAATCTTGCGAGGAGGTTGGCGCAGCTGGGTTGCGCAAACATTGCTGGACCTTGTGCCAATACCCTAAGGCCCCATAGTAACTCCTTCTTGTGGTTCATATTTAAACTCTTATTATGAAGTAATCCTAAAAAGGAGCAACTATGGGGCCTCTGGGTAGGGCCCACCCACCAAGGAATCCTACTTCGAGGTTCATGGGTAGTTATTAGTAGGGTTATAAGTCCCTTAATGGGATATAACTATAGTTACCCTACTTATAACCTTCTTATAGGTACCCATGAAGCTCCAAGTAGGGGTCCAGCTTGAAACCTTAAGGCTAAAGGGTTTCGGGTTGGGGTTTTGGCCCAGCACGGGGTCTCCGCTGTGACGGGAAAGCGCAACTGCCGGTGGGGGGGGGGTCTCGATGAGACAACTCAGCAGGTTCGCGAGCCCCGAAGACCACTACAGATAGCATGCACATATGTATATATATATATATATACATATGCTTGTTTAAGTATATTTGTGAACTACATGAAATATCAAGTATAATCCATGGAAAATAGTATACTTGATTCAGTTGCTTTCAATTGAACTTGTGTTACAAGCAGATTGGGGGTTCGGGCTTTCTCATAAAAAAGCACCATGAACCTCTTAAACGCGGTGAAAGGGATTTTAAGTTTCTCATGTCTTGGATATCTGCGTTTTGAATGGAGGCTGCTAGATTTTGACCTTCTGGTCAAAGAATTAGAACTTCCCGATCTGCTAGCTTCAATGCTTCCTCCCCGATCGGGACTCAAAAATCGAATCCTTAACCCGACACCCTGAACCCTGAGCCCTAAACTCTTACAGTCTGAGGGTGGCTCCGTGCTCACGGTCTGCTGGAAGCGTGCCAGGGGAGAAGGCTTCCTTGGCATTGGCAAAGGCACCGAATGACTGTACTTCTGGAGTTTTGTTTGTTCTCTCTCTCTCTCTCGCCCTCTCGCCCTCTCGCCATTGCTTTCCTACGGTGGATGATATAAGTCCTGCATTACCTTAAGGACACTGAACTATGGGAGTAACGTTCTATTCCTTATTATGGGTAATGCAGGATTCATATTATCAACCGTACTTGTTCTCCGGGCCTGGAAGGCGCAGCCAGAGGCACACCAGGAGTTCCGGATTTGGGCTGTTGCGATGCCGTAAAAGAATGGAGTTCCCTGGAGCTCTCCGTGCTGCGGGAGAGACTCCACCACCCCTTAGTTAAGGAATATCATCAGTGTAAATTTTTAACTAGGATCCCTTCATCTGTCAGCGAAGTGAAGCATTATCGAAACCCTGGGATACTTTCGGGATCTACACATCCACCTGCGCAGAAACCCAACTCTGGAGAGCTTCTGAAACCAGATTACCAGAGCTCCACTATCCGTAACACAAGGGCCTGTCGCGGGATTGTGTCGCATGCTGCAGTTAAAAGGTTTTCGGGTTTCAGGGGAATGTGGCTCCGCCCCGACACGCCCAGTCTTATTGGGAGTTTTCGAAAACAGGGACCCTAATATAGTACCCTAAATAATGGGATCCTTATTACACGGACCCCAAACTTGAGAGCAGGGCTACGAAACCTAGAAGCAGGACGGCGGAGGCTTGCTTTTATGCGACCGTAGCAATGGTATAAATGGTAACAGCTCTCTAAACTCTACAAACGGCTATGCTTGCAAACATGGCCTTCAAGGGGGGGTCCTGCTAGGGGGGTAATTAATTAGGGGGACCCCACGACCCTTAAATCGTTGTTTTGAAGCCTTATAAGGCCACAGGCCTTCGTTGCACCCATGGAACTACCGAGAAAGTAATTTGTGTAATTTGTGAACGACAACTCCCGCAAGCTTCAAAGAGCTAGCTTTCGTGAAATGGTACCCCCTGATTTTCGGAAACTCTCAAACCCTAAACCCACTTGTTTTTCGGAAACTCCCTTATCGTCTGAAGAACGAGCAGCAGGTCAGCTATGGCTGTGAGGCTGCGGCTCCAAGCAGCAAATCACAATCTCAGGAGAATCCTCGGTTTCAAGGCGTAGGCGTGTGGATCCAATAGCCTAGTCAAAAATCCCTTTTTCCGCCTGCAAGATCCGGGAGGCGGGTTTTCTCTAGGGGTTACGCGCTCGCACAAGGCAGGCAAGGCTCCACAGAATTGTTAAGGCCTAAACCCTAAACCGCTAAGGGTGTATTTGAGCCAAGCCCGACAACCTGGGAAGCCTGCCTGGTGGAATCTTGCAATCTCTCTGCTGGATACGACTCATGTGCGGGCCGTAACAAGTGGGGCTTTCCGAGAATTTGGGGTACCTGATTCAGGGGTCCTGATAATAAGGATCCTACTATTTTGATACTGGACCCTATTTTCGGAAACTACCGAATCGTCACCGTAGGGCTTAAGGTTATTCGAATACAACTATCATAAGGTGCCGTAAGGAATAATATTGCGCGTGCTGTCTATTGAGAACCCTACAGTAGTCCTGACCCCGCGCGAAGTTGAAAGTAGCACGCAGTTAGGAAACCTGAAGAGTATCCAAGAGCAGAGTCTCTTCACCAGATTGACAGATACACCAGGTCGATTCTGACCCGAGACAGATGGTGCTTGTCAAAGTTATGGTCCATTTTTGGATCCCTGGCCCTAATATAATACGGCACCTATTATTTAGGGTACCCCAAAAGGGACCATAATTGTGACAACTACTCAGATCGCTAGGGATGTTTGCACCCAGAACCCCGAACCATGTGCTGCCGGTGGGCACTGTTGAAATCCAGGACGTCGGTCAAGGTCTGTATCTCCTCATAGACGCGATGCGACTCGAGGCTACAAGAACCAGCAACACTTGCAGCCATAGGGATGAGAGTGGCCATACAGAAAATAGACGACGCCATAAGACTACATAGTAGTAACTTGTAATTGTAATCACGCACTTGCCCGAACTATGTTGTTACACCAGTGTTCATAGCAGCCGTTCCAAAAGTAAACCCAACATCACCTTCTTCATGCTCATGTTCTGGCTGACAATGACAGCGTCAGTGCTGACTGCTGCCCTGCTCGGTAGGACTGTCCGAAATTCTCATCTGCCAAGGGGCAAGGTGCAGGTCTGCATTGCCAAAAACCTGCACGATCAGTCACTCTTGCAAACAAACCTCAGACGTGCAGCTACATCCCGCTCGCTACCAGCATCACCTTTCTCCGTACAGTTGCTCATGCATAAAGCTTTGCCGCGGCCAGCTTGTCGCAGCACGCAAAGGACCGACTGGGACGCAACGAACATGCGGGCTACATGGGCTCCCTACTCTCGGCCTAATGCACTCGCTACTTATTGAGAAGTCCTCTACCATTCACAGCTTCAGGCTCTGCATGGAATGCTCGCAGCGAACATCGGGACCGGAAGCGACTCAAGACGAAACGGAAGGGGAGGGACGACGCAGGACGGCACAAAATCAAATGGGTTTTCAAACGAGTCGGGATGGGAAGGGACGGGGAAATGCTATCGTCGTCGGGGCGATTGTCGCTGTCGATTGTAGTAGCACTAGTTGTTTCGTTCCTTCCGACTTCCAGCGCATGGCCCTAAGGCTCCATGTACCCATATAGTATATACTTAGGCCTTAAAGTACCTATATAGGGACCCCTGTAAGGCTTAAGTATCTACTATAGAGGTACATGGAGCCTTTGGGTGGGTGGTTCGAGCTCATGTAGGAACCTGATTCAGAAGCCCGGAGCCTATAACCCCAAGATGCTCGGATTCATATAAAGAGCCCTCATAAAGGCCCAAGGATTCTTAATCAGGTCCCTACTTTACTAGCAAAAGGAACAACAGTAACACCTTAAAACCTAAACCCTATTGATCCCTTAAAGGATTCCTTAAAGAGGCCCCAAGTCCTAAACCCTACTTTCGATGCTTCGGTGCATCTGAAGTCTGCGAAACCCAGGCTCGCGGACGCCTCCCGAGTGATGACGTTGGCTTCTTCGACCAAAGGATGCACGCGGTGCCTGAGCCACGAAGTCCCAATAATTTTGGGGCCTTCGTAAATCATAAAGAGCTTTTATCCAAGGGTAGAAGGAGGGACCCTTAATAAGGACCCCTAGGTATGTACCCTTAACATTATAGCTATTATATACCCATTATATAGCCTATTATAGGGTAAGGGTCCCCATTAAGGGTCCCTCCTTTTCCCCTTTGACTCTAGTATCTACAAGTACAGTATGTATCTACGTCTATATCTATATAGAGCGGAAACCGCAGGAATGCGCATGCAGTGTTCGAAACTCGAAGGTCCAGAGTTCCCGGTCTCACGCCACTTCCAACGCACCATTTTTTGTGACTCTGGCAAGCCTGGCAAGATCTGCAGTTGTAGTTTCGACGTCTTCGTTAACTACTCGCTAAGCAGACCTAGCAATGGCGCTTAGTATCAAGCCCCTTTATTGGGACATATATCAGGCCCTCAACTCTGCCTAGAAAACCAAGCTTCAGTGCATGTTGAGCTGGACCAAACAGTTTGGACTAACTTCCAACCTTAAACCTAGTTAAATCTAAAACTCTAAATCATAATTAAACCCTAAACGCTAGTTGAACTTTAACCCCAAAACCCTGGTGGCATACCCTAAACTAGCCCCTGAACGCCTGAACCCCCAAACGGATGTCCAAGCAACCCTAAACCCTAAACCCTTAAACCCAAAACCCTTGAACCCTTTTTGCAACAGGGCTTGGGGCTAGCCACAAACCCTAAACCCTAAACTCTTAAACCCTTTTTTGCAGCAGGCCTCGTTGTCCAGCAGCCCGGTTACAGCAAGAGCCCCCTTTCCCCCCGCTTCTTGCTTTAAACCCTAAACCCTAAACCCTGAAACCCTAAACCTTAAACCCTAAACCCCTAAACCCTAAACCCTTTTGCACTAAACCCTGAAACCCTAAAGCCGGGTCCCCGGGCAGGGCGCTGAGGAAGCCCCGCACGGCGGGCTCGGAGGCCCTCTTGCTGAGGTTGCTGATGAAGGAGAAGGCGCTGACCTTTTTTCTGTCCGAAGAAAGAGGGGTTAGGGTTAGGGTTTGGCGCTTAGGGGAACTATAGGGATTCTATGTCAGGGCTTATAGGGTTTTGTATAGAGATGAAGGAGAAGGTGCTGACTCTGACCTTTTTCTGAAAATATGAAAAGGTTCACTACTCTCGCAACTCGGACCACTTCGCACTATGGGTGGGGTTTTTCCACGTGGCAGAGTGCACCCGGAGCTGCTGTTCATCTGCATAGGCTCGATGGAGCCAGAGGAGGTTCAGACTTTCAACCACAAAGTTTTGGCGAGTAGCATGGTCTGAAGGTAACCGTCGGGGTCAGTGCTAAGGGGACGTGACGCAACAACCCTGTACACGAGCATGAAGACGGCCTAGGTGTTTCGGAGCGTGCTCCTGCGTGCATACATGTGTTTGCACCGTGGGCTCAGACAAGTTCGCCGGCACCAAACCGACAGAATGCTCCTCACCCTCAGCAGACACGGTCTCAGGGCTCAGCCAGACCCCCAGAGTCCTGTCAATGAGATATGGCATGGCTTCCGTCTATATAGAAGCGCTGCTACAAGCATCTTGGGACTGAATAAGGCTCTCCCAGTCTTGTTGTAGAATTTTTTAAGGGTCGTGTAGCATATATTCAGGCATAGGATCATGGGAGCAGGTAATGCGGTAAGGGACGGGTCTACGGTTTAATCTCAGGGCTTAAGGGTGTTGTGCACCGCAAACTCTACAGGCCCCAAACCCCTAAACCCCGGGTCTGGGGGTTCCCTAGGATGGGGTAAACAGCTGACCCTGAACCCGTCTGGCTGCTAGGCTGGCCTTTGGTGACTTGTTCTCACCTGCGCGTTAACAATTCCTAAAACTATGAGAGAGATCCCCTGAAGTTCGCGACGCAGAAAAAATGGTCTTGGGAAGGCGGAACATCATTCCGTCCGAAACAGTTTAACCTCTACGACCATCATCACCCTCATTGCCCCTTGCGCTGCGAAACCTCCTGGTCCAAGATCCTACGCCTGTACTCCAAACCCCTTCGTCACCCTACACCCAAGACCCCTCAACCACGACTTAACCCGCAACCCTACAGAAGCCCCTATAAATTCCTATAAAATTCCCAATGATAAGTCCCGTAACCTAAGAACCAGACAATCTCCTAAACCCGCTAAACCCTAAACCCTAAGTCCTAAACCTCTCCTCCAGCTGCTTGCCCTCCACCTCAACGGCCTCCTCAAAAGCCGATGCCACGTCGAGCTTGGGAATCTCAGAGAGCGGCGGGGATGTGAGGTGGCTTAGGGTTAAGAGGGCTTGGAGTTTAGGGATTAGGGTTTAGGGCTTAGGGTTAAGAGGGCTTGGAGTGTAGGCTTAAGAGTGTCCGGGGTTTATGGTGTAGGGCTAACAAGGTCCGGGTTTAGGGTTTAGGCTTTGAAATTGTAGAGGGTTTTTCCCTCCTACTTGGCAAGGACAAGCCCGCATTGCAGGGCAGTTTGGTTGAACAGTGGGCTACAGCTTGCTCGACATATTTCGCCATGGAAGGCAATTATCGGCACACAGTTACTGGGTTGTGTTTTAAACCCTTTGAATTATTTAATAAGGGAAATAAAAATCATCCCAGAGCATTGTAAGGAGTTTACGCTCTCGCAATTCGGACATGCCAGACGAGGGGTTTAGGGTTCTGGGATTTGGGTTGCAGGTTACGCTCTCGCAACTCGGACTCGCCGTTCGTATCACACTACAAATTCAGCTCAGTTTTCCGTAAACAGCTGCCACGGACTACACACAACTCGAGCCTCAGGCTTTGGAATCGGGAAATCTTGGACCAACCGAAACCCCAAAAGCCCATGACCACCTGTGACTCAGGGCGGCACTGTGCTGCGGGCCACTTGAAGGGACTCGGCAGAGGAGTGCCGTGTACTTCGTAGGGCTTCTGAATATACGGGGCAGGTTGCCGAAGAAGCATTACGGACAGGCGAAAGGCTTGATTCTTGCGAAGTACTGCTGGTTTCTGGTTGCGAGGCAACCAGTTGTCGACATCCACAACGATTTCCACAACAACAACCTCTGAAACAAGTCTGTGCACTCTTTCCTTCATCCCCTTTTGCAAACGATCTTTTCGTGATGCTCGTGCTTGATCGACCCAGGCCCTCCGGCAGGCTTGGGTCGCACTCCTTTGGACGATGACGGGCGAAGACTCGCCGAAAGCTGCATGGACTAACCAGGGGCGTGATGTAGGGGCCTGAATAATTAGAATTTGGTTCTGCGGCCCATTTTAGCCAGAATTATACGGTAATGATATTAAGCCTCTATAGTACCAAAAGAATTTCAGCGACCTATACCTACAGGACCTGCTGGTAGTGATCTGTAGCTTGGAGCGGGGCCTCTGCGGTGCCCGCCACCTTGATGCGTTCGGGCGACGGCTCCTGAGAGGTGCAAGGTGTAAAGGGTTTAGGGATTAGGGTTTAGGGTTTAGGGTTCAGGGTTTAGGGTTTAGGGTTTAGTAAGCTCATGCTGTTCGGGGTTCAGGCTGCGAGAGGTTGTGAGTGCAGGGCCGCAGGGCTTAAGTTTGGGGCTTCGGTAGCGAAAGCGACAGAGACAGAGCGAGAGAGAGAGGGAGCTTGGGCATGAGAGGCACGAGCAGCCCTGTGCATTGGGCACATGAAACATCCCTTCTACGGCTCAACTTGACTTGACTAGTGCAAAGGTGGTCTCATCCGAACCCTTCAGGCTGAAAAGAAGAAGCACCGAGGCACTCTGCGTCGGGTAAACACGAGTCGTGAGATGCCCGGCTGCAGCTCACACTTCAGAAACCCACTGCAATGCAATGGCCATAGTTATATAGGGGCCTTCATAATTACCTATACTATTTTGGGGGTTCCTTATTATCAGTATAGTATAATGGGCCCCCAAAATGATGAAGGCCCCCCTCATACACGGTGAGGTTTGTGTCATACAAAGAAGCGACCGGGAACATGCAGTCGCCTCCGTGTCCGGTTTTGCATCAAGGCAGCTTAAGGTGCCGGCCACAAGGCGGAAGGCATGTGAGTAGCCCAGGATCAGACCTCGCTGTGACAGACAAGCCCCTTGGCCCCGATCCATCTTTTTCTTTCGCCATGGCTATGGTGAGAGGCTTAGCCCCCCCCCGATCCTCTCTCTCTCTCTCTCTCGCTCTCTCTCCCCCTCTCTCTCTCTCTCTCTCTCTCTCTCTCTCTCTCTCCTCTCTCTCTCTCTCTCTCTCTCTCTCTCTCTCTCTCTCTCTCTCTCTCTCTCTCTCTCTCTCTCTCTCTCTCTCTCTCTCTCTCTCTCTCTCGACTTCGACTGCAGGGGACAAGTCCAGCGAGCTGGACCCGGGCCACGAGGCCCCCCTTCTCTTCCACGACTGTGGGAGAAAGGGCATTGGGGCTCTCTCTCTCTCTCTCTCTCTCTCTCTCTCTCTCTCTCTCTCTCTATCTCTCTATCTCTATCTCTCTCTCTCTCTCTCTCTCTCTCTGTCTCTCTCTTTCTTTCGCCAGGGCTATGGTGTAGGGGTTTTACCCCCTCTCTCGCTCTCTATCTCTATCTCTCTCTGTCTATACACAAATGCACGTACACATACAGGTAGGCATACGCATACACATACAAATACCTATACCTTTACCTGTACAAGTACCTATGCCTATACCTATACAAATACACAACGAAAATACTTGCACAAATACAACAAACAAACAAACAGACAGACAGACAGACATACATACAATCATTCATACATAAATACGTACATCGATATACATGTACATCTACATATACATCTACATATGTATTTACATGCAAGCATGCATACAGACACAAATACATAGGATGATGGTGATGATAATATTTAGATCTCCTCGTGACTGCCACTCTTTGCTGGAAACTATTGCCTGCTGCAGCTACTGATCTTCGTCTCGTACTATCTGCTCTTGCTGCAAAGGCTACCCGCACGGCTAGCTCCGGCACCGGTAGAGGTGATCCTGCATCCATGACCAGGTTCATTGCAACTGAGCTTGCCGACAGTCTCCATGGTGCATAGGTTGCGGCTGCTCCGGCCTGCATGATGAAAAGCTTTCGACTATCACGGGGCAGGGCAAGGCTTCGCGACAGCTACATCCCTGGGCTTGCACGATGATGACAAACCCCAGTACAACTCATGATAGTACCATTCACTTCGAGCGCCTAGATACTACCTCCAGCCATGAACACAAGGGCTTTTACTCCTGCCCGAGCAGGATCTGCAGAGAAGCTGGGTACCAGTGAGCAGCAGGCACCAGTGAGAGCAAACAAGCGAACCTGGAGAAGATCTGCAAATCAGAAGTCGTACGATTTCTCACGACCACTTCACGTATCATCTTACTGAACAAACATCTGGCAAAGCTTGTCTGCCCAGACATCAGTGGAACCCCGCTTGGGAGAGTACCATGTGTACCCGTCCTCCGGATCGGATAGACTGGTGGCTGGTAGGAAGCAAACGAGCATCCTCGCCGCTGCTGCATGTCCGACATTAAATTTCAGAAACTCGGCAGACTAAACTGATGGGCCCGAAGGTCCATCACAAATCTCCCTGACTGGCTAATTCACCCGACAGGCAAACGAAATTGCGGCCGCCACACCGCAAACTTCAGCTACCGACAAGCCGTCGGTGCCTTTGATGAGATTGCTGCTCAGGCTTTGAGGCCAAAGCATAATGCAGGGGCCTTAACAATTAGAATAGGGTTTTCGGGCCAATTATACGACAGTTTAAAAAAAGGAACCACCAAAAGACTATAGGTGTTTATTTAGGCCCCTACAGTAGCTGGGGATAGTGGCATCAGGAACCCTGGGCCAAATGCTCGCAGGGCCGGGTTGGCTCATCTTAGGACTTAGGGCTCAATCTTGAAACTCCACGATATACTCCGGATACACATGTGCCGGCTTCAAGACGATGAACTCTCTGGGGCCAGAACGTTCTGGATGCGCAAGTACGCAATGCTTCCCCAGCTTTGAAGCTTCACTTGTCGCCTCATGGTTCGAGCTCTCCTCAGTGTAGTAAATGTCACCACAGACTGCTCGGCAGAGTAGGACATGTTTCACGTTGCCATTTGAAGTACAGCTTGAGGTACAATAGCTGAGACTTTTCTTCAAATCCTCCGCGAGATAGACCCCATTGCCGAAACGACGACCGTGCGCGCCGCTCGTCTTGACCTGGAAACCTGTCTCAGCGATGGCATCCGCTGCCTCTTGCGATGTGCCGTGCCACAAAAGTGTCTCGTTCAAACCCGGCGCCATGTTCTCCACCGAGATGGCTTCGTCGCCGTGGAACTCTGCCAAGATCGTTGCTGCAAGCGTGTTGCTGGATTCCGGATTTCCGTTCAGCTGGTTTGGAGGTGTACACTGGAGTTCACCCTTGGTCTTGACACTCGCGCCTAAAGATCGCTTCCAGTCAATGTAACGACACCAAAGGACTGAGTCCTCGATGCGCCTTGCCCGCAGCACCTTCGGCGCTGCTCCGTCGCGCCCATAGGAACCATTGGCCAATCGCTGGATGAGCTCGCGGATCATTGGCTTCACAAACCAATGTTGGCGGAAGCTCTCAGTATACGGGTTGCGGCTGACATTCCTCCAATACAGCGGCAACTCCAGCAAGAACGGCACATCCTTCGGCAGCAACTGAGGAGGCTCGCCCCTGTGCAGGCGCTCGTAGAGGACCAAATATTCTGGATATACCTGGTCTCGATCGTACACGACCATCTCTCGGTAAGTGTTCGCGGCTTTTGTGCGGTCTCCGATCGTACTGTCACACTTGCCATTCACGTACTTGTCAATGGCGGATGGCTCGCGATCCAAGGTGTAGTGGAAGTTGCCCAGACATACGCGGCATAGGAGTAAGCCCCTCACGCCGTCGTAGTGACCACGAGGCTCATTTAAGGCGTACTCGTCGGCCTTGGTGCAGCTCTCTGAGAAGTACAAGCCCTTCCCGTACATCGTGCCCGCACCCGAACCGGCAAAATTGAGGCTGAAATCACTTTGAGCAATGGCCAAGCCGGTCCGAACTGGCGTTCCGTGCCAAAGGTAAACCTCGTTGATGCTGTCATCCACATCGCACAAGACGTCGGTCAATCCACTGCAGGCTTTCATGGCAGCATGTGTGAAAATCTCGGGGTCCGGAGGTTTACAAGTCGAACGCGACGTTCTGATCCGGTCGCATCTATCGATGTAGCGAGTGAACATCGCGGAGTTTTCCACACGGATAACACGCTTGATCTGGTAGCCCGTAGGTAGGCCAGGGTCACCGCCAGGCTGCACACAGGGGCATCCACCCCTGGTCTTGTCGTGCTTGCCCGTTGGGCATAAACGATCTTGTGTCGGTATCTGCCGGTAGGTGTAGTTGACCAACTCCTGGAAGACTTCCGTATGCTCATGCTGAACATACGTAAGGTTGTCGAAGCCCAAGTCATCCTCGCTCTCCCGGCATCCGGTCCAGTACTTTGGAAGGCTCTTCATCGCCGTCTCGTTCAGCGGCTCTGCCAGCTCCCCACTGTCCGAACGCAGCATCGCTTTGCCGATGGCCACGGCCGGCGGTCCACCTGAATCTTCCGGCTCTGTGTTCGCGCAAGTGATACAGCAGCAAACAAGCACGAAGAATCCGACGACACTTCCCCCAATCATGCAAAGAAGGCTGGCCACCGAAGATGAGGAGGATGACTGGCAAACGACACTCGCGGCGGAGTGGCCTTCTCCACTCCGCGGGCCCGGCAAGTTATTGTAGTAAAGCTCGCTTGTCCTGAGGTTTACCATGCAACCTTCGGGATCAAAGGGACGGAACCTCACACCCACATGCTGGTAACCCCTAGCTGCAAGAGCTTGGGCAACTTCAGTTCCGCACTCGGATGGTGTGGGAGAACTTGTGTTTGAGGGACACTTGTCAGCACCCGGGGTGTGAAGGATGAATTCCGCTGATGCTGTCGGCGGCGAAAGAACCAGGAATGCAAGGGCAACGGCCGGCCTCGCCAGTGAAAGACACTGACTCCTCAACGTGCGCCGCTGCTGGTAGAGCGAGGGGGACGTTGATTCGCTTGGCATCACACGAAACAGATCCAACACCTGGATGGCATTCCGCAAGCCGGCCATGGCTACACGGGAGAATGCGTCCGTCTGAACCCTCTAGCAAACTCAGAAACCTCACATGGCAGCGATGCAGAGAGCAGCGCTTCACAAGACGAAATGATATGACACTTGTTACTTTTGCCACCTGCCCAGCTGAACAATGTCGCACCGCAGGGAACTCGAAAAAGTTGACTAGCACGTGTTATACTGCCCAGGGTTTGGGGCAGGGGTTCGGGTGCGTTTCCCGTTACCGGCTTGGCCACACAGACCGGGGGAAGGCATGGTCCCTGGGACGTAATTTAGGGCCCTTAATAATTTTGAATAGGGTTTTGGGGCCACTTAGGTGTATCTTTTGGCCTAGATTCGCCGCTAACAAAAGACTTTCCACATGAATCTAGGTCATAATCTACAACTAATTTCTAGTATATCCTAGATCCTGGTGTCGTTGGTGTGCTGTGTTGTGTTTTTATTAAGCGAAACCAGCACGCGTTCTTTCACTTCATTTGTCTGGTTCTTTCGCTTAATTAGAACACACCACAGGAACACCAATCTCATAAAGACAACTTACGACATCTCCCTCGATTACCAGGATTCTTTGTTACCTTTAGGATTATTATACCATAATTTCGATAAGTAACCCCCACAGTAGTATAGCTAATTATTAAGGCCACTATACTATAGTACCCCTATAGATCCGTTATAGTAACCCCTCTAGGTCCCTTTAAACCCTATTCTAACTAAGGCCCCTACATTATGTTCAGAGTTTCAGGGTTCAGCGTCGGGCTTCGAAACGAGACGCGCCAGCTAGAGGGCGACGAGCTTTCAGGATACCTCTGGCCTTAGTTGCAGCAGCAGCCATAAACCTTGGGTACTGCCCCCACACAGGAACAGTCTATCAAGGGGCTTGTATTAGTAAATTAAGTGTCTTTGTCTACATGATAAACACTAGTTATTCAATAACTGCTACTGAGTGGACAGTATCCTACCTAAACCCTAGTTGATTTCTCCTTCTTGCTTACAGAGCGAGGATTTCACTCCGTATCGAGGAGGCGACTTGGCCCTCGGCATGCAGGGATCTTCTGGAAAACAGTAAAGAAATAACTATAAGAATCACAATCATCACCAGGATAATGATAGTAGTGGAAATATTGGTGATGGCAATCCTAACCAATCGCACGTAACATAATATACCACTACTGAGATTACACCTGAACCCTCAACCCTAAATCCTAAACCCTAAACCCTAACTAATTTCGGCCCAGAGCTCGGGGCCTCAGGAATTGGCCGTTGAGCAGCACTCGCACGGAGCTTCCATCTTCGGACGGCAAGGCCTGGATTTCTGTGGGTTTGGACTTCAGCGCCCCCAGAGCCATAATGCACATGGTTAGAGATATACATACATACACAGGTACTAATGTCAATAACCCCTTAGAGTTTATCATAACTAAGTACCCGGAAGTAAAAAGGGAATGAAGGTGTCGGCACCGAGGTTGTTGGTGCTTGGTCGGCTGAGCATGAGACTCATGTCCGAGATTGATTAGGTGTTACGGCTTTCTTCATTGAATTTCTTTTCCCGTCTGAGCATTTAGTTTGAGAGTTGCGTTTAGGGTTAAGGAAGGGAGCATAGGATTCAGGGTTTGGGGCGTTGGGGGTTTAGGAGTGTGTAGGGTGGAGGCTTGCTCCTATATAAATTGTTGTGTCTGCTTTGTGTTGGGTTTGTAAGGATTTCTGGCGCTTGGCTGTGTCGTGCTCGTGCGGTGCGTTGCGGCTCTTTCGATTAGGGGAGATGTCTTCGTGCACAGCATTGAACTACATTGCTTGGTTAGGACTTGTAGGTTCGCCCTCCCAAAGAGGCAGCCCCCTGTTGGCTTCCTCACCACACCCCCCTACTAGAAAACGAAAGGTGTTCGTCTTAGTCTCCGGATTCAGGAAGGATCGTAGATGAAGAGTACAAAACACCATACCATACGGCTTGAGAAGCCGTGAAGCTAGCAGCGGCGAGCCCTGTCAGGCCTCCACCGTCACTTCGTTCCCCTTCGAGCAGCGCACGGAGCACATCTCAGGCCTCAGACATCGTGACTCTTTCTTCAAGGCCCACAGTGCAGCAGCCGGAGGTCCCGTCTGACGAAGCCATGACAGTGACTCTACCCTCGGAAAGCCAAAGCAGCCTCGAAGCTTTTATCCGACAGTCCCGCCCCAGAACCCTAAATCTCAAATCCCAAGCCACATATCCTGACTTCGTAAACCCTAAACTTCACAAAAAAAATACTTCTCTATATAAATCCGAAACGTCCGAGACCTTAAAGCCCTAAACGTTCGAAGTCCTATGCCCTGAATCGAAAGCCCTCCCAAGGACGGCGCGTGATGCCCACACCGACCAGGACGATGTCGCAGCTTCCCTCACAGCTGCCGATGTTGATGAGCGACTCGTCCAGGGGGAAGTTGCAACCTGGGACGTTTTTCCCCAGATCCTACTTAGCAAGGACGAGGCCCGCATTGCGGGGTTTAGGGACTAGGCTCGAGGGTTTAGGACACGGCGTCACGCCTTCAACTCGTCCAAAATTGCGACAACCACGCGAAAAACCGTTACCATCATGATCGCATTGTCATCACCATCAGTCATCACCATCATCACCAACCGCAATAACAATCATCAGCACCATCATCACCATCATTACCGTTACCACGATCATCATCGCTCTCAAAACAGGCACTAAATCATGCAGGACAGCAGGTTACTGTGCATGATAAAGGGGTAGCTGTCAAATTTAAGGTCCCTTTTTGGGTACCCTAAATACTAGGTCACTAGGTGCCACATTACAATAGGGACCCAAAACGGGATCCTACTTTCGACAAGTACCCAAATATTAGGGTTTAGGCTTTAGGGTTTAGGGTTTAGGTTCCCCGGAGCCAAGGCTCCTCACCCCTCAACCCTCGAGCCGGCCATCTCCAGCGGCGTCGAGCTCCCCTGATATCGGATAAACCCTAGACCCTACTACAGGGGCACCACGAATTAGAATAGGGTTCTGGGGCCCCTTAAAATGAGGAATTCCCCCCCAAAATAGGATTGGTAATTATGTAGGCCCTTATAGTAGACTCATGGGCCGATGATGCTATAATAATAACAGTAATACTATATAAGTATTTAGGCTCCCATACTCTTGCAGCCTCATCCTGAAACCCCAAAAAATAGGAATTCCCCCAAAAAATGGGATTTGTGATTATGTAGGCCCTTATAGCAGCCTCATCCTGAAACCCCAAACAATTTCTGAGGCAGGTGCAGCCCTGCAGCGCTGGGTCATCACACAGCTTCCTCGGCCCCCGAGCACCAAGGCTGCGCTACTTAGACGCTACTTGGAGGATCAGGGGACTTAGTAAGGGCTCTGAAAGGGCTCCTTAAAGGAATCTATATAGGGTTCCTTAAAGGGATCTATAGGGTTTAGGGTTTAGGGTCTACTTGGGAGGATCAGGGGACTTAGTAAGTTAGGTTATAAGTACCGTAATTGGGGTTATAAGTAGTTATAAGTATGGCTACCTTAATTATAGCCCCAGTTACTAAGTCCCATGATCCTTCAAGTACTTGCCGTTGCAAGGGAAGGAAGCGGGAGGCAAACATTCAGCCACAACCATACCGAGCACTCTGATGTTTGACGGTACTAGTCCTGTTATTATGCAATGTGCAATGAATGTACAACTGTCAGACTGTGATGGTAGCCGTCGTCATAAGCCCGGAGACGAACTAAGCAAGTCTCCGCCAACCCTAAGTTGCATGAGAAAAGAACGGAACAGAGAACACTTGCGGTTCGCACGCTTTGCAGTACGGCTTTGGCATCGGGTGTGGCTTGAGATTTACAGTAGAAGCCCAAAAGTTGGAAACCCAATAGCCTCGATCCTTAAGAGTAATGTATGGGTAATCCCAGCTCTATTTGGCCTTACTCCGGTTTCCAACTTTATGGGGTTTCCTATAAGATTCACCACCTGGGGTCGGAGACCTGAGCTCAGGCCTTGGGACCTCTGTAGTTCGGGTTTTGCAGGCCTTCAATGGCCTCAGTAGTACCCAGTAGGATTTTGATCAATCTCACTTTTCTGCGTGTGCTTGGATTGCGCGCCAGCCTCCCTTGAGCCCTGAATCCCGAAATCCGAAAAACCCTTAACCCTAAGCCCTAAACCCTAAACCCTTAAACAAACCTTAAACCCTTACACCCCTTTTTTTGCATAAACCCTAAACCCTAAACCCTTACTTACACCCCTAAACCCATAAACCCTCCTGCCGGGAGCTGGTAGCTGCCACGTGGCGTCAGGTAGGGGTACCGCAAAGTGAACTCATCATCCTTCTCACCGTCCTGCCAAATATGGGAGCTTCCGAAGATATGGGACCCTAATGTAGTACCCTGAATAGTGGGATCCTTGTTTTAAAGACCCCAAAATCAAGTACCCCTAATTGTCGGAAACTGCGACGTGGCCCAAGCAAAGAGTTGCGGCTTTATGACCTGTTCCTTGGTCTACGGGCACCAAAGTCGTCTTGCACAGAGCCCTGTTCGGGCAAGCTCCAACAAGGCGACCTGAACGAGCCGAAACCCTGAAGCCTGAAATCTCTCATTCTGCGAGGCAAAACCCCCTCAACACAAGCCTCCGCTCCAACAAGCTCAGACTCCAGAATCCCGATCCCGTGAAATCCTGAACACATAGACCCTAAAGCCAAACCCACCCCGAACCTTGCAACCAAGCTGCGAATTAATCACCACAAAGTACAGCACACTCGCCGAACCCTTCTATGCAAACCCTTGTACAATTTTGAGTATGGTACCCTGCGAACTAGTTTGAAATCAGCCCTTACCAGCCCCAGCATAGCTTCCCTCTCATATCTGCACATAAGCATGGCTCCCAATGTGGGGGATGGATTAGCTCTTTTACTTACAGCGGATCAAGAGGCTACAGGTAAGGCTGCCGGTAGAGTAAGCGTATGGTGCCCGTAGAGGGTCCTTGCGGTACCCCTTATGGGAGTTTCCGAAAATAGGGGACCCAATTATAGCACCCTAAATAGCAGGATCCTTATTGTAAGGACCCCAAAAAAAGGTACCCCTAATTTTGGGGAAACTCCCTTATGGCAGTCGTGCGGTACACTTGCAAAGCCCCCGACGAGGTCGAGCCCCAAAACCATCTCAGCCTCCTCCGACTTCACCGAGCACGACAGCGAAGCCAAAGAACCGGTCCTCAGAAAAGGGTTTTATGGGGCTCTTTTTTTCCCTCCTAAAAAAAAGAGCCCCTTTATGGGGTTTTGTGGGGCTCTTAGGCTTTAGGGTTTAACGGTTTGTTGCGGGTTTTAGGGTGGGGGGGGGGGGGGGGGGGGGGGGTTCAGGGTTTCAAGGTTTGGGGTTTAGGGTTCTTTAGGGGTTTCTGCAGGGGTCTTTACCAGGTTTTCTAGGGTGTTCCGGTTTTTAGGTACTTGTAAGGTTCTGCGACTCTTATGATGCTCCAGGCGGCTCTTATCAGCTTCCAGAACAGAGTTTAAGAATTTTGGGTGGGGCTTGAGCCCTGTCAGATTCTTCAGCATCCCCTTTACACTATCGGGGGGCTTCCCATTATATACTCGATTGTCATGCTGCAGCTACTGGTGCACGTAGGAATGCTTGCATGAAAGTGTGCGTTCTGATCGCCATGGGTGCAATGAGAATGCTCAACCAACAGCAATCATGACAATGACGGCACCATCAAGAAGAAGGGTAATGGCGACCATGCTATTTAGAGCCACACCAGCAGTAGCAGGTGCTGCTAGAGTTTGGCGGGAAACCCGTCCGTGCAATGCAGACATGCATTCGTTCAAACTCTGCAATATCAAATCCTTGGGTCGCGTATAATTCTAAATATCAGCCGACGACGACGCGACAATAAACAACATGAAGCTTCATGATCAGAATGGGGTCTGCCGTCCATCACAATGAAATTCTATACGGGCTACGCTGGCATGCTATGTGTTTAAATTATTCCGACCCTCAAAGCAAAGAGTCAGCCCAACGGACAGAACTCGCTGGGCCGATGCTCCTCTTTGATATCAGCAGTTACGATATGGGTGATCCTTGGGGATATAGATCCTCTGAACACAGAAGTAGTGTTAAGAAGGGTCCCCTTTAAGGGGTCTCCCTAGTACCACCTATGAGATATCCTTCCTTCGCGACATTAACCCATGCCTCTGGGGCCTAGATGACTTGAGCATACGCCTACCTGGACAGTCGGTGCGTGAACTTTTTGTGTTGTGCATATCTAACAACGCTTGCACCGATCTATCGATACGCCGTACCATCCACATTGAAAACACAGCTTCACAGGAATGAAATTAATTGGACTGCGTACATATGTATATATATATATATGTGTGTGTGTATGTATGTACATGTATCGATCTATCCATCTATCCATGTGTGAATGATCTGCGCCCATGCATACATATGCATACTCACTTTACGGGCCGGCATGCAAGTAGTCATAAAGATACATGTCTAACGATCCTGTCGCTTGGCGTGCTTACCACGTGCGTCTGCCACGATTTGGTGCTTCGGACCCGTCACCAGCGACTTTGCCACGAGCCTTTTTCGATCATCTTTTTGATCACTGCACGCAGAGGTTCTGGCATCACGGCAGTGAGCTAAAGCGCTACTTGCTTCACTCGTCTGTCCGGCGTAAACTAGGTGAAGTCTGAGTGCTGCTTTCTGCTCAGCGCCGTGGGAAACTAGTCTTGCTGGATGATGCGCACCTCAGCTGGTGCCAGAGACGAGGAACATGAGGAAGATCAACATCTGTATCAGCACTGGTTGTCGGGATGGCGCAGGTCATAGTGGAGTCATGTTTGCGGCACCTGCTGCTGGTACTGACGTGCTTGCCATCACCATGCCTTTGTGCTGTTCATGGCAGCTGAAGTGTAACATACCACCAAGTGTCGTAAGCGTCCTCTAGAGAGGCCTGGGAGATACCCCAATGCCGGATGCCGTGCTTCGCCTGGCCATGACCACTGCGAGCACACTGTGTGTGCAGACTGTTGGGGAGGGGGAGAGAGAGAGAGAGAGAGAGAGAGAGAGAGAGAGAGAGAGAGAGAGAGAGAGAGAGAGAGAGAGAGAGAGAGAGAGAGAGAGAGAGCGGGAGCGAGAGAGAAAAACTGATAAACCAACTAGGCAAATGTGACTACAGAAGTGCCGATGCACATGTCGCTTATGTAGATCTACCTGTAGGTTTGTACAGTCATAAAAAAATGCTCACACACACACAGAGAAAATCAAACAGAGCTAGACATGTATGAGGCATCGCACCAAAGGGGCATCGAGCTGATGCAGCTGTTCACTGAAATCCGCTGGAGCCTTTCTCTTGTCACTGAGCCTTCTGCGATGAAAGTTAAAGTGTTGATCGTCGTCGTCATCAGCGTTGTTATCGTCGCCAGCAAGTTCGTCGTCGCCGTCGTCGTAGTAGTAGCAGTAGCAGCAGTAGTAGCAGCAGCAGCAGCGGGGGCACGCGGAAGAGGTAGTCGTGGTAATGCTACGGGTAACAGCACTGGCACCCGAAGTTGGGGAAGCTGGTAGTGCTCGGAGCACAGGACGTGCAGCAGAACGAATATCAGCGTCTCGTCAGTTCTGGGTGTACTGCTTACTGCTTGACTTCCACTCCAATCCTCCGCGCCTTGCCACGGGCGATGTCGATGATGAGATGGCCAAGGGACTCCTCGTCTTTTGAGAACTTGTATGTCGCCTGCCCATGCCTGGGCCAAGGAGGGTGAGCAACATGAGTCTAGCCTAAACCCAGACCCGACACACCCTGCTTCCTAAGGCAACGAACCCTTAATGAACCCCGGATGACTAAAGCTGCAAAACCATTTGTGCTGCTGCACACGAGGCTCCACCTGTAGTAATCTTGACTGAGACCCGAGCTGCAAACCCTTTTTCCACAGGCTTGATTAGTGCTCGCCCAGCCAGAATCCCCAAGCACATCGCACTCGTGGCGAGATGCTGAGGCTAAGTACGCACAATACGCATTATCTTACGAGCTACACTGTCGGATACGCTGTTGAACGAGCTGACGAACTGATGATCTTGAAAGAGGGAATTATGAAGGCAAAGGAAGGCATCGCCCTGACTCTGCAGTAGATCCTCATGCATGTAAATTTCGCACCCTAAACAATGAACCCCTGAATCGCTCTCTTTGCAAAACCTTTTTTTGAACGAGGTCCCCAGGGGGTGCCTCCAAGTTGCCCGCCTCATCGATGGCTCTGCAAACCCTAAACCCCAAACCCTAAACCCCCTTTTGCATCCAGGCCTCTTACCCTAAACACCCTTTTTGGAACCCGTGCTGAGGCCCTAAACACCCTAAACCCCTTTTTGCCACTGGACTGAAGTCTAGCCACCCTAAACCCCTAAACCCTAAACCCCAAACCCTCAACACCCTAACACCCTAAACCCCCAAACCCCTAAACCCCAAACCCTAAACCCCCCGCCCTGAGAGCCTCTGCGACTTCACAGGCGTCCGGTCTGAGGCATCCAGCAAAGAGGAAACAAACTGCTGGGCCTCCGCCTCCTGAGAGCGTTGGGGAGTCGGGCTCGGGGAGCCGGGCTCAGGCCTTAGGATTTCGGGGTTTCGCCTTTAGGAGCTGGGATTTAGGGGTTGCGGAGCAGGGTGTCGGGTAGGGGTGGTAAAGGCAGAAACGATGATGGTGGCGGTGACTATAATCGAAACCGTCGTTCATTAAGGTGTTGGAATACGTTCTGACAGTTCCTCACCTGCAATCTATGTTTGCAGGGCTCCGTCAATGGCTCGAGAGTATTCTACATTGACGAGAGCAGCGCATGTTTCGATGCTTGCGCTTCTTGAACGTTGTCCACAGAGAGCATACCAGCAGTGCTGCGCATGAAGCTGCTGAAAAAGGCCCGGCAGAAATGAGTAACCCCTCTTATCGGATCCCTTTACCAAATAAGCCCTATGAAAACCCTTGTTATAGGAGGAGTGGTCTGCATAAATCCTTAGAGGCTGCCCCCACCCTGTAATAGTCACTATAAGGATTATATTAGGGCCCTGATATATTCCTGTTATACCACTATTACAGGGTGTTGGCAGCTTCTAAATAAACCCTGACGTCAAGGTCCTTCGACTCCTCGCTGTCAATACCTCAGCTGGGGCAGGCGAATGGAAAGGGGACCTGAAAGGGAACATCAAGACGAGTTCATTTAGGGGCCTTGATAATTAGAATGACTAGGGTTTTGGGGCCCATTATACTATAAGCTGAATAAGAGCATCAACGCCATTTAGGGTTAAAGGCTGGGTTAGGGCTCTTAATTAATTCCCAGAGGGCAGAAACAACGCAACGGTATATACCCGTCATCGCAATGAAGCCTGACACTCCCGCCACCCTGAACGAACTTCCAGAGAAGCGTGCGTTCACCGGAAGCCGCAAACTATCGCAAACTTCAGCTTCAACGATGCACTATGACTGCTGGATGTTACAGGGCCAGGGGACGCTGTGCCGAGGCACCCTAAACCCTAAACCCTAAACCGTGATGTTCTTGGGGGGGTGTTGGATTGCGAGGCTTCGGCTGCCGTTGAAGATTTGGATGTTTTGGATGTTGAGCTCAAGAAGGACGGAGAAGGTCCATTCGAGAAACTTCAACTTCAACCAACACTACTTGGAGCATCAGGGGACTTAGTAAGTTAGGTTACAAGTACCTTAATTACGCTCTCGCAACTCGGGCAATCCAGACGAGGTTCTTGGTCGGCTGGGGTTATAAGTAACTGTAAGTATAGTTGCCTCAATTATAACCCTAGTTACTAAGTCCCATGATCCTTCAAGTACGTATCTTCAGCAAGCAACTGGCAGTTGTTGTCCTGACTCGGAGAGAGGGGACAGATGAAGAAGCAGCTGTGGATGGCGACATGATTGTCATGCTACCCTTAGCTTCGCATAGCACGTCCGACTAGGATTGTATCAACCCGTCGCCCCAAGATCCGGTCATTTCCAGGGATCTGATGCTTAGGTGGCCGGGCATACTTGAAGGGACAAGCTATGCTTCACAAGCTTGTGTGCATCCGCACGGACTAACTTTTTGTCCACTCTTCCCTTCCGGATAGTGGCGAACTAAGTCCTCGGTCGTAAGCTCACTGCGACCTCGAACTGCAAAGTTCCGAAACGAAAAGGCTTCACAGGAGGCGCAACGAACTAACCGGACTGTAACTCCGGGTGGGAGAGGTGGGAAAAGCGAAAAAAACGCTAGCTCGTACTGTAGGCTCGGGCCTCGTTCTGCGACCGCGGCACGAACTGTTCTCTACAGTACTCGCTACGCTTGTCACTACGAACACACGTGTTCTGCACGACAAGCTATGCTTCACAAGCTTGTGTGCATCCGCACGGACTAACTTTTTGTCCACTCTTCCCTTCCGGATAGTGGCGAACTAAGTCCTCGGTCGTAAGCTCACTGCGACCTCGAACTGCAAAGTTCCGAAACGAAAAGGCTTCACAGGAGGCGCAACGAACTAACCACCTCAAGCGCACCGTGAAGCCACCCTCGTGCGCTTTAGCGAAGTTGGGTTGCTAGAATTGCGACCAGCTGAGCGAACTCTTCTTGGTAGCTTCTGCAGTCGTCTTGGAAACGCTCCAGCAGCGGCCACACTTCCTTGAAGGAGACTTCGTAGAACTCGCCCTCGGCGGCCTGAAGGTCTCCGAGATCGCCCCTGGAAATCCCATCGGAGATGTTCTCTTCACTGGAGACTCTATGAAAGGAGACTGAAAGCGACCTAGAAGCGGCCCAAACCCAAAAAGCTCCGATGATAGCCGAGAGTCTCAGGTCCTTGGAGTATCCTTTGTTGAGCGCGTGCTCGGCCGCCGTATTATCGACCCAACAGCACAAGTGGGTATCGACCAGGTTGCAAACGCCAGCGACACCAGCTGAGCTAATGCCTCCAGCCAAAATATATACGCCCTGGAGGTGGCTAGGCTGGCTAGCACGGCAGAGGGTATTTCGCCACGAAACCCTAGCGGGTGGCGACCTTGCACGAACACAATCGCCCCGAAGCCGTTCGTGGCTGTGTTAAGCTCCTGTGCCGGTGGGAGTTCTGGCAGCCACTTGTTAGCTACACGGCGAACCCCGTGGATTGTCAGGAAGGCATCGGCATACAAATGCGCGACCGGTCGTCTGCGCTCACTGGCACCTATAGCGAAACGTCTCGGCTGCAACCTTGGCAACAAGTCGCTCAGCTGATGCAGTGCTTGCTGCTGCCTGGGAGTCAACGGACTCGAGCCAGGCGACCCGTTATGCTGTCTCTGGTACAAAGGTTGGAGTAGCATACGGCCTACATGGTTGAAAACCCATGTACATGTAAAGCACAGCTTGCCTGTGAGCTGCGAACATTCGGAGGATGACATGCGGCCGCTCGCAAGAAACTCCTGGATCGTAGCGACCAGCTTCGCCACTCTGCGCGTCCCGGGCGAAGCGAAAATAGCCTCGGTGGTCAGCATCCATTCTATGCCCAAGAGTGTCTGAGCGAACCAGGGTTCTTTCGATTTCTCCTCCTTCATGCGGAATCCCAGGACTCGATGAAATGCTTGGAAAACCGCGAACCCGGAAAGTGCTGTCTGGGATCGCTCTAGGGAGAAAAAGTCATCGACGTAGTGAGCCGCGAACATCAGTAGCAACGTTACGGTAAGGAACGACACTACGTCTGCGACCCGAAGGTATGCCCAAACGGAGCCCACGGACCCGAAGGGGAGGGCATTGTGGGTCCACAGGCTGGGCGGCTTTCCTGGCATCACCAGTCCGCACTCTGTAGGCTCGCGAACCGGTAGCGACCTGTAAGCACCTTCATGGTCAATGGCGCCCAGGAGCACCGGCTCTTCGAAAGTCTCTGAGCACTGCAACACTCCGCCCACAACTGTAGGGCCACCGAGGTACGGCGGTGTATCGACCGCTGAGATGGTACTATTGTGAAACGACCGAAGCCAGTCGTCTGCTCTGCGAACCTTGTCGTTCTGTACCACGGCAAAACCCCTGGCAACCTGAACTGAAGCTGGCTCTTGCTGGTCACCTAAGAGCGACAGGGGAAGAGGACCTTGCACGCGACCTAGGCTGCGTTCCTTCTGCAGCTCAGCCATCATCGACTCGTGATGTTCGGGCTGAGGGGAGGTCTGGCGCAGGGTCCGGGCCAGTTGTCTGTTGGCGGACAGGAAATCCTGCTTTGCAAGGGGACGAGCGTACTTGGCATCGTCCCGGTTAAGCCAGCCGGAGCCGCGAACCATGGGTCCTAGTAACCTAAAACCCCAAAACAACTCGGATAGAAGCTCCTTGCGACCTGGGAACTGGCACAATTCCAGAAGCCATGCGAGAGGCAAAAGCTGAAACTTCAGTTGTGGCGAACCTTGCTGGTAGACTGAGGCCACGTGCGCCGGAAGGGCTTGCAGTGCTTCTGCTTGGTCCTCGTACAGCTCTGCGACCAAGTCTTGCAGGTCCTGTAGGACAGCTTGGCGAACTTGTACGACCTTGAGACCTAACCTTGCTTGCACCTGAAATGTCCACGACAGGCAGGGGTTGAGCGGTGCAGGGAACACATCTGCGAACGTGAGCTGCTTGGCCCATAGAAAATGTGCGCTTGCACCTGCGCCTGGTGACCGAAGTTCGTCGGCCTGGGCTTCGTTGGGGTCCCATTGAAGGGAGGAACGTAGCCACCACGAAGCGACCCTTTGGAGAGGGCGGCTACCATCGGGGTGCCATCGGACCTGAAAACAAGGGTCCGGTACGCTGGGGTACCACTCTTCAACACGAACCGGGTGTGCGTCCATGACTCCTGCTTGGCACAAGATCAGCAGCACGAGAAGTCTGGCGACCCCCGCGTGCCAGGCGTTACCCAGCAACTTTGCTCTCGCATGGGGCGAAACTGAGGCTGTATAACCGCTTGGCAGGAGCTGTAGCCACTCACGAGTGGCAGGGTCGGGGAGGTCTTTCTTGCCCGCGACCTGAACCAAGGCGTGCGTACGAAACTGCCAAGGTGGTAGGAGCGGTTGGCTGCTTTCCAGCGTTCCATTGTACCCGGGCTCTCGGAACGGCGCTTCTTGCCTGGAGGTTCACGACCCTGTGTGCTCTCAGCTGGTGTCGTGAGACACGGAAACCTTATCCGCCCTGAAGTGACTTCTTCACTAAAGGTTGCGAACGGGCAGGACTGCGCGACCTGTCGGGGAAACAGGGTGCTGTTGGGTATGAGCTCCCAATGTCTGTTCAGGCGGCGCCAGCGTGCTTGACCTCCCAACGCGACCGGAGGTTCGCGAACATTCTCCGGGGGAGGGGAAACCATGTTCGACCACCAAAGTCTCGGTCGTGACACGACGCCCCAACAGGACGCGTCGCATGCGAATGCGCGGCAGCCCAGAGCCTTATCAATCTCTTGCTGCTGGGAAGCGGACATGTGCACGTTCTCTACCAAAAACAGAACCCTAAAATTCGAAGCCTGAACGAACTCCAGGAGCCAGGCAGCGAACTGAGTGAACTTAGAGCCCTCCTTTCCTTGTGTACCTGGAGGATCGCTGCGCATCCTGGAGAAATCATGGCAAGGAGGGGCAGCGAACAGTAGGAGCACCGTGTCCTTGGGCACTGACGCGGCGAGCGCTGCGAGAACCTCGTGAGGCTTGCGGCCGAACGCATCGCCGTGATGAATCATCTCGGGGTGTTGCGAGGAGGCGACCTTGATGGCATCAGGGTCTAGCTCCCAGGACCAAGACAGGACCGGTCTTATGGCCCAGCTCTTGACCGCGTGGAGAGCGGTGGCTATGCCGTCGAAGAAGCTGAGAACTGCGACCGGGAAGCGAGGTTGTTGTGCATGAGGTGTTGGTGTAGTGGCCTGACTCCCAGGGATTGTGGTCGGCGGAGCCACGTGAGGCTGCAACGCCTGATGGGGTATGTTGAGACGCGGAGCCACGAGAGGCTGCGACGCGTGATGCGAGGATTGATGGGGCGGAGTCACGTGAGACGTCAACGCCTGTGCTGCTGGGTTAGGGGTGAGTACGACTGGTATGCGTGCTCCCTGTGACGACTCAGCTGTTGCCGTGTCGTTGACGCGGACTGGCACGGGAGGGGGGGGTGGAAAAGGCGGTTTGGCTCGTGGCGGAGCCGACAGAGGCTCGGACGGCT